TAATGGAAACTTTATATAAAGTTTTTAAGGTGATTGATAAAATTCGTAAATGGAAAAATAATTGAAAAATTGTAACATATAAAAATTACATTTTTTTTTTAGATATGATTCCTCTATCATTGGGATAACTGATACTTAACAACCTTTAATGCCAATGTCAAGTGGTCCGATAGATTTGTGATCTGTTCTTTACCGACGACCAGTAAACTTAAAAAATCTAGAAAAATGTGGTAAAATTTTATTCTTGTAAAAAAAATTAGTGTATAATTGTTATCCAAAATGGACTTTAAATTTAAGACGAATTACTTTAATTCGCCCCTTTGTATAATTCCTCGCGCAATTATTGCGAATACAAATCTATTTACGATCGAGAAGAAGCGAAAAGCCAAGTCGCGGCGACCAACTCGTAAAGTATACGGGATGGAAATATCCTGAATGGCGTAGACCTTGCTTGGATACAACGTGAAGGAAGAATGGAATAGCAAATTATCAATTTTTTTTTGTAGAAAAAGTCACCCAGCATGAGTATACTAAATGCCATGCAAAAAATACCAAAAATTAAACTGTCAATGATGTTGAAGGAATGGTGGGCTAGTATGAAAGTTTTACAGGAAATACACAATCAAAAATTTTTTTAACTGCAAAGAGTAGCTGCCTTAGGGACTAATTTAGCAGCTGTGGCACTTCTTTACATATAGACAATGTGCAGTGAGGTATCCAATTTTTTTATCATAATTGATTTATTTTTAACTTTTATTATTGAAACTACATTTTTATAACTTATTTTTGAATAACCTAACATTTAACTAGAATCACATAATTCTAAATGACCAATAGTCAGATTATTTATTTGAAGCATTAATTTTTACGAAAATTATATGTATATTTGGAAGTTGCATATAATATATTTACTTTAACATTTTTAGACTCACAAAGACGAAAAAAGAATGGGATTGTTGGAGATATAACCAACACTAAATTTACCCCAGAGACCCATTTTTGTGGAGGGTTACTATGTCGAAGCAGTTTGATTTTGTACAAAACTTTCATCACAATGGTATCAGATATGAAGGGATTAAAGAATTTGAGTGGTCTAAACTTTTCCTAAAATGGTTATCTCTTAAAGAACAATAAACATGTAGATGTGTGGTGTTTAGGGGAAAGGGAGACCGATTTTTGGCAGGACAGAACGGTGAATCTTTAAGAATATTTGGATTATACAAGGATGTCAACTGTGTGTTGGTTGTATATATGCATTGGCAAGAATGCCAGCCCTGGAATATCTCGATAATAATTACTGATCCAGGAGATAATTTTTGAAGTACAGGCAGCACTGGTCACTGCTACTGCTTAGAGGGGAGTCTTCTAAACCGGGACTTTTTTTTTAAATTGCAGCCCATGATAAGCAATAACACTCAGACTAGTCAGTTAAGTAGTGGTGGAAATAAATTATTTAGAAAAGATATAATGGTTTTTTTATTTTGAATATGTAGAAAGAGAAGAAAAGGATAGCCCATAGTTAAAGGGAATGGAAGTTTCCTTTAAACTGAATAATTGTTTAAATTTAAATCAGGTATACATTTTAGTCTTTTTATCTTTCATAGTACCTATTAATATTCAAAATAATTTTGGTGTAAAATTAATCCAGAAATAATTCTTAGACAAATCATAGTTTGGAGCATGATTAAAATTATTATATGTGGTTGATAAATAAAGAAAACAAAAATTTTCGTGGTTTTTATATTTTTAACATAATTTCTTACAATGATCCAATATGCTTGATTTTATCCACATTTCTATGGGTTTTGTTTTTCTTACATCTGCACACAATGTTTCCTTTCACAATTACTTGTTTGTCCTAAAATTGCTATCCATTGGTCCATCAGTTTTGGATTCATAAAGGTTAATAAAAATCCCTTATGTGTTATTACAAATGTTTACGTACGGCTTTTGTTATTAATTGAAGGTCATTTTCGTCTAATTCAAAACTAGTATACATTAAAATGGAACACTTTAAATCTAAATAAACCTGTCTAAAACAATATATTACATGTAACGCATTTTGGCTAAACAATTAGAACTAATGCCTTATAAAGAAAGAAATAAATAACGAATATGAAAAATGCTTTTCATTACAAAAAAATGTCCTTTTGATATAATCGCTAATATTCTTGCAAAACATAACATCGTAACAAAAGTTATTTCAGTCTAAAAAAAAAAACTGTCTATTACACGTTTATTGACTGACAAAGCCTAGCGTTGATCAAATGTAACTCAGAACACACACCGCATCTAAGGTCTGAAAGTCAATAAGGCACTAGTAAATATGCAGCATTCATATTTTTTTTCATATTTGTTATTCCACAAAACGCACTAATAAACATTCAGACTCAAACACAAAGCGAACTTAAAATAAACGGACATTTTTAAATTGTTACTTGACATTTGACAGGCTACGTCATTAATAATATTATTGGCGTGAAAACTATTGCTGTAAATGACATTTAACCTGTTGTTTAATGGAAATTGTCAATTTGTATCTATCTCGTAATTTAGCTAATTAATTTATAAATTTATAATATTGATTAAATTTAAAATTCTTATTATTGAGAAAAATTATTACTTTAGTAGGCCCGTGTGATAAGTAACTATTAAAATAAAATTAAAGAATAATAAGCTAAAGTGGACTAAAACAAGCAGGCAAGTGGACATGAATACTACTAAATTTCATGATTTATTATCTATGATATATTTCGTATGATTATTTATTGTATTAGTGGTTTATTTAAAAAAAAAAAAGGAGGTTATACTATTAAAAAAAAACATTAATAGCTAACCCATAAGACCCCCCCCCAAAGTGATTCGTGCGTTAACATTTCCAGTTTATAACTGAAATGATTTAAAAGATCGTATATTATAAAATGTTCGTTCGATGTATAAAAATATTTTCGCTCGATCAATCGTCATATCGAGGTTTTTATAATTATTTTCATGATTATATTCAACTTTTTTCATATTCTCTACTGTTGAATATTCTCTTTGTAATTTACATATGTTTTTTGAAAATCTAAGTGCGTTATGTCTAAGTGGTAACAACTGTACGTTATGTTTCAGTACAATAACAACAATCGATCAAAATTGACTACAAATTTCTGTATTCTCACATAAATCACAGATTAGGGGAATCTGATTGTACCGTCTACGCTAATGAAGATATATTTTTTAACAGTGCGAAAATATATCCTAATATTATTATCATTTTTTAATAAATTCTTTTTAACTTCCGGACTCCGAAAGCAATTAACTAACACGCCAAAGAGATCATTTAAAAAATACAATTTCGTCATATAAAACACGTTGGGCCGTGAACAATTTTCGTTTTCATAAATAACATTTCAGTTTTCGAATTATCCTTCTCTTAACAACTAATTTACTTTGAGAGCCAGGAAAACATACATTCGTATAACTAATATTTACAATGAGATTGTTATTTTTATAAATATTGATTTAACTAGTACCGTAGTAGTGTTTTGAGCTGTGTTATGAAATTGGGAACGATTATAAATATAACAGTTTTTTTCCACACATAGAGTCATAGACCAGATAATATTTTAATATTAAGTTATACAAATAGTATTCAAGAAAAACGGCATACAAAACAAACAAGCCCTAAATAAGATCACTGTACAGTGTACATAGATTATATTAAATAGGAGTAGATGATATAAAAATGGCAAAAAAAAAAAATGTTTTAAAAACACGTGGAAGACCGACATCACAACATAAATATAGATATATATATAAAAAAAAGATACATTTTTAATGACTTATTAAAATAAAAATAATAATAAATGTACGCACCCACAGTCCAGTTATATATACCACCCATACGATGTATTGCTTAAATTTTGTTAGGACCTTTCTAGAGAATATATCTTTCGTATTGCAATCCCCGTATTAAAAACAAACAACAATGATTATACCATTATGTAACCGTAAAATGCAGGTTATTAGAGTTGAAAACTTCTATTTATTTAAACCAAAAAAAAATATTTATATATAATTTCAAGTTATTTCAACACCTCGAAGACGTCCATACATAATATAATTTAAAAGAATCTTATAATTCGACTATATAAATTACATACAATTAAATGTATTGAGATCGTGCTCGTATGAGTAATGTGCTAGCTATACTGAATGATAATGAGACTACTCTTTAGACGTAACAACCCGCGACATTATTCAAAATGCCTTTTAAAATTACCGTCGTATGACGTCAGCTATTTATAATCAAGAATTATAATTAAGAAGATATATTTTTGATCAAGAGGAAAAATTGACACATTATAAGATTTAAAAAACTGTGCAAAGGAATAGAAGATAAGTTTTATTTAATTAAAGATACCAAATATTTTCGTTGGCATAAAAGAAAATTATATATCATGAAAACGGGCAGACGGTTTTTTGAAAACAATACTAAAAATTACAACTCGAACCAATCTACATCAAATCACAACAATCATTCGCTGCAGACGATCAAATATTTTTTTTATATATATTTTTTTTTTTATGAATTTTTCTGTTTCTTACAAATTATTCTAATAACCGATCAGCGCTTCGCTCGCGACGCTCTATATATTTACAGTCCACTCCCACAGACGAGATTTATGTGTTAATATTACCTTATATGGACGTTGTTATTTAGAATTACAGACTGTTTGTAACCTTGGTATATGAACATCATAGAAGGAATATTATCATTAATTTGTGACAATAAAATTTAAGGCTTCTTTTTCCACTTCCCCACTGGATGTGCGAGGTAGGTGTTTTGTGGTAAAGAAATTCACCGATTCAAAAAATTTTCTTATGTTACATAGCTTGCTTAAAATCCTTTAGTAATTCCACCGCACAGCTGTTTAACTCTAAATTATTATTATTCTCATATAAATTTGTTTTCAATATATCAAAACGGTAAGTAATTGTATATTGTTACTAAGTTAGTTTTTCGTTTCTATTGTCGCACTGAGATGGTCATAGTGGTAGCCGAAACGCCTAAAACTGGCTGTAGAGGTCGGTAGTAGTGACGATACTATAGGAGAGTTCACATCTGTAACCACCCCAAAAAATATTTTATATACAAATACATATACAGTAATAATTTAAATTGTACTTTTGGCGAAACGATATAATGGAAATCATATAGTGACTATATATTTAGTCAAACGATCCCAATTCATCCCTAGTAATATTAAATGCGAAAGTAACTGTGTCCTGTCTGTTACGCCTTTCACGCCTAAAACACTGAAACTGATTTTAATGAGATTTAAAAAGTACAGAGATAGAGTAAACCTCGAGAAAAGAATTATTATGCCAGAGGATAAGTTTTTTTTGGAAACCGATGCCGAACTATTTTTTGAAAAAGTTCTCTTGGAAACGCGATATAATCCCGAAACTCCAACGCCTTTCATCGGGGCTCGAAGCTGCCGGGCGGGGAGCAGCTAGTAAGTAATAACCTACTGTACGTTAAAACTACTATATCGTATAAGGTAATCTAACGGATCTCATTTTTAATGTTTATAAAAAATGTCTATGCAAACAAATTATCAGTCCTATATGAAATGGTCTGTATGACTTGCAACTAAACTAAACATAAAAAAGTTTTGTGTAGATATTAAAGAGTAAAAAATGAGAAGTTATCTCGAGTGAAGTCAGTGGATTTTATTTTTTTATAGTATTACTAGCTGTTACCCGCGGATTTCCGGGAATGTAAAGTTAGCCTATGTGGTTATTCCTGGGACGTTTCCCAAGCTTCCTATATACAAAAATTTTATCAAAATCGGTTAAGCCGTTTGAGCGTGAAGAAGTAACAAACATACACACACTCACAAACTTTCACACATTATAATATTAGTAGGATTATATACTAAAAAAAATTATTATACCTAAACTAGTGGGAGTGTTGAGATCAGAGTGTGGTTGTGAGGTTGGATTTGGGCCATCAACTTCTGAACGCACTTCACGGATCTTCAGCTGCAAGGAACCCTTGCTGGGGAAGATATCAGCATGAGCCGCCTGCAATATAAGCATGATTAAAGATTATATTATACCATAATAATCTTTAGCCTAAGAATATGTATACAGGGTGAGCTGGTGAATTACTATCAATATTTAAGGAGAATACTCAGTACATGATTCTCATTCGAATTATGTAAAGAAAAAAAAAATAGGTACTTAATTTTTGACCAAATTTCCTGGTATAAATAAATAAAGTGTGGACACGTTCCAAGTGTTCCAAGTGTTCCAAGTGTGGACGCGTGGCAGCGGCGTGCTGATACAACAGCACGCGCCGCCGCATACACGCGCGTGTGTGTGTATGTATACCTAATTCTGTTGGGTGTGCAACACGATGCGTAATTAATTACACACACTCTTGGTTAACTTTACTTAGAAGTTTATTAATATTTATGTTATTATTAATTTTTTTATTTTTGTCATATATGATCGTCAAATATCACGTCCTCAAGTATCGATAGTAATTCACCAGTCAACCCTATATATTATTCAATGAATTACATTAAAAAAGTATAAAGAAACTTCAAATTATCAACCATATGGAACTTAATAGTATTATTATCAATGGATATAGATTATATAGGTTTGTACTAATACAACTATTAATATAACTTAATAGATATCTGTGGTAGCTTCCACTATTAGAAATCTTTGTAGCACTATATTACAAGTTTGTATTAAAAATAGATACGAACAAAAGACTATATTCATACACAATATATAACACTAACAACTACATATAAAAGTACATATACGACCCCAAACTATAAATTCTATGACCTGGAAGTGTGTGGTGGCTTTTTGTGTGGAGGGGAACATGGGCCGTGATCGTGAAAATAACTTCATCACCAGATGCCGCCTCTGTTCCAACACCCGCCGATGACCAGCCTCGCCGCGAGCTGAACACGGCGTTCGCGGAGACATTTCCTCTGAAGCCTCCGAACATGGCACTGGAACATTAATATAAAATGGTTATACAGTGAACTATCCAATTCTTCGGATAATAGAGTACTGACTAAGACCCCCCCTATAGTCGGTTTTTTTTTTTTACAAAAGAGTACATACCTTGTAATCCGACGAATTACAGATTCAATGTTAAGATTATTTACTATATTATATATACATATGTACTTTATATGTACTCTGAAGTACAAATTCAAATTTCAACTAAGCAAATCAGAATCAAAAAACAATACCCTATGCGTCGAACACAATAATGATGGTGCGTACAAGTTGTAACTTGTTCAAATCATGCATTAGCGAATACAAAATATGTATTCAATAATAAATAACAGATCAATGTCGGATTACAGGGAGTGCCGGATTAAGCAGGGGCCGGATTTACCGGGGTCCACTGTATAACATACATTATTTTATAAACATTGTCATGTCATCAGCCTATTCAGAGCCCACTGTCTGAGCAAGGCCTCTTTCTCACATGGAGAAGGTTTGAGCATTAATCACCACGCTTGCCTCAAGACGGGTTGGGTGATTTCAAACTTATAATTATGAAACTATAAGTCCAGGTTTCCTCACGATGTTTTCCTTCACCGTATGTCAGTGGTGTCTAAATTTGTATAAAACATTATTATTACAAAAATTACATACATATATATTTAGTTATTTGAAACAGGTATTACTTTTTTTCATATTATAATATCATTAAGAACACTATTCACATGTTCACAGATTATATATATTGTTTATGAAAATAGATATATAAGATTTCTTCTCCAGTATACATTATTAAGTTGATTAACATTTAAGTATTAACATTTTATTAACGTTAAATTTTCAGTTTTATAAATAATTAATTATTTCAAAAAGAAGGAGTAATGTTTTTTTTTGTTAATTAAGGTCATGTACAGATATTACATACTAGTTTTATGTATCATTTAAATAAGTACAATAATCAGTATGTAACTTGAATCACCTCTAAAATTCTCAGGATTGAAGTCAGGTCCGAAGAAGGTGGTACCAACTAGCTTGGTGGTAGAGTGAGGTGTTCCATATGAGTGTGTGGTGTCGGCATGCCGTTACCATTCATGATTTCGTTTTCAATCTGCGGCGTCACCACCGTCTGATCTTCCTCTGAAATTAATTAATTCATATGAAAGATAAGTTGTAGTATTAATACTAATAATATTTTGATATTGAAAAAATAAATGACAAGGTTGAGAGGCATTTTTCATTTTTTCATTTGATTTGGATGGAAATTTTAATTTTAATAACTACATCGCTTTTCTGTTATCGCGTTTTATTACACATAGTAAGCAAAATATCACAAATACTTATTTTGATATAATAATACCGTAATCCAAACAAAATCACATAGAAATTGAGTCATTAATTCCACTACTCGTAGGTGGTAGAGCCTAGCTGTAGTCATGTAACTACAGATCGAACATGGGTTGGCTCGACCAGGGAAGTACTACCTCTCAAAGAAGATCGGCGTGAAGTAGCCTTTAATGGCTGCGTTTCGTTTCGATGAGTGAGAGAGCCGGTTGCCCTTTACCTATTCCAACATTTTCCGCCCATTTCCTCATTTCAAGCTCTCTATTCCTAAAAAAAACTAAGATTGGCAAAGCATCCACAAGAAGATGTTGCGGATGTCCATGAGCAACGGTGACTACTGCCCACCACGTAAGTCGCCTACTCGTTTTCCATCTTTCACACAAAGAATCACAATCAATTTTTACATACCCATACTGATTTTTGTGATGTTTCTTCCTAAGGTATAGCTGAGGTGAGCGCGGCACAGCCATCGCACTGGGGCTGCACGCTTCCGGCTTGAACTGAGGCAACGTATTGAACTTCTCTGAGAAGTTCACCGTCTCTAGAACTCTGAGGAATACGTATATTAAAGACTAAAGTTATATATGAAGCAATGTAATACTTAAACTTATGTGATAACTTTGATTCGATATATGTATGTATAATAGTTTACCTAGTTAAGCTTTTGTCTATAAGTATATACATAGGTATATAATTATATTATAAAAGACACCAATAGTGAACTATGCAAAAGCGAATTCAATAGTAAATGAATTGGAACATTTAAAGATTAACCTTCTCAGCTACATATATGAATGTTTTTTATTTTACTGATATATACTACAAAACTGACCCTGGCTAAAGCTGGGAAATTGCCAGGAAGAAGAAGAGTATATACTAGAAAACGATTTAACACCACACACTATAAATCAATATAATTATCAAAAGTACTGACTTATCCCTTCCATCCTCATTGCCTTTCTTAAATAGACTCTTCTTCAGCGATGGACTGGGCAGGTTTTCTTTCTTGGGAGAGTGTGCGCCCACCTCTCCAACGTCCAACGGCGTGGTGGGTCCGCTCTCCGACCGAGGAATCGTAGCCTCGTTGCTACCAGTTCGAACCAGTTGATGTATCTATAATATGTATTATAATTTAAAACATCAAGTATCCATCACTTATGAAGTGGTTTAGAAGTCGTTAAAATGTCCTATAAATATGTCTTCATTATATTAAACATTTCAAGAGTAAGGCTGAATCGAAGTGGGATTTAGAATTTAAAATATTACCTTTACGAAATGTATGCATCTTTATATGAAATACGGTGCGTCTCCGGTTTTTCGATTATAAATTTACATTATTAGGATTTAAGATTAATGAATAAGAACAATAAATTTGTTGGGAGGAATTCAGACTACTCAGAAATGACTCTAGAATGTTTTGTTTTACACAAATGTATCTATTCTCTGAGAATATACTCGCTAAAGGAGTCCTTTGCAATCATCATTTTCATCCAATTAAAAATGACCCAAAACATACCTCTACTGAGTCTCTTCTGTAGTGGTGCCCTTCCCAATTGCGCAGGTGTTGGTGCAAGAGGGAATGGTGCGGGCCTCATACATTGGTGTATCCCACGTTTCCATCGGTTCAATTGCTCTATAATAATAAGAATATTTATAGGAAGATTAAAATATATAACTAAAAATTCATACTGCACATAGTACACATACATATAAATGTAACATATACACATGTACATTAAAAAAAAATAATTTATATGTGTAATATTTATTCATATAAATTACGATACAACCTTTTGATATTTATTTGATTTTAGAATTCATTTTGATGCAAGTCTAGTGTTAAATGAGGACTATAACTTATTAATTTTCTTAATGCTAATTTGTTCTGTCTTTGAGACGAAAAACTTTACAGCATTCATTTGAATTAAACGTGTGGGTGCAATGTCCATCGTTGTAGGGAGAGGAGCTTCAACAGTGACTGGGACTTGCGACCCAGGTGTAGGTTTAAGAAATCCCTATCTAACGCACGTTAAACGCTCACCTCCATCTTCCAAGTTTCTCTCTCTACCTAACTAAATTTGAAACAAACCTACTAGGGCTGCATTAGAAGTAAAATAAATATGCAACTTACGTGTTACTGGGTGATATGTGGTTATTACTTTGTGATACTATAACAGATGGACCACTCTGAGGATTTTGATTGGGAGTCTTAGCTGGTTCAGATTCTGCTGTTGAAAAAAATAACCAAATATACATTAGAAATTTATTGAGACAAACAAAATATTTATTATTTTAAGAGAAAACATATAATTATATATTTTAGCGCCATTGAAGTCAGATATAAATTATATATAATTTTTGTTATTTAAATTTAAATAACAAGCTATTTCATTGAGGACTATAGAAAAAATTAGTCCAAAATAGGACTGTTTTTTTTTTTTTTGTAATATAAAAATATCTTTTACGTCACATATACATAATATAGTTACCAGTATTGACTGATGATACATATAGTCTCTGTAGTTTGAACGTAATGTAAAGGTTGAGAGTCGCTTGTAGCGGGAGAGTCGCTGGCTTGACTTGCTTTTATAACTATATTGCCGGATGTATCAACTGATAGAGTTATTGGAACTGAAAATAAATATTATTATTAAATTTAAGAAATAAATATATACATAAATTTTAATGTATGAATTTGATTTATAGCATTAACTCGTCAAGGAAGCTAAGATTGAGATCCAAGATTTTCGAGAGTCTTATACATTTAAAAGCAAAGATTGCTTTCATGTACATAACACATATCAAAAACTTTACATAAATTGACTAAGCACTAGGAAACTGGATATGAAAGTAAATAACATGTATTCATAATAGTAGTTTTAACCCGCAGTATTTATCTCCAATATTTCGTTTAAACCAATGTGACACTCTTCAACAATGTATTCGTCAAGGCTGTAGTGGTGGCCGTTTGTTTGTGCCTGCGACTGTGAGATGGTCTGCGGCATCGATATACCACTGGATATGACTTGCACACCACTAGTGGTGGGACTTTATTATCGATGCGATCGCGTTGTCTAGAGCCGCCTGTGTCGATAGATTCGGAGCGCTTATCGATATACCCTGAACGCTGTTCGTTAAGCTCTGAGTGTTAGGGTGAGGTGAATTCAGATCCTGATTCACAGTTCGGTTTATTTACCGATGTAAACGCCGTCCATTGTCTATGGTTATCACCTGTGGTTAAAAATATACATATTAATATTATTCGAAAAAATTTTGTAACTTAATTTTGATGTACTTATATTACACGATTGGCTTAAAAAATGTATTTTATTTAAGTTTGGAGATATGGATATTGTTAAATCCAAGAGATATAACATCCAATTGATTACATAGAAGTTTTTATTCTGAAATTGAATTTCATAATCATAAAATATCAGAACGAAAATATAATATAGGAACATGAATTACAACAATGACTTCTCTTAACATACGACAGTTTTTATATATAATACGAAAACAAATATCTTGAAGAAAAATTAAAGATTGATTCTTACACGTGTCTTTATTTCTCAATAACGCAAAAAAAACAATATAAATGAAAAAATATCATGTAAGTAATATTTCATTATATCAAATACGGTGTTTTCTATTTATTTACGTAATTCTTCAATAAGGCTGTCAAATCACCAGAAAGGGTTTCTACCCGGGATTTCTGGATGCCTAGAACACAACACCATGCTGTCGGAGAGTTTGAAAGATGCTAGGAAAAGCGAGCGGCAAATTACAGTTTGTTGGATAGACTTAGAGAACGCGTTCGGGTCGATACAACACGAGTTGATGCTATTCGCGCTTAGATGGTATAACTTTCCACCCTTAGTTAGCGATATGATTGCGTCGTATTACTCAAAATTAAAGTTTTCTATTATAACTAAAGAAGGCCCTTCAAAAAGTTTGAGTTACAATGTAGGACTATTCCAAGGGTGCTGTTTATCTCCAATAGTATTTAATATTGTAATCAATATCCTAGTAGATAAACTTATCAGCAATGAGAAAAAATGGGGGTATCGGTTTAAGTTCAATAACAAATACACGGAATCCATTTTAGCCTTCGCTGACGATCTCGCAATACTGACACGTCACCCCAAACACTGTCAAGTACTATTGGATGAAGTGGATAAATTCTGTGAGTGGACGGATGGATTGAGGACAAAACCAAGTAAATGTCACTGTCTGTGTCTTGGTAGGCGGAATACAATATACACCTCATACGATCCGGGACTATCGATAGGCGGTCAATGCGTTTCTACGGTTACGGAAAATGAACCATTTCAAGTTTCTCGGGTCGTAAGATTGATAATATAGGTCGTACTCCATCTTTTAGAAGGAATAGTAGATAGCTTTTTAAATGATCTCAACAAGGTAGATAGCCAGCAAATCAGTAACGTAAAAAAAGCATGGATCTACGATAATTACTTAACTTCACGTTTGAATTGGCCTTTCCTCGTCTATGATTTTAGTAAAACCCTTTTTATCTAAATTAGATGCAGGCGTCATAAAGATGTTGAAGTTGTGGCTCGGGCTCGCGCTAACGGCTGATTCATCGGCTTTATTCAGGGATCGTAATAGTTTTGGGATGAATCTAAAAAAGACCATCGGAGCTCTACAAACACCTAAGAGTTTCCAAGAGACATATCCTGGGAAAATCCCATGATGACGTCGTTACATCACTCCCAAAAGACAATGATGCCCCAGAGCTAGAGTCACGACTTCAATTCCATAAACAATTTATGATCGGAGCGCAAAATAACAGAGTAGGGTTAGGATCAAGTAGGAAAGTCCAAGATACGGATATATTGAAGTCTTTTATTCGGCAAGACGAGAACGATAAATACAAGATCCATGCAATGAGTTTAGAAATGCAGAACGAGTGGTTAGACATAGGAGAATTTTTGCATTCCACTAGCACTAAAATGGCGCACCCTAATTCATGACTGGTCGCCAGCCTTGCTAAAATTTTATCTCAATGCGTTCCAGATGACTCTCCCAGATCAGAGTAATTTAGTAAGATGGGGTAAAGGTACCGAAAAAACTTGCTATATCTGCGGAAAGGCAGTTGGAACTGCCAAGCATTTGCTGGTGGGATGTAAGGTTCTCCTGGACAGCGGTCAATACTCGCGTCGTCACGATAGGCTTTTAGAGATCATACGTGAAGCGGTTAGTCTTTCGGTAGCCAGAGCGCAAAGGGAAATAACCACAAACGAGCGATCAATAGTTTTTGTGAGAGAGGGCACCAGGGCTATAAAATCAAACGTCAAGCCTTACTCTATCCTTAAAGCGGCTTCGGATTGGACTATCATGATGGATACGTATGAGAAACAATACAAAATCCCCGAGGATATTTGTGCGTCGGCCTCCAGACCAGACATATTTCTATATTCGCGTATTTTAAAGCGCGTTGTGATGATAGAGCTTACGGTGCCTTGGGAAACCAACATCCCCAAAGACTATGCCATCAAGGTCAATAAGTATTACGAGCTCACTAACGAACTAACTCGAAATAGGTTCGTCGTTGATTTGTACGCGGTAGAGGTGGGAGCGAGAGGTATAACAGCTAAATCTCTCTATAACCTACTAAAAGACTTGGGCCTGTCCAGAACTAACATTAATTCATTCTTAGAACGTACGTCGAAGGCAGCCCTAGTAGGTTCTTTTCAAATTTGGTTAGGTAGGGAGAGGAACTTGGACAGTGGAGGTGAGCGTATAACGCGCGTTAGTTAAGGGGCCCCTTAAACCTACACCTGGGTCGCAAGTCCCAGGCACTGTTGAAGCTCCTCTCCCTGCAACGCGATGGACCCGGCACCCGCACGGTGAATCCATCGAATGCTAAGAGGTTTCGTCTCTATAAACTATTTATATTATTATACTATTGTTATACAAAACATACCGCTATCAGCATGCGTTGATTTAAAAAGCTCCTCCCGTCGGTTGGAACACCTTGAAGCCTCCCGGGCTTGAAGCTGTTATACCCAACAGATTATCAGACGACCCCGCCCTGTATAGAAATGATTAATACATTATATATTAACTTAACATTATATATTAATTAATTACATAAAAATGTACTCAAAAGTACCGATATGTACTTCATAATGCAAATTGCAATTTTAATTGGACTACAAGAAAAAACAAATTATGAAGCCTATTTATTGGTTTATTATATCAATACTGATAAAATGAAAATAATTTAAATATAACGTTATTATGATAATCTATATATTGTGACTTTGCAGGCACTATAAATTAAAAAACGCATATTAAAACTCATCATAGATTATATGTTCTCAGCCTAATTAAGTGTATATATACAGGGTGACTGGTGAATTACTATCGATATTTTGAGCACGTGATATTTGACGATCATATATGACAAAATAAAAATTAATATAACATAAATATTAATAAACTTCTAAGTAAAGTTAACCAAAAGTTATGTAATTAATTACGCATCGTATGAACACCCTACAGATTAGGTATATACACACACACACACACTCGCGCGCGGCGGCGTGTTGTTGTATCAGCACGCCGCCGCACACGTCCACACTTGGAACACTTGGAACGTGTCCACACTTTATTTATTTATACGGAAATTTTGTCAAAAATTAAGTACCTATTTTTTTTACATAATTCGAATGAGAATCATGTACCGTGTATGCTCCTTAAATATTGATAGTAATTCACCAGTCACCCTGTATAATATACATATATATCTAGCCTACATATGTACCTAGCTTTAATAGGTTTGGGTCGCCTCGTGTCGTGGTGCGTCAGATATTCCCTCGTGTCGATCCCTTCTGAGTCGGAGTCCGTAACTTTCTCGCCACACTTGAGATCTATCTCTATATTCTGCGCAGGCGCCGAAGGTTCTTCTACTGTTTGACTTATTTGCTGAAATTGATAATATTATTAATTAGCTTTATTTATTGTAAATATGTGCATGAAAAGTGGTTGTATATGAGATTTAAAAAATGAATTATGATTTATAATTGCATTTTTTAATCTCAATGACATGCAATGACTTGAGGTATTCTCGTTTACATAATATACAAGTTTTGTAATGGGAAAAATAAAGATTTGACTATAAATAAATTAAAAATACTTACCATAGGTTCGTCATCGCTGAGCTGCGGCGATCCTATGTGTGTGTATGTCTGTGAGTTAACAGACATGTCCGCACTGGCCATCATGGGATTTGGTCCTTCAGATGGAGTTCGAGGACTCTGAAAAATAAAATCATTAAGTTATCGAGTTACAATAGAAATGTAATTTATAATAGCTTTAGATAACAATGCTAGCTTTTATTCAAAGATGATCAGATTCGTATTAGGCATAAGTAAATATGATTATAAATTCTTATATTATTTTAGGTTCATAATAAGATGTATTTAATGTGTCACTCGCTAAGACGTTGCAAATCCATCTCCATATTACTTATAAAAGTTTGAACCTAGCAGTGCAATACAAGCAATTTATACACTGTATGTTCATATTATAATGAATCGTCTAACCTGAGGCGTAGAGCCAGTCGGATCTCTGCTGCTCGATGATTTACGGCGATCCTTATTACACCACTTCCACTCCGGATGCGCTTTGAAGTGAGCTTCCTTCACCTGTAATTCATTAATAATTAATTAGCTATCACTCACAATAACGTTCCCAGCCCCTACCACTGTAGTCAGTAAGAGTCTGACACTCCCTCTTGCCCCACCCAGGACGAGAGGGGTCATTTGATGATTTTACCCTTAAAAAAAAATTATAACAATAAAAAAGCCCCTACCACTGTTATTACTCACCTCGCTGGCCAGTTCATTGTATTTCTTCTTTTCCTCAGGTTTAAGTGAGTACCACCACTCGCCAAGTATTTTACTGACGGTTCTGTTGTCTTGGTTGGGATGTAGCTGATGTACCATCTGTCGATGACGCTTGGAGAATATCATGAACGCGTTCATTGGACGACGGATGCGACGCTCCTTCTGATAAAAATACAGTTGAACAACTTATTACTCACCAATCAATAACTACCCTATTAATATTATAATTGCGAAAGTTTATGAGTGTGTGTGTATGTTTGTTACTTCTTCACGCTCAAACGGCTGAAACGATTTTGTATACAGGAAGCTGACGTCCAATAATAACATATAGGCTACTTTATTTCCCAGAAATCCCGGAAATCCGCGGGTAACACCGCGGGGCGCAGCTAGTTTATAATAATTATTATTATAGTACGTACTTTACTGCAACATTCTTAATTATTTAATGATAAGTAATCGACTTTGTCACACAGAACAACTAACATAAAATTACAAGCAATTTATACAAATTATAAAGCAATCCTAGACCATAATAGAATAAACAGATATCTGAAAATAATTTACCTTAGTACAGGTGTAATGTACATATTTGTGGGATATAAACATTTATGTATTAAATTTAATTCGCAACTTATCTTCGATGGCATTATTAGACTTAAAGAGAAAAATGTATAACAGTGGCTTATTTAATAATAGATCTAGTAAACGACTGGCAGCAACATCTATCGTTTGTGTAGCGTGACATAATAAAACAACCGTTATGGCGTGATCCAAAGGAGTTTTCACACCTAAATAATTATATACATAGTTATTCAGATGTTTAAACTACATACATAAAGTTTAATTAAAATCCATTAAGTAGTATGCATGAAAGGCAAAAAAAAATATGTTATAGGTAGTCAGAATTTGTAATTAATGATATCATTATATAATTAATAATACCTTCTCCTGCCCGGCCGTTTGTGTGTTCATAGAGCTCGTGTTGTTGGTCCGTCTGTTGTTGTCGTTGTTGGTAGACTCCTCGCATTCAAACACTTCATCGTCCTCATCCGTGCACATCGATGTTGTACCATCTGGTATATAATATTAAATTAATATATACATATATAGATCTTTGGAAATTCGCCCTAGTGTTATTTGATATATACTTTATACAGCTAACTTATCGTAGTGTTGTGAGGTTTTTATTGAAACACATTAAACATCGTTCTTCTCTGACCAACATAACTTAGATTCAATGTAAAGCTTAAATAATTATATGTAATTAGCTTTCCGCAAGCAGCTTCGCCCGCTTGGAGTTCGGTTATATCGCGTTTCCAAGAGAACCTTTCAAAAGTCTGGGATAAAAACTATCCTATGTTCTTTCTCAAGGGCAACTCTATATCTGTACAAAATTTCATTAAAATCAGTTCAGTGGTTTAGGCATGAAAGCGTAACAGACAGACAGACAGAGCTACTTTCGCATTTATAATATTGTTAGGGATTACATTAGTGACATACCATTCTCAGTCTTGATATCCTCTGTCTTGACGTGTGGCGTGTGTGGTGTGTGTGGCGTATGAGGCGTGTGTGGCGTGTGCGGCGTGTGTGGCGTGTGTGGCGTACGTGGCGAATGTGGCACGGTGGGTGGAGACGCCGCTCTTAATAACGGCACCAGTGACTGCCACGAGAACACACTCGGCACACCACTAGATGACACTGTAATATAAATATAATTTGATAATATTCATTAAGTTCACTGAACCTTAGATTTAACTGCACTTTGTACACGTCAATATTATTATAACGTAACTAAGATAAGTATGGCAATCATGAAGAAGGATTGGTTGCAAAAACCAATCGGTAGTTCCTGAGATGTTTAATTTAATTGGTCTCGTTATTGTTATTATACTTTTTTAATACAAAAATATATTTGATTCATTGTGTAATCAATATTTACTTGAATGTAAGTTAATTATATATACCTATAATGGCCGAGGAAGGCGGCGGTAACACCGGCAGTAGTTGATTGGGATGTACTATAACGGCACTATTGTTGAGATTGTTACCCTGAAAACATACATTCAACTTATAACATAATAAATAGTACTATTACCCATAAATAATGTTTTATTTAACTTAATCTACTTTACAAATTAAATAAATCGTTTATAATTTTATCAGTGCAATTTTATACCGTATACTTAGTCCAACTTGAAATCGTCATACATACGAAGGATTCACAGTTTCCATGCATACATCTTCTCATATAACTGTAAGTATATTGGCAATAAAGTAAAAATTCAATATTATTTAATTTTCAACTCACAGTGTCTCCGTTGTCTATATTACGGTGCTCTATTTCTTGATCGTTGTTGTTCATTTGCTGAGACTGTTGCTTGTGTTCTATCTAACAACATATTGAAGACGTTTAGTACATATATAACCAACATTATAATATAATATATACTAAGTACGTCTGTCTGTATTTACTAAGTACGTATAGTGCGTTTGATTTAAGCTGAGCTTTGCATTTGTGTGAGTGCACACGGATAGTGTACGTGCGACGTCAAATTTTTAAATGCAACGTTCTTTTCTATTTATTAACCGGTTTATTCTGCTTTTACTTCGCCCCGCACCTTCCGCACTTCACCCTTTGTACTGGTAGCAAAATCAAATGTTGAAAACGCAATGTCAAGTGAAGAAGAATTTGTATAGTTTTCAAAATTTTTATGTACTTATTAGTATTTTTCTCCCTAATATTCATAATACTTCCATCTGGCCTTTTATAAGTTTTGCTTATTTTATAGCACTTATGTTATGTATCTATTTAGAATATAATAAAATTGAATTCTAAAAGTTTTTTGTCTGACTCTACTCACACAATTGCAAAGCTCAGCTTAAGTCTAACGGGACTATACTACCTGTATGTGTAGTATATAATACCTGTACGTCCGCGGGTTCGTTCTTGATGAGCACAATCTTCTTTTCGATGCTGCCCTGCGGTATCACGTACAGTTTCCTTAGCGTGTCCTTAGTATCGTCGACCAATGAGATGCACCTGTTCGTTAGCGGCGCCGTCTTCACGACCCTCTTGTCGTCCATCAAGCGAGCCTCGGACAGTTCTAAGTGGACGCCGTCCGGTTGAGGGACCGAGTGGTCCTCATCATCGTAATCCGAGACTCTTCTATTCAGAAAATTTTCATAGTTATTCAAAGGCGGCGACATGTCCGCGTCCCGTCTATATTGCTCCTGTATACCGTTCCTGCGGTACGTCTTGTTCCTATAGTCTATATCCGTCCCGTTGCTCGGCATGCGGTGAACTACTACGTTGTGTAGTGAATCTTCTATTTTGGTCGGTCTCGCTGAATTGGCGTACGTTTGAAATTTCTGATTCAGATTATTTATAATATTTGGAAAATTTAATGATGATTGTATCGTCGTTGGCGCGTTCAGGTTGGATGGCATGCTGCTCTGTATGTTGAATGGCGTTGTCTGTAGTCCCATCATATTCGGTTGGCTCAATTGAATATTTTGTCCGTTGCGATTATCTACCTGCGAGTAAATTTGTTAGTATGGACGTATTGTGACCCGGTATATCTAAGTTCAGTATTGATTTAAACCTGATAAGGATGTGTGGGGGGCGGGGGAGAGTCTAATGACGCTGGTGGCCACGCCCCCTACCGGAGGACTCACTATAGCTGGACGTAGTGACTCAGGTCTGTGAAAAGAACAATATATACATATACTCGTATTAATATATTTTAAATTGCCACCTCATCATATGCAAATATATAATATTGCCTGACATATAAAATTCAAGATTCTCTTAAATATATGTATTTCATAAGAAATAATCAGTTTGAACCTAATACAGCCACGGGCAAAAGTATTAGGCACCCTACAGTAAGACAAGTTTTAGGGTGTTTTAGCATAGCGAGTGTAAAATAAAAACTGCATTGATAATTACACAATGGTTTATTTTAAGAAAATAATTAATATTTTGTAGGTCCACCTTTTGACTTAATAACCGCAGCCACTCTTTTTGGCATTGACTCTACCAGCCTGAAACATTCTTCTCTTGATATATTTTCCATTCCTGCTGTAACGCGGCCAATAGAGCTTGTTTATTGCTAATCGAGTGCCTGCGGATATTTTTCTTTAAAATGGACCAAATATGCTCAATCGGGTTGAGGTCTGGTGATTGTGGTGGCCAGTCCAAAAGATCAATATGATTTTTCAGCAAAACCACTTCATGGTATGCGCGGACTTGTGGCAAGTGGCGTTGTCTTGCTGAAATTTCAGGCCATCGGTGTTTGTATCACCGAAAATTTGCGTTATCGACGTTGCTAGTGCTGTTTCCAGAACTTCAGTGTATTTAACACTATTCATTCGTCCCTCACACAACACCATCTCGCCCACTCCGTCGGCAGCCATGCAGCCCCAGATCATTATTGAGCCTCCACCATGCTTAACAGGGGGAACCACACATTCTGGGTTGTATTCTTCGCCAACCCCTCACCTAACATGGGTCACACTGGGTGTTCCAAACACCTGTGCCAAACGAAAAACACCCATTTATTTTCAAAGTTATTATTTTTCTTGCAGTACGTTATTTTAAAAACATTTATGTGTTTTAATATTGTACATAAAATAAATAACAATACCTCAAAGTTAGATTCGTCTGACCACAGTATGTTGGACCAATCTTCCACTGACCAATCTCTATGTTTGAGTGCCCACTCCAACCGATTTTTCTTATTGTGTTCTGACAGCCACGGCTTCTTCCTTGCTTTACATCCTTTTAATCCAGCTTTAAGAAGTCTTCTTCTCACAGTATAAACACTCACTGAGCTGCCTTTTGCCTCAGATAATGCTGCAGCGAGCTCTAAAGCAGTTTTTTTTTCCTGTTTTGTAGAGACTGCCTAATCAACAATCGATCTTCCCCTTCAGTAGTAACTTTTCTTCTGCCTGTTCTTGGGCTATTTTCATGGGTGCCAGTCTCTTTTGAAGCGATTTATAGCATATTGAACTGCACATCGCGAGCACTTCACTTCTCGGCTATTTTAACCTGAGACATGCCTTGTTCATGTAAAATCTTAATTCTTAGACGCTGTTCAGCACTAAGTTCAGATTTTTTCGGCATGATTAACACGTTAAATGTTAGTCTTTAGAATTGTGATAGGAATAGATGCGTAGAAGACGTGTATGTTCACTGCAAGCACTGATAACACACTATAACCCAAAACGCACAAAAAAAGCAAATTCGAAGAAACCCCGCATAGGAGCACACCTGGATGTCATAAATATTTTCTTTTATCTTAATTTGGTTAAACATTGCCGCTAATACAATAGCTAAACCATAAAACACACACTTGACCGCTATCTAATGAGATAGTGACTAACAATAGGGGTGCCTAATACTTTTGCACGCAGCTGTATATATTATATAAGACGAAAGCTCTCATCATTCATTAGATTAACCGTGCGGGTATCGGGTCCATAGTTGCAGGGAGAGTAGCTTCAACAATGTCTGGGACTTGCGACCCAGGTGTAGGTTTAAGGGGCCCTATCTAGCGCGATAAACGCTCACCTCCACCGTCCAAGCTCCTCTCTCTACTTAAATCCCTACTAATATTATAAATACGAAAGTAGCTCTGTCTGTCTGTCTGTTACGCTTTCACATCTAAACCGCTGAACTGATTTTAATAAAATTTGGTACAGAGATGTAGCTGACCTTGAGAGAGAATATAGGATAGTTTTTATCCTAGACTTTTGAAAGGTTCTGTTGGAAACGCGATATAACCGAACTATACACGGGCGAAAGCTAGTTATATATATTATGAAATATTATTATACAAAATGTATTACCTTATAAGGTGGTGATGGTAGTTCTTGTGCGGGGGGATTGTTAGGCGGAGGGGCTGCGGGGAGGATATGGGAACGAACACGTTGCCGCGGAGCACCGGCGACCCGCTCACTGGAGACGCGCCCGGGCTGCCGGAACGAGAACTACCGAGAGACACTGGAAACAAACATTATACTATATATATGACATCTCTAAGACTTACGAGAATATTCATTGAAATAAAAAATAAATTTAGTAGTGCGAAAATATTAGTGTCATTTAAATATAAATACAGTTAAAATGCGATTAACTTAACATTATGAGATCACTGAAAACCAGTGTAGAAGCAACATTGCTTCTATTTTTTACTGAGTGGTTCTCCTTTTGGTGAAATTACATTGCTCCACACTTATTACTATTATTATTGTTATTGATTTTAACTTGATATTCGTCCTATTGTAGTTTGTAGTTGTTGTTATTTTCCTTTTTTGTATACATAGGATAAGTATTACTCTGTTTTTATTTTGTTTTTTGTTATTTGTTTTGTTGTGGTGTAATATTTTAACCAATTAACGTTTATTATTATGGCTTACGTTATAAAGGGGAATGTTAAATAATTTTTGTTACTACCGATTTAAAAAAGTAAGAAAAATATCCTAATGAAACTTTACAGTACATTTACTCAGACATAATAATAATATGGAGACTATAATAATTTAAAGCTCGATTCAAAAAGGGGTATTTTATAAGTTTGACCTAGATGTCTGTGTACCGTACTGCGGAATCGTAATTCACAAGTGTTTGAGTGTTATCTCTTTACAAATTCAAGTGCATTTTCTGATTACATTACTTAATAGAAATAATATAATATTTATTGGTTAAAGTCGCACTACAACACAATAACGATCTTATTCACAAATAAAAAACATTAAAAAAATACAATAAATAAAATTACACAAAAAAAAAATTACAATAAGAAAGAGGAAAAAAAAAAGAAAATGTGCTGCAGTGCAACAATACCAAATGAAGATTCGCTCAGTTGAAGAAGAAGCATCAATGATGCTGCTGATTTTCAGAGGTCTCCATAAGTTATTACTTGATTAATCCTTCATATAGGCATAATCAGTGGCGGCTGTACCTTAAGTGCACTTGTGCGCTGAACCACCAATTCAAAAGATTACAAAATAAAAATTACAAAATATTACTACATCTTTATTTTTAAATTACCTTTTTAATATTTATTTTTTAAACATATAAAAACGTATAAAAAATTAAATTTCTTAATTATGGTCAAAAAGTTTGAGCGCTTTACTAAACTCATATCGTGCGCTTCGGCGAGGTGCACGAGAACTGCTAATACATCTTGTATGAGATACGAATTAATACGCCTGACGCGTGAAACAAAAGTTAGTTCATAGAAATGTACCGAGTAATGAGTCGGTTCTGGAGCACCGCACAAGCGAACCGAACATTACCGAGAACACCTGATGACAGCCATGATTGACATCTCGTTATGTTTAGTTGCATTTTCTAATTTTAATATTTTAGTAAACTGCACCACCGGTTCGATTACCCACCGGCCACCACTGGGCATAATGATTGTTTGAAACACTCTTACATATTTCTATTTTAACACAATTTCGTTATAATTTCAAGGTGATTTATATGAATTAATATATTGTTTATATACCTAGCATGTTAGCGGCCTCTGTCTCATCCTGGTCAAACCTGCCCGTGACGCGGGTAGTTGGGCGGCGTGGTGTCTGACTCACGAGACGTTTCATCTCCCTCCACGCCCGTACCGTTGATGATAACGACTTACTGCTGCTTCTGAAACATTTATTATATACATTGAGTATATTATATACAGACAGACAATGGCTTAAGCTGGGAAATTGCCAGGTAGAAAAAGAAGAAGAGTATATTATATACAATTATATGATACACTTTACTGGGTGTCTTTTAGCGAATTATATTTGATTACTATGTATATAATATATTGTAAGATTAATTGATATTATTATTTATGTGATAATACTTCATATTTTTTTTCTGTTTTAACTTAATAAATTTTTTATAGTAAAAGATCATTATAAATTATGTATACTCAAGATTTATTTATATATACATTGAAACCTGGTTAAATAATACGTGAAGGGAATTGTAAATTTGTTTCACTTATAGAGATATAAATAGTTATCCGCCATTTACAAGTACAGTTCAGAATACAAGTTATTTCAGTTATAGATACAATTAATAATGAGAATTTATATTTTAACAAATATATACTCAAAACTTAGTGGTAATGAAACTGTCTTAGGACAATGTCTTTTCGACTATAAAATAATTTTTAAACATCCCATTTATATTACAATTTTATTGATTATAAAAAAGGATACATATGTACTTCCTTAAAAAATATAATTTTTGTGGTATAGACGATAATATATGTACATAATATATGTACATATATATTTATTACCTCTGCTGCGGTGTATGTGTAGATCCTTGTGTGAGCGGTGTATTAGACGACCTATTAACCCCTCCTTGTGAGAGGTGTCGCGAGCAGTATCCCCGCCGCTGACTTTCCTTGCCGCACCCGTTCTTAGAACACAACCTGCGCCACTGTTTCCCATTAAACTTCTTCCTTATACCAGTAGGCGTGGACACCACGTCACCCTTCTTGTACTTATGAGGCGTAGCAGCTTGAGATCTACAAATGAACTGATTTTTATTTAATGATAAATTTGTATGTATAATAAATTGTATAAAAATAAAATGGCTTAGATTTTGATGTTTATTATAGAAGTGAATATGAAAGTTATTTATTTTAATAATACATTAAATGCTCGTCTTGTCTGATAATTCTAATATAACTTATACCACATAAGTAATCTACTCTTTTTTCCAATTTATCATCAACGGATTAAGAATTTTATCATACAACAAAACAACACTTGCATCAAGATAAACTCATTGAAAATTTTAGTAAGATTTGACTTAGTACGGCATAAAGTAGGATTGTTTTATACACACACACACACACACACACACACACACGCACACACACATATATAGGTTATTACTTAATAAGAATGATACCTGGGTGTAGGCGGCTGTGAGCGAGGAGTCAGACTGCCCTCAACGAGACTTGATGTACTGCCTCTGCTCTGTAGACTGCTCCTCTTACTGTTATTACAATCTGTTAAGACGTTAATGAAACAAAATTACATATCATAGATTTTCGGGAGTAAACATTTAAACTGAACCATGATTTTCTGGTGTACTATTCGATTTGTGATTTTATTTCGATTATTTTTCAGCAACTGTCGTAAAGGCTTGGCTTATCCACTTAGTGTTTCCAACGAGTAGTATAACCAAAACATAATTTGAATGAAACCAAACCATCTTTGTATATATGTACATTATCAATAAGCAGTATGCTTACATTTATTTATCATCATATTTATTTACCTTTCAGTAATCTGTAATCGAGACACTTCTTTAACCACAAAAAACCTATTTATTATACTTTATTTACATAAAGTTTTACATATATTTTTTTATGTTATTATATGTATATATATTATACCCATATGCGAGGCGTCAGTGGGGAACATAATGTTCTCGCTGGGCAGGTCGTCATCACTGCCGTAGTCGTCGAAGGGTCGCGCCCCAGCTGACAGCGACACCGACACGTGGGACGCGCCCGGCATAGGAGACGACGTCGCGAAGTGATCACCCATAGAGTACTGGAAGAATTACAGTGAGAGAATGATTTATATATTATAAAAAAAATAAATTTAGAACGTGATTGATAATTGATATTGTAACTTTTTCAAATTTAGAACACGAATGATATTTTAAAAAAAATTTTGAAAATTATGTATTGATAATTTTATTTGTAATTTTTCAAATTTAGAACATGATTGATATTATAAAAATTTTAAATTTAGAACTTAATGTTTGTTATGAATGTTCTAAATTGAAACTACGTGTACATTACAACTGTTTCAAAGGGTTAAAGTAAGTATTCAAATAAGTTTGAAGTTTTGTGAAGTTGTAATAAGACTATTGTTGTATTAAGACTATATTCGTTAGTAAAGAAGAAAAATAAAATATAATCCTAATTATTTATTACTAAAAAAAGAACACCGACATATAAATAATGTTTACATTCACTCACCGATAATTAATTATTTAGTTAAAGAATATTAATAACTTAAATACACATTTCTTTACTAACAATATTAATGATCAATTCTTTCGTAAGTATCGCAACACAGTAGTAAACCTTAATGAAGTTAATTATATGAACTACTTATTAATACCAGTACTAAATGTAATAATAATTATTATTCGTCGGGGATAATGCAAATCCGCTTAACTACCATTGGATAATTCTGCATATCTACTTTGGAAACAGATTATCAGAAGAAAGTTTAAGCTTAAATATTTTTGTATATTAACGACTTTTAAGGTAATTTTTTCACAATTAGTAATAAAATTACCACCAAATAATTACTAATTGTGAATAATTACCTAAAAGTCATTAATTTTGAACATATTTAAGCTTAAACTTTCTTCTGATACTCTGCTTCCAATATCACTATCCGCGACGATATGTAATAATAATAATATTTTTTCTAAAGGTAATACTATATTACCGGTACAGAGACGCACTGCTGCCTCATATGTGGAACAGTTGGTGCGTGAGAGCCGGCGTCTTCCAGCTCGTCGGCCCACGGAGGTTGACGAAGACGAATATCAGCACGCTTTACCTCAACCACCTCCTTACAAGTGTCGCCCTCTATGACCTAATGTATGAATAATTAGTAAAATATATACAGAAAATATTAAATCTCTAATATGGGTCTTTTTGATTGAAAATCAGTTTTCCATAAGCATAATTTCATTGATATTTCCCATCAATAGATAATAACGTCCCTACTAATCCCTACTAATATTATAAATGCGAAAGTAACTCTGTTTGTCTGTCTGTCACGCCTAAACCACTGAACTGATTTTAATGAAATTTGGTACAGAGATAGAGTTGATCTTGAGAAAGAACATAGTATAGTTTTTATCACAGACTTTTGAAACGCGATATAACCGAACTCCACGTAGGCGAAGCTGCGGGCGGAAAAGCTAGTGTTATATAAAACTAAAATAATCACCTTAACGCGAATCCTGATGGGAGAATTATTAACTTCGAACACTTCACCCTCGATGAACACGTTATGCCCCCCATCTCTGTTCGGGTCTGTTGTCTTGAAGACGCACGCAGACCCCACCGGCAGATGACTGAGCTGGGGGCTCGCGTCACTGATGACGTCATATCTATTGACACCGAACAAATCACTGTACTCTATAGGTTCAATGTCCTGTCCATCTAACTCCACTGTGACTTTACATCCATCAGCCTGCCGTATTACCCCCGGTAGGTATAACCCACGATGTTTAGCCAGGACTCTGTGATCGCGCCACTCAGATAGATCTATGTTAGGGTATTGTATGTATTGCTTCGTATCGTGTGGTCTAGTGAGCAGTGGTGAGCATCTAATTATTATGGCTGGTTGGGTTGTCGGCTGATAGCTTGTCGTGTAATCCATAGAATTGGTTACAATTGGTATATTCAAGCTATTCCTTTCCGCGATGCTATTGACGCAGTTACGTTCGATCTCTTCTAGTTCAGATGGATCGAATTTCCTTTTTTTTGGGCAGGTTTCGTACTGGTGCTTGTGTTTGCGTGTTGTTACTTGTAACCGTGTTCCCGCGGCTCGCCATCGTTGTGTTTGATGTTGGATTTGTTGTTGATTGTGAAAGACTCACTGTACCCACACTGCTGATTACAGAAGCTGGTATCTGTAATAAAATATATATCATTATACAAAAATACCTAAAAAACTGAATTTATTGTATATATATTCATAATAATAATTTTGAATTACGTTTACTTTAATACAGTACTATAAATAAGTATTATTTTTACAATGTTTTTTAAATAATCAAAATTTATGAATATTCATATAACTAAAATGTAACAGAGCATACATTCCTTGCATAAAAAAATCAATTAAGGCTATAATATGTAGTATTATGTAAATTGCGAATGGAATCTCATATTAATGAGACATCTTGATTCTACATAAATAAATAAATCTTAATTTCTGCTTGTATTTAAAAATGTCTTTACAAAGATTATTTTGTTCTTCATACATGCCGTTATAAAATTATAAAGTTACAAATATAACGTTCCCCCCTTCAGATTCATCACTCCGTCACAGAATTAAATATGGTATTTATATAAATATATATAATATTATGTATATTAATTTTTCCTTCCGTATTCTCCAATGGTTGAATATTATATTAAAAATCTTGAATCCATACTGAAACTGAGAACTATTTAAAACTACAGTCATTATAAAACGAATGAGTCATACACACGAAACATTTTTTTTTTACGAAGCCAATGCATTAATTATTACGTCGGCCTCACAACGTAAGTGAACATTGAATAATTTATTAAGTTAAATTATTTTGTGACTTATTTATAATATAGTTTTAGTGTATTGGGAGACAGAAAGGCTCCGAAAAAGTTTAAGCGAACAAAATTACAAGGCCGTCAAGAAAATGAGCATTACAATCATGAAAGAAAAAAAAACAAAACGTGATAGAGCATGAAAAAAAAACTAAAACGTGAGTCACCTCACGTCAGCAATAACGAAACGCTGGCTGTAAAATACTCATTATTCAATTAATATAGAATATTAATAGTGAAAGAAATTAAACGTATTGTAATAAAAAAATAAAAATGTCAATGTGACATTTATCGACAATCTAACGTCATTGGAGAATTTATTTCTTTTAGTAATAAAGTTGTATTATAGATAGAATACTAAATAGAAGATACTGGTAAGTAATGTATTTAGAGTACTTATTTCTTTTATATACATATATCACCTGATCATCAATGTCGTATATGTGTGACGCGTGCGTGCGGTACACGGCTCGCGGGCTCTGCGCCGAGGACGCGCCGCCCGCCTGCCGCTGCATCACCGCGCGGCTACCACCGCCCGTACATTACATGACCACCTGCGAAATGGAAATAAATATATATAAAATCTATTAAGATTCAAACATACAAACAGAAATCTCTTAAGATTTTTTTATTACGAGATTTTTAAGAATAATAATTTAACCAACATAAAAACAGGCATCATTAAATGCAAATGATCTTAATCGGTTGAAAAATCAATTATCTTTAGACGTACATGAGCAGTAGAATTAAGAACTTGCATCTAGTATACCTACTTATAAGTTATAGGTAATTAATTACGTAATATTCGTACCAAATAACAAAGAGAAAATAACACTGGTAAGGAGTAGGTTTAATATTTAAATAAAAAAACATAATAATTAATAATTTAAAATTAGAAAAGTTTTCATTATTTTCTTTCACTATCAAGATAACAAAATCTGTCATAGAAACTATATTATACAATATGTATATCAAAGCATTATGGGTACTAACGCTTAAAAATAAAAAAATACATAATTTTCTCTTCTCGATGTCAAGTTAAAAACAGGTTAGCTACACGAGGGGCGTCGTTTTTCAATAAGCATTCGCTCCATGAGAGAACATAATTATTGACAATTTTATTTAAAACGTTGTATACAAATCCATGTTTGACTTTTTCTTACCGCATTGTCTTATTACGATGATATTAAATCTACGTTTTATACTTTAGTTTTAAAATTATTAGCGACGGGGTCAATGACCTGTATTTCTCTGTAATCATATCTTAAACAGGATTTAATACAATCATTTCCGTCACTATCTATTTATATACGTTTCTAAAGACCGTGATTTAGGAAAACAAACACAAGAGAAAAAGAAAATATAGATTAGCATACATTAATTATTACGTAATAAAAGATAATAGTGACGTTTTAAAAGGCGCTACTGAATTGTTTTTTTACCGCCAAAAGATGACTCAGCGTGTCAAATGAAAATTGCACAGATACAATAAGGCACTAAAAAGTATATTTTTTATTTATATAGTTAGGTATACGTTAGAAAGCCATCAAATCATATTTAATCTGATAGATAATTATATATGGTTAGAAGCGTAACGTTGAATTCAAGGTACTTAAATGAATGGCAGTTATTTTGTAAACGGATGACGTCAAATTATATAAAAAAATAATTATGATTTAACCTAAAATCTGTATGAAAAAATGGACGTGTGCAATTGTGATTAAACACGACAAAACTACTGGATAGATTTCTATAACATTTTGTAGGTTTTTATTCTTACGGTATCGACCATATAATATATTGCATTATGTTACATTATGATGTATAATAGGTATCTAAACATGATTCCGTTATTATAGTTTAATATAAAATTATTAATATTTAAGAACTGAGGTTTTTTACAAGCACAAAGATGTTTTTTCTTGTTCGTACGAAAACTTTATCAACGTATCAATAATCAAACTATCAAGAGGTAGCGCTTCTAGCAATCATAGGTTTTATTAAACCCATATTTCATACAAAATAATTGCTCACACTTCAGTTAATATCAAATACTTACGTAGTCTTAATTTATCTAAATATTCATACTTAGCTTATCTTTATTCATATAAATTCCTATATTTTTTATTAACAAATACCCCAAAATATATTATACGAAACAAATGTTTATTTCGGAACTGTTATATATTTGACATAATAACGTTTTCTATTTTCGAATACAATTCAAATTATAACCGGCAAACAATATAGGAAAGCTGATTACGTCATAAATACATTATCACCTGGCCGCTTTATAAATTAACCATTGAGACTAACGTTTGCCATCTATTTTAGGTCTAAATCGAAATAGACTAAGACTTAGACTTAGCTTGGATCAATAACCTGTTCCGAGAACGTCGTTAGGGTTTTAATAAAAACTAATTGTCACACAATAAAATATATAGAGATTTGCGACCCAATTGCGTCAGATAATACTACATAATGTGACTCATAACATTCTGAACTTAACAGCGGACGCTTAGGTATTTGTATTAATAAATTAGGGTGTGTCGTAAAAATGTTTAACATCGAAAATAAATACATATTAACATATCATTTCATTCTTAAAACATTAATTTAAAATGAACTGTGTAGTATTAAAATTAACAAATCAAATGCCTGTTTATATTCGAAATATAAATTTATAGCCACCTAATATCTATATAATGCAATTTAAACCGCTCAAGACATGTCCCGACATGTTTTAAACCCGATCACACGATAACCTTACTTCAGATGACCTTGACGTGAATACTTGGTTGAATCCTTAAACCATTTGTTTGAATCGAATAACTTATTACATGTGCAAATTACGAGTCGGGATGGTAATTGTATTACAATTGTATGTTCACTGTTCTGTTATATATATTTAAATGGAAGTATTTGTTTGAGTGAATATTCGCTTTACAGAAAGTATACTGAATCGAATTCCATCAGTTGCTATGCCTAATAATAACATGTTGATACATATTTATAGGTCTTTTTGATCGGTTTTGGAAAAATCGTAGATTGATAATTAGTTTTAATAATTTATATTATAGAAAACGGTGTAGCAAAAAATAGGAAATTTTAGTGAAAGAAATTGGTACTTTGAACTGAATTCATATGACAATCGTTACCTATAAAAAGATGCAAATACACCAGTTTTGAACTTCGAATGCATAGACAATATTATTATTGACAAAATTATTACTATTTTTGTTTAAAGCACGCGATACAAGTAATTAGTATTTATAATATGTTAATATATATATAAAATAAAGATTAATTTAAACATAACAATTAGTCAATATTGTGAAAACTAAATTGACGAATTAGTTCAGAGTCCAATATTTTGAAAAGCTATATAAAGTACTTCGAATTTTCCGGTACAGACTAGTAGCAGATACAATTAGTTATTGCTAATTAGCGACCATTTTGTTTAATGTCAGAAATAATAATTGCATATACTAAAAAAATCCTTTCATTAAAACAAATTTATTGAACAATTAACTATTATGTAATAACTTGTATATGTAAAAGGAGGTGACTTCATATTACTAATTGTTGATACACGGTATCTTTAATATGTACTTAAATACATAGTATACAACTATATGCTATCATTAAATAATGATCGATTACATTTTAAAGAAACTGTAACAATTTGTATGAAAATAAAAAATAATAAAAACATTGGCGGAATACATTCAAACTATTTTAATGAAAAGTCGAGAAACAGTGATTCCAAATTCAAATATTCAATATCATGGCAGCATCATAAAGATGTTTCGGTTTGACATTTTTTATGACTAACGACAACGAACTCAAGTTTAAAGTTGTAAAGAAGCTATAAAAGTTTCGAACATTACCAATGAAATGCCGCGTGTAGATATTGAGACTAAATATATAATCATCTTCTTATTTCAAAAGCATGCACTTTTTTACTATAAAGTATATGAACATAATTTTTTTTTTCTTAATAAATTATAAACCTATAATGCACGAATAACAATTAATGAGGATTACTAAGTATGCAAACAAAACCTGAATTAACTTAAACGTGTTACATTTAATATAATAATAATATATCTGACATACAAAAGTTTAGGGGTTCACAAATGTGCGATTGTTACTGGCTGGTTTGAATTATTTACAAGAAAAAACTACATATATCCGCATAATATTCGTTTCAAATTATAAAGTTGAATCTTCAACCCTTTTGCTCGGTTCGTTGAGGTACTCAACTTTCACTGCATCACGGATGTCGCTGGCTAAGCTTTCAAAGGATCTCGCGACACTTCGACTACATACTTATATCGTTAAATGTTTGAAACGTTCTCCCCTCCTTTAATGTTTCTAAATTATTTATAACAATTTCATAAAAAGATTTGATAGAAATGTTTTTTCTAAGTTGAATGCAACCGTGAATGTGATATTTATGTTCATAAAATACAATATTCGATTCCACTACATATAAGTTTATTAAATAAACACAGAACTAAAAACTATTTTTTGACTAGATTTAAACTAATCGTGATATCAAATCTGAATCTAACACAAACGCAAGATGTAAACACGCTCCGAAATTATATGTATGATCGATTAATTTATGACACTAACGCGTGTTCCGGAAAAAAAAAGTTCTGATCTTCTCTGATAACTGCTTATATATCGTACTCCCTCTTTTTTCCTCTCATATTCTTTTAATATATTATATATGCCTACGTTAAAATCCGGCCCGAATTATCAGTGGCGGAAGTTTAAAAAAGGGGCAACCCAGAAGGCGGCAGATGGTTCCTCCTAAATTTGATCGTAATAAAGATTCCCACACAGATAATATTCATCATTGGTGGCATTTAAAAATACATCAGTTTTAAATCTGCATTTGAAAAAACACTATAAAAATGCATATTGCATAACTATTTAAGAATCAAATGAAAAAAAAGCAAATAGCTTTTTTTAATCAATAATATACCATCTTAATTGAGTTAATGAATATACCAATTTACTTTTTTTGTGCAATATATGTCTTGAATGTTAGAGATTTCAAACTTAACTACATATCCAAAATAATCTAAAATATAAACGCGATTATCATTATCTATAACCTTAAATATTAGTATTGAACAACAATTTTTTGGTGCTTACGAAAAAAAGAAAAAATATCGAAACTTCATGAGAAATATTACAAAACTAGAATGAAAAATTAGAGACTAAAGAATATATATGTGTTTAAGTGGAATATTCCAGCGACAACACTATTGCTAGCATTTATCATTGATTGTTCTTATTTTAAACAAGTCTAAATTGATGTCATTTGAAATAGAAACAGGAAAACATTTGTTTTTATACAATGTATATGAGAGTAGAATACAAATTAAGAAAAAGAAAATTATTTATCAAATAATGTATGAACATTTTTTTTTATTATAATGGTCCATATATAACTGTCATAAAAATATTTATAGACAAAAACTATGGTAGGGAATAAAGATTTACTTAAATCACACATCACATTGGGGATGTCTATTAGAAAAAGACAATAACCCAAAGAATATAGGAAATGTATAGAGTTTCAAGTAAAAAGTTTAGGAACCATTCTGAAAATTTTGTTACTAAATTATATCCAGATTGTTATAAAATTCTCAAAACAATAGTTTAATTGTATTTCAGATAATAAAAAGCATACATATGATCAAATTGAGAAACCTCCTCCTTTTTGAAGTCGGTAAAAAAAAAACATTGTTGATTCTTATTGACCCATCAATACTTTTAAATAACCAATCTTTATAAAATCATTTTCCTATATTGTATTAAAATAATCCTGACTCTAGAATTATCTAGAAACAAGTGAAGTTATTTTTCATTATCAACCTATAACCTCAATCCGTAACTGAAATTAAAAAATATAAATATTAGAACATAAGTCTTATTGTATTGAATAATTAATAATAAATTAACTATTTACTGAAAAAAATAAAGGTATGAGAAAAAACCTCTAAATATACTTAAAAGTAAAAACTAATGAGTAAAAGTAGATATAAGTATACACATCTTGTAAGATGTGAACCGTGAACTATTATATGACACATATAATCTACTTAAAATAAAAAAATATTCAGTATATAGTTGTTAAATGTATATATGATATTCATTTATCTAGTCATAGTTTTTATACTATGAAACATCTGCCATACAAACACTTTCTGATGCAATGTTTAATGTTCACAAGATAAAAATAGTCAAAAACATTACCAATATAAATAAAAACAAATTAACCTTAAATAATTACCACTGAAATGTAAGAATAATACTATTTTTATCAGATATTTCCTTCCATTGTATTTATAGCTTTATTTGAATCAACAATTATCACTGCTGATGGAATTTTAATTATTCAATACATATATACAGCTTTATCTGTGCTTGAATGTGTTAATAAAGTATGTACTATATAGAAATGTAAAATAGGTTAGTTTAACTAATCATCTTGCTCTATGTGAAGTTAATTTCTCACTACATAAATGATTTTCTATGTACAATAGGACAATATGTAAGATTTGAATAAATAAACAATAATAACCTGGCTCATGGCTACCACTATTATTTGTAAACATTCATGGCAAGGCTGACAGTACCTCTATGCAGTGTAATCAGCTGATAAGAGCAATACGACGCGACGTACGCAGGCAACTTGCATACGACTGGCGCATGCTTACATTCTGCCGAAATCAATCAACCCGCAATTGTTTTACGAATCCACGTCGAATTCGTGTATATAAACTATGACTAATGTTCCAAGCACTGTTCTCATGCCGTGTGGACCGATCTGACAACTGTGATACACTATACACTAAATCGAATACCATTACTTATTCACTATTGAAAGATGACTGTCTTGTGCGGCCTACATGCGCAGCCAACGTTTCGTTACATGCTACACTCTTAGCTGAAACCCAACTCACCACTTTCCATTGTCGAGAGCACGACGCACAGTGTAAAAACAACCAAACCTCATAATAAAACAAAATGGATGTCCGAATTGCTAGCACAGAGATGAGGAATTTTATGAGCGTCCGAACGACACCTCTCCAGTTGTAAAACGTTGTGACTATAGTATTGTAGTATTTTAGCAGCCCCCCACCTATTTATTATCTGTCTTCACTGCACATATATAGTTCACAATCACAAAGAAATATAATTACAAGTTTAATAAAACAACACAGATTAAGTATATGAAAGAGGTTTTGAACAATTTTTTACGTCCACTTGAAAATAATAATCATTGAAGCATTTGACAAACCGAGACAAAACACCCACACCAAAAAATCCTACATGGCGACTGGCCTGGCCTGGCCCATAATAATTTCCACTCGAACGTATTTCCATTTCGCTCGTTCACCATTCATTTAATTATTTCTCAATACGCGTGACAGAGATAGAAATATATAAATATTTCCTATGTATGAATAGAATCAGTATTGTGAAGTGTCCCTCCCCGGCGCTGCTCGAACTGAGTTGAATGGACCCGAGACGCGCTCAAACCATTGGATCGATGATAGTCACGTGACATTATATGTCGCGCGGCACTTCACTTCCCGCGAAACTTTAAATTATTCATAGCAAAACAACTTACATTACACACTTTCATGCAAATAGATATATGCTTCATTTCAGCTAAATAAAGTAAATGCTTATTATTTATGAAAATTCAAAAGCTGATATAAAACTGATATAAAAAATACCTTTTAAATATCTGTTGTGATTGAAAAATAATATCTAATAACGAATAACAAAGAAATAAGAGCAAATTATAGTAACTAAACTCACCTCGTTTTATAATTAGATGCTTCGTAAATCTTTATTAATTGCAATATACGAAATTAACACAAAATCATTAGAGAGCATTTGATAGGCTGAAAAAAAAACTAGGACAAAAGAATCGGGTTATAAATACTGCAGTCGCGTACTGCGCCTGCCTCAGCAATCCTCATCTTTACCTTGTAATATAAACCAGGCACGCCCTTCTTTGCGTTAATCTCTATGATGCAATATCATTGACACCATGATGGATACTTTGTATAACTAGACTTTGCAAACTTGATTCTTCGTCAAATTCAGGCGTATCCATTGTGTAGGGCATTAAGTAGGAAAAATAACGTTAGTATTAAGATTAATTACATCCAATTAAGTTTTTGATTCAACTACATGTAAAACATTCGTAACTTAAACATTATATGCTATACATCTTTCAATTTTTATAACTTTATATCTTTCTCTCAATTTACGTGTATGAATGTGAATTTTATTGTATATTTTCATATTGAAATACTAAATATTCATTTGATAAAAAAATACTTAAAAAACCTTTGGCTTCTGTGTTCATCAATTCTTTGTAAATGTATACTTATATTTGCAAGCTATCACAAGACTGTTAAAATATGTGTTTGAAATGAAATACTTTTTATTTGATTCATAATTCAAAGTATAAATAATGAGACTTAAGACCTCATCTCGTCCGCCCGCGATCACGGTTGCTGCAAAGTAACTATAGAGTCGGGAATACCTATGTAGTTTTTAAAAAGAATGCAAAGTAATCCGAATTATTATTATTATTTTAATTCAAAGGAAATAAATATAAAATATTTATTATATGTGATAAAACTTAAGACAGCGCTAAGATTGGATGTAAGTAAAGATATTTGAGAAAGTATTTTATTTAGATATATAATCTGTATTCATGATTGTCTGTTCAGAATATTTACAAAAATGTAACATTTAAATGAAATTAAATATAGCATGGGTAGTTAATCCCAAAAAACTTAGTTTCATTTAACTAAATGTGTCCAAGTGAAAAACTTAGATATCAATTTAACAGTTCTTAAAAAAATGGAATTTATGGGTTTACAAAAATATTTATATTTAAAATAAAACAAAGCATAGAATTTTGAGTAATTATATTTATTGTGTACGAAAATATATCCTACCTACCTAAAATTAAGTAATGACTATTATACTTTATTTTAAGCTGTTAGATTCAGATATATTGTCATTGATATAAACAAAGTGTCTACCAATAAAATAATTTAATTTTCACAATATAAGTATAGAAAACATATTTTCTACAGAACAGATTTTTGAATACTACCGTATAAACTATACATGTGTTATGTGTTAAGAAAAAAATTATATATAATATTGATTAAGTATAACTATAATAAGCAATTCTGAGGCTATTTAAACATATCAATTTGATCATTATGTGCAGTTGACTTTTTTTTTTATTCATAATTGTAAGAAGCAGTTATATTTAAATCAAATGCCTAATCCGAATACAGAGACGATGCAGTACATGGTCTTATTCTCCCAGCGGACGGTGCAGGAACCGTCGGTATTGTTGTCCCAAAAACATGAAGAGGCTGTATGTAACCCGGCACCATTCTTCTGCATTATTGTGCAAGTCACTAGAATAAAAAAACTACATGTTAGCAAATATGTGTTTATGTTACTTTATATTGAACTAATATGTGTGTAGTATCACAAGATATACAACAAATAACAATGTTAATATATTAAAAATTTTGGGTGATATTGTTTTGCTTACGAATTTTACTTGGGTACTAAAAAGAAAGAAAATTCCCGTTATTATCTTATAATATTAATATTTTAAACATCATAGCCAAAGCGTAAAAAAAAAAGCACAACCAAACAGTTCGAACTTAAAACGGTACTTACCTATATACTTATAAGGCTTTTGCAATTTCGTAAGCTGTCCCAAACACGATTCCACTACAGCAGATGTCCATTGGTTTACCTTATTATGTTGATATGCATTACCCCCTATAGAATTTTCAATCGCTTCTTTAATAATTTTACTCACATCATCCACAATAAATTGATTCTGAAACACGTCATGAGAAGTAAATAAAACAAGGAATAACTACTGAAAACAAAATAAATTAGTCAAAGCTTACTTCCTCTGTTAAGTCATTGCATTCTTTGACTTCCATTTTTATAAATTAAACGGTGTGAGAGTTTCTGATGAGTCTGAAAAATATAAAAACAACAAAATTTGACACTACGAAAAATCTCAAACTCCCAAATTAATAGCTGTTGACAGGTAAAAGCAGTTATGTTTGATCAATACAGACAAGAAAATAAAAATCAATTTGTTTAATTTTTTATGGCAACTTTGTTTAAGTGTAAATATGATTATATTTATATAATACTTTTTTATATCTGTTTTTTTGCATGTGCGTCGCTTTATTTTATTTTTTTTAAATTAAATTTTATTTATTTTTTGTCTATAGCAAAAAATATATATGTACAAAAGGGTAGCAAGTTAACAGTTGTTTTTAGGTAGTAACACACAACCGAAACCTTCATCTTATGACTGTCATTTTATTTTCAAGTTGAGTATGGATATTTTCATAATAAATTGTCCCTAATGGCTTCATCAATGCAGAATAACAGAGTTTCGTCACCTGGATACTGTGTCTGTTGCAGAACTTGCAACATGTGGTGCTGGAGAGCCTTCAAATGGCTTCCAGTATTGCTTATTGTGTCGATTGTGACATGGTCTTATTATGCATACGTTTATACAGCTATGCATTTGTGAGTAACTTAGTATTTTGTGTTAATTAAGTCGTGTTGTTTTGTTTATTTAATACATAATTTAATTTTACAGTTACTATTGATGGTACAGCCCAAAAGTGTATATATCTAGTGCTATATCACATTCTTCTAATAATGTTTTTATGGTCCTATTGGCGCACCATTTTTGCAGATATCAAACCTATTCCAGACAAGGTAAGTCTGTTATGACCCAATACATCTCTTGTCAACTATACTAGTAATGTCAGTACAATAAGTGTCATTGATAAAAAAGAAAAAGTGTAGCTTGCAACAATGATAATATTTTATATTTAAACATGTGATTTGTTATATGTTTAAAGATTCTTGATACAAATAAAAGACAACTTGTAAAATGAAATACTATGATGTGTACAATTGTTGCCTTAAAAGAAAGAGAAAGTATGCACTACACTTGTGCTTGTAACCTCATTTCAATTCACTATTTGAATATCTAATTCAAATGAGAATAAGTTAATAAAACCTCTGTACAAAATTATAGAAATGTTTATACTTGCAAAAAACAATATTTAATAAAACTATCTTCTGAACTAAATTAATTCACAATTTCTAATTCACATTAAAATTTACTACACAAAGGGTAAAATGAAATAAGTAAATAATATTCTTATTAGTATTTTATTTTAGTAATAAAGTTCTATAATTAATTATTATTAGTTACATATTAATTTATTGCTATTTTACCTAATAAATGTACGAATGTATGTTTTCAGTATAAATTACCTGAAACAGAACTGGAAAAGCTGCTAAGTGCGGAAACAGAAGATGCACAAAGGACAATTTTAGAGAACTTTGCTAAAGATCTCCCTATAGTCACTAGGTATAGTAAAAAACATCAAATATATGCTTAACATTGTTTAAACTTATTCACTTCATACATTTTCTCAATCCTAGACTCAAAATTTCAAATAAGAACATTCAGCAGGAGATTCTTTAAGATGGAAAGCAAAAAAGAGATTCTTGAGAATTTTGCTAATACTATAAATGTTTTGACAAGGTTTGTCTTAACTGTATGTAGCTAGAATTGAGAAAAGTTTAGAAGTAATGTTATAGTAATAGTAATTAGTGTTTAAATTATATAAAAATATTATATAATATGTGATATTTGATTATTTTTCCGATTCTAGGACAATGTCAGGCTCGGTACGGTATTGTAACCGTTGTGTTCTAGTCAAGCCTGATCGAGCACATCATTGTAGTATTTGTGCTCGATGTGTCCTCAAAAATGGATCATCACTGCCCGTGGGTCAATAACTGTGTGTGCTTCCATAACTACAAGTTCTTCATGTTATTCCTCGGCTACGCACTGCTGTACTGTCTCTTCATTATGTCGACGTGCCTGCCATATTTTATACGCTTTTGGAAGGTATATATATATTCTAATTAAATATCAACTAATTAGCTTTTATCAATCATAATAATTCTATATAATATGTATGTACATCACTTGAAAGTGTTTGTAATTACAGACATATCAAGAATACAAGCAGGCCCACTGCGATAGTTTGATTGACAACGGCACTTATACAAAACAATGCATGGAATTATTGAGTGTAACATAATCATATATTTGATTCTGATTAGCTTGTTGAGAAAAGTTCAATGGGTTATCTGTGTAACATACAAAACTTATTTGGGCCATAGTTCATTATATAGCTCTATGTAGAAACTCATTGTAGATCTATTATAATTCTATATATCTTACATTAGCCTATCAAACTATCAACTAACATAGATAGTGAGAAACATTTGATAATGTTTCACATTGCTTGAATTAATAATCGCAGTGGGAATGTCTTGTAATTAAAATTGTTTATTGGTAATTAATATTCAAGCAATGTGAAATAAATGTTTGTATATGTTTTAATTTTCATTTATTGTGACTCATAAAAATATTGTATATTATAGATTATTGTATGTCTGTCTGTCCGTATTTAATAAATATTTTTTTCTTGCCAGGGTGACTTTGGTACATCAGGCAGTGCGGGTCGTTATCACATAGTATTCGCCTTTTTTGTGGCCTTAATGTTTGCCATATCACTTGGCTCTTTATTTGGCTACCACTGCTACCTCGTAGCACACAATAGGACTACATTGGGTAAGTAACTTATACTATTATAATTTGCTAAAGGATTTACGTAATGTCTACATCTATGTGAGATAATAAAAAAAAAATAACAATGGGTATTTAATTCATATTATTTTATTATGTAAAAAACATTATTTTCTTGGTAAGTTTCTATCTTTTTGTTTAGGGTTACTTTTTGGTTAGGTAATGTTAGTTCAAGGTGACAGATATTACCATAGAATGACATGAAGTTTGTTTTCAGATATGCTGGTCTCATATCGCCGGTTTGGAAGTCCTACCGGTCAGATTATTAACTCTATGCTTTAAAACCATGATTTATGGTAATTTCGGTCACTATAAGTAGACGAAAATTAAAATATATTATTTCATGTTATATATTATTGTATTTAGGATACACCGTCAAAGTACAAGTGTAGTTGATAGTTAGTATGTACTAGGGTTTAAGTGACGTCATAATGTAGTAAATCCTTATTTCAAGTACGTATTAATTCCGCATAGAGTTATTTAAATGAGTTTCGTTTAAACTTGAATTATTTTATTATTGAATAACTGTATATAGTAAGCATATAGGTATTGATTAATAATATAACATCATCTAATGGATTGTGACCCCCTGATCTATGACTTTGGCCATTGTACTCAAAGTGAGTTTTTAGAAGAATAAATAGGTATCAATTAATTATCTTAGGGTTGTCGGATTGAATAGTGTTATTTAAGTTGTAATTTTTATATAAGGTCAAAGTTTTATCACTCTTATTCATTATAGTGTATAAAATATTATATCAATTAATTCTCAGAGGCCTTCAGAGCGCCGATGTTTCGTGGTGGAGCTGATAAAAATGGCTTCTCAATCGGGGCTTTCAATAACTTCAAAGAAGTATTTGGTGCCAGCCCTGACTTGTGGGCTGTTCCAGTGTTCACCAGGTATGTGCTTAAAGTATACAAACATAGTCTAAGAGATATTATTCTTATACCATGTATATTAAATTTTATATATAGTGTAAGAGCTGTATAATATGAGATACATTATAGTTTAGGAGTTACATGTTAATAAATATGACAAGTAAATAGTCTAAGGCACCTATAGTTTAGATATTTTTGTCTCAGAAATATGTGTTGTGTTGGTCCATTTAAAATTGTGTGGTGTTCAAATAATTAACTATATGTTTTAATTTGTAATTATTAAGTAATTTTTTTCATTGTGTTCATATAGATTTAACAAATTGGATGTGTTAGGCATGGATTTTAAGCATGTGTTTTAACACGTGTCAAAAATTAACATGTGCATGTTAAAAATGATAAAAGAAGTGAATGACAAATTAAACAGTTATTTTGATGCCAGACTAACTAGGCATGTCATGATAGAATGAAAAATGCCCTGTTATCATTAAGTAATACGTAATCATGTCGTGTTATCATTAGATCATTGTCATCATATCATGAATCATTAACGTAACAATGCATATCATTCACATTTGTTTCACAGGTCAACTAATACCGCCTGTATATATTTGTAGCATTTATGTATTTTTGATCCAATTTCAGTAACAGGTCTCATAGTTGAGGTAATGGGCATTTAAAAATATGAATTATATTGGAAGTGGTGCGGAATTATTAAAAATACGAGGTGTATTCAAAAATATAGATTTTCATTGACACATAAATGGGAAATTATTGATTCTGATTTCAACACTGACACTCACATTTATCGATTTTTAAATAATTTATTCACTCATAACAAAACATTGCAAATTTTATTTTTGGTATAACATTATTCATTACTTGAATGAAACATTGTCATTTAAAAAACAGTGCATAAAAGCATTTTGATAAAGGCAAACTGAAAAAACTATATCAGGAGCACAATAGAAAAAAATCTAAGCATACTTATTTTTGACATTGTGAGCATAAAAAAAAAGATCATAAAAACAACTCGTCTCGAAATTTTCTGGTAAAATAACAAAGTTAGACTTTTAAAAAACTGTAAGGAGCACAATTAACATGATTCAAACATACTGGCCAGTAGCAAACATTAAATTAAAAAAAAAATTCGAAGTATATGGCCGTAAATAAAGGGCAGAGAAAAAGTAATTCCGCGCCACGGTAACTTAAGCAGTGGTCGTGTTGCCAGCCTGGGCGACGGGTGCGAGTACCCGGTGCGGCGCGAGCACCAGCTACAGACGTTCACGACGCCACAGGACGGCGGCGGCTACGAGTCGATGGGCACCACGCGCTCCAGGTCAGAGCCCGGCGACTCCAAACACATACCTTGAGAATGACATTCAGATTCAAATTTAGAACGCATCCATACAACTAACTAATGACATTGTTCTTATACATTCTGAGTGACGTTTTGTTTTTTTTTTAAATTAAGGTGCTGATTCTATATATAGAGTTCTATATGGGGGCAATAATTTTTTAATAAATAATATTCATTAGTCGAAGTCTTTAAGGTTTAATGTAAATTAGTTTCAGAATAATTAATTTTAGATCTAAAGTTAACTTGCCATTTATGTGCCAAACTAAAGATAATATATTTAAAGTTTAGACAGGATAAAATTTGTGGAAAAAAAAAATATATTTTTCTATAACCTACATATCTTTAATATTAAATTTTTTGAATATTATAGTATTTTGAATATCCACTATTTATACTCATAAAATTTTATACAAAAAAATTTATATGTATTTTTTTGTAATAAATATAACTATAATAAAATGTAATTTAATGAATTCATCCTCAAGATATGTGCTGAAGGTAGGCTCGTAATGTCTTTGATACACAAGTCACATATATATGAAAGATTTAATTGCTTTAAATGCATTTATTTTCGAGCTATATACAACACACAAGACTGATAAAAGCTATAGTGAATTCTGTATTTTGTAAGTATGTTTTGTGCACAATAAACATTTTTTGTTGTTTAATTTTGTGTTTCTTTTTTTTTATATTATAATAATTATTTTTATTTTAGTCACTTATCATCGATGCCTGCAGATAGTTATAGTTTTTAGCAAGCAAACGGATACATTGAGTTTGTCTGTGTGATGTATAAGCAGTTTGCCAAGTAAAGGCAGTTATACAACAGCGATGAAATAATATGATTTAATTATTCAGGCTTATCATATGTTTATGCACATTTTATTGGCATTTTTAACTCCTATGTTCTTTTCCTCATTCTCTCTCAGTCTTCAATCTTAAGATTCTTTCATTTTTCTCTCTCCTGAAATCTATTTAAGAAATAATCACAAAAATATTGTCAAATCATTTCTTCAAGATCATCATTCATTTCAAAATTTCATATAAATACCGCATCCATTGATGTCAGTTTTCGAATAAGGTTTTTAATATTTTAGCGTGGAGGTGACACAAGAGACTGAGAGATGGAGACTTTGCCCCCGAAGGGGCCGGACCGTCCCGCAAATAGTATAAGGAGAAACGCATTTCAATATAAATTATAATTTTTTAAATATATTTTTTTTTATTTACGGTATTAAAAATAAAAACCATACAAAACGACCACATGCTTTTCATTCATTGGCGATGTCACGTGACCGATGCAAAATTTCTTTTAACTACCGTCATTCACTTCTTTTTATCAGTTGATATTTTGATATTTGTGTCCTTTTGCATGCTAATTTATGTAGAGTTTTATTAGAGCGATATTATTATGACGACTGATTATTATTTTAAGTTATTTTGTAAGCTGTTACCACGAGACGTTTGGTTGTGTCTTCTGCACGTTCTGTAGTTAAGCAATTTAGATCATTGTAGATAAGCTTCTATTATAATTTATTTTTTTAAGAATATTTTGTATTATAATAATTTTACATTAATTTTGTAAAAAAAAAATTCTTTATACACCAGCACATTAGGATAAAATAATATAAATTTCGATTCACATATATTATCAAATTTATTCACTTATTACACACATAGTTATTTTTCGTTGAACATTTTTTTTTAATAAGATTTATCGTGCACAATTTTCAAACTGGCCAGCACCATCGCTTTATTTTTTAAAGTAACTGTCATGGTTACAAATAGCATAGTAAAAACATTATGCAACATAGCTTCGGGGACGGGTTCGTGTACCCGCAGCGGACCACCGACGAAGATACAGAGTCCCTGCTGAGTTCAGAGCGCTGGGAGCGATGGGGACAGAGATCGAGGCCCTTCGACGGCAGCAGCTCCTTTGACGAACTATGATTCTAAGCCCCCGGCTTTGTATCCGGACATTAGTGAGTTCTAAATTTAAAATGTGTTTATGATATGCTTTTACATTCCCGCTGATTCGAAATTTAAAAATTGTTTCATCTGTTCCACTTTTTAGATTAAGATTTTTGTATACAATATGACAGTATCAACGAAGTATGATTTTAAGCGAAGAGTATTTAATCTGGATTAAGATGGAATTAAAAATTTTATGACATCTAAGTTTAAGTTCAGAATTTAGTTGAAATCTTTTGTTTTTTTTTATTAAAATTTATTAATTTTGATCATGTTTTGTACAAATTATCACATTTTTATGATTTATGTGAGAATGGTTTTTTATGTATAGTAAACGGGTCGCGCAATAAACTTTGTATATTTTGAAAATTATATAATTTTAAGTTTAATTAGTTAAAAAAATAACAAAACTGGGTCGCAAAATATTTTCTCTATTAAGACTTGATTTCTTTGCTATGGTTTTCTGAGAAATTTATACTATACAGGGTGACTGGTGAATTACTATCAATATTTAAGGAGAATACTCGGTACATGATTCTCATTCGAATTATGTAAAAAAAATAGGTACTTAATTTTTGACCAAATTTCCGTATAAATAAATAAAGTGTTGACACGTTCCAAGTGTGGTCACGTGCGGCGGCGTGCTGATACAACACCACGCCCCCTCACGCGTATGTGTGTGTGTGTGTGTGTATACCTAATCTGTAGGGTGTTCACACGATGCGTAATTAATTACATAACTTTTGGTTAACTTTACTTAAAAGTTTATTAATATTTATGTTATATTAATATTTATTTTGTCATATATGATCGTCAAATATCACGTCCTCAAGTATCGATAGTAATTCACCAGTCACCCTGTATATGTACTTCATACTATGATAATGAAATCTAAAAACAATTTTGGCTACATTAATGCTACATTTTTTTCTATAAATATCAAACTCCTTAATGCGCTCTGTTCGATCATGTAATTGGTGAATTTTCAAATCGCGTGATATATTTAAGTAGTTTTGATTGGTGCTGACAGCTGTAATCAGTGTCATGGCGGGTTACGCTCTTAGCGTTCCCCATTAGTGATTCCCCATTTACTAAATTTGTTAAATAGATTTATTATAGATTAAACCATCATTTTGTATCTGTACGCATATTTCGTGTACCACATGTTTATATATTTAAGTTATTAATTATATATAGTATGTAGATTGTATTTATAATGTGTAATTTGCAAGCAATTGCTTATAAGTATTGTTGAATAAGATAAATATAGGTAGATATTTTTAATAGAACAAATCATGTGCCAGGCGATTTAGTTTTTATTTATATAACTAAGCCCTGACGTTTTTATATAAGGCTATGAAGTGCTTAATATTTTTGTAACAGACGAAATATGTCTGGCTCGCAAAGAATATTATCAGTCGAGTACATTGAGGTATTAAAGCGTGATCGAAGCCAAATTAATATTCGGTGCCTTATGTACAAGCCGTAGTATATGTAAATAAAGCTTTCTTATATGTTTTTTTCGACACGGCTTAACTATTTTGAGTTAGATTGCACCGATACTTTACTCGGTGTTTTAATCAATATTGTCGTAAATATTATTTTTACACTTGCATTTTATGTTGGCTGTAAATTAAAATCATGTTTTTAATAATAGTCTATATCTCTCTCGATCAAATTAAGTCATCTGTGCTTAATTTTTGAATTAAAGGCATTGGTTTAGTTACAAATCGACTTCTAAAGTGAAGGTTCTAAATTCAAAGTATATATATAAGTTTTATATATTATCAATCATAAGTTCGTTATAACTTAATCAGTACTAAAGGAACATATTTATCTTACCGTATTTCAGTAAATCTCAAATTATTATAATCTCAACATTCCTGTTCGAGGTTAAATAATTAATTAATGTTAATTATTTATATAAGAACTCTTTACTGTCTGAAGTCGGTCGTCGCATATTTTTTAATCATATTTGTAAGTTAACCGATTTCTATAGCAAAATAACTAGTCAATATTGTTACAAATATTCCATAAGATTATTGGTTCCATTTTGATGGTTTTTTTATTATTTATATATTCTCAATGTTTACTTAACTCGTTAGCGGTTTAAGTACTTAATATTGTTTAAGCATTACTTATATAGTTGATAGAGTTTGACATTTTATAAGATTTTTTATTAAAAACGCAAATGCATGTACGATATGGATATGAATTTGTGATTTAGTGAATAAAAGAGTGAAAATTTAAATGTCTTTTATGAAAAAAAAACTTAATACTTTTATTTTAATAAGATTAACATAATCACAGTATTTAATGAGAATTCATTGTTGGAATACAAAGTTTTCTTAGAAATAACATAAAAGTAGGTAGCTGGGTATGTTTATACTCTCTGAATATATATTTTTTGATCTCACAAGAGGCTTAATGTCTAAAATGACGGTGAATCATACATTTAAAATTATAAACGCAACAAATAAAAGTGAATTACAAATAATTTTTAACAAGTTGAATAAAACAAAAAAATTAATAAAAATAATGCTGTTTTCTGCCCAGCAGCGTTGCAATAGGAGTATCATGAAAAAAGATAACAATTTAAAATCACTAACTCAACAAGAAATCAAATTCTTTATGAGGATCTATTCTTACAATTAATATCAACAACTGTTAAGGTGGGTTTTATTCTGTATCGCCTATAAGGAACATTTTAAAAGTAGAAATTAAAAAAAAAAAGGTAATCATTAGTTCGATTAAATCATTATATGGTCAATGCTGACAATATTTTCCTTAACTCAGCCGCGTTATCTGTTTTGGTGACATCTCTAAAGGCTCGTACACACGTCGCCTCCCTCTCTAAGTTGCGTGATATCGTGTGTGCTCGTTGCGTTATTTCCCGGGGAATCCCCGCCAGCCGCGCCGCGTTGAAGCCGTAAGACTTGGGACATGCGCCGGGAGAGAGCTTGTATAGAAAGGTTATTGTTTCCTCTGGTATATTGTCATCATCGGGCGTTGATTCATCAGTTTCCACCATGCATGCCTGAAAATATATATTTTATAGTATATAATATTTATTAAAACGAACAAATTTTTGGTCTGACTGTTTATTTTGGGTCTCAGGTGAAATACATGAATTATGTTAGTATTGTATCGATATAAAATCGATAGTAAAGGCAAACTCCATATTTACTATAATCTATCGATAGTATCGTCACATTTTAATACTATCGAAATTCTGAATAGTTTTCGAGGGCAACTATCGATAGCCAAACTATAGATATCCAAACTATTGGTTCAATACTAAATTATATTAAGATTCATGATATGATCAGACTATAGAACATACATCATGTATCATATTACCACGTTACACTGTATAAATACCACACATATGTATATTATTGAAGGTAAACATTACCATATGTCCTAGTAGTACGGAGGGATGATCAGCTAAGTGGTGGACCAGTGAGTGGTAGTGTGTTGAGAACAGCGAGCGACACGAGCGACCAGCCAGCCACCAACATACTGACCACGCGATACACGTACCGTCATACGTTGATGTACCGCGACCTGAGGGGGCGGTTGTACGTTACATACATTATACGAATATTGTGGCAATAATGAAAAATAATGTAAGATTGAGTTTGATTGAATCATATCATACATTCACACATATAAAACCAACATACACACGTCTAATGAAATCTAAGACTTTCGCGAGTATTCATTTAAATAAAACTAATATTTTTCATATTTATCTATTATACGTATAATATTTTAAGAACGTCACACTACCGAAGTTACGGTTATTTTGCAGAAACCGTGACAAGGCAGACGGGCATGTAGTTAGAATAAAATACGATAGTAATCAGAAAATATTAGTTTAAAAAAAAAAAATGTAATCAAGACTTGTGAATGCCTCGCACCAAAACTTAATAATTCTATAATCTGTAGTCAATATCCTTATCCAAATATGTATCGGCTGACTTTTTATGCAAAAATATTCGCACAAAATAGTATCAAGTGGAAAACCTTAGAATGCTTTAAATATGATATGACGATATAAATTTTCGATCAATGTACTGTGTATAGCCGAACTTACCCAATTCATCCAGTAGTACTAGCGAGTGTTTGGTCGCGTGCTTCACTATGGCCGCTGTTTCATTCATTTCAACCAAGAACGTCGACTGACCGGACAGAATGTCATCCGAAGCTCCCAGTCTGGTGAAGATACGGTCACACACACTCAGACGGCACTCTGAAGCTGGTACGTGACAACCCTGGAAATATTACATGATAATAAGTGACAGCCCTGAAACGGAAATTGACTACACAACAGTTATAACGAAATTTACAATCGATAAACAATTTTAAATTGGATTTTAATATACATATTCTCAGATTAACTCCATACGAAATAAAATTGTGCTTTTTGTTAGATATTTTTCAGACTGTCACACTAAGTTAGATATTTTTTAAATTTGAATAAGATCTTGGGACTTAAGCGTATTTCACAAATCATATATATTTACTATGAAAGTTCTAATTAAGTTCTCAATATAGTGTAACTCCTTATCAATTACATACGAGAAATTGTTTACACTAATAATGTATACATACAAACAAGGTTTCATCTACATGCTTGTTAAATAAAAATCAAAACTAATACAAACCGAATGTAAATCTTTGTTCTTTATATAATTAGTTTAGTTTAATATATAATCGATGACGTCATACCAGATGCGCCAACACAGTGAGTAGTCCCACTTGTCTCATGAGAGTAGACTTGCCGCCCATGTTGGGTCCAGTTAGTAGCAACAAGCGAGGGTTGTCACCTCCCAGTTTTGTGTCATTAGGAATAAACTCTGGTATGGAAATACATGGGTGACGACCCTCGACTATATCTATGTAGGGCTGGAAAATTAATTCAAAAGAGGTTTTACTTATAGGATATATGGTTAGTAAAGTTAATTTATTTTATATTATGTACCTCTTGATCCTTATCATACGTTATTTCTGGTATACAAATATCCCCGGTTTGTTGTCTAGCGAACTCTGTGAATGCTAACAGTATATCGATAGCAGCGATACATTTGGTCGCCATTTCCCACTGGTGCTGGTGCGATGAGAATTTCTCGAACATTCTTCTACTAAGATCTTTCAACACGTTACTTTTCTTTTCTTCGGCGGCGATCATTCGCGCCAGGAGATCCTAAAACATATTTTTATATTAAATTAGGCACAATATATTAAGTTACAACAGTAGCAAAGTTGAATGCAAAAAAAAAGGTATATATGTATAATGAAGATAATTTATGTGATCGCTAATCCATATTATGTCATTTAAGTAATATTATACTATACTAGTAAACCCGGCGAACTCCGTTTCGCCACCAGAAGGCTTTTGTATAACATTTCCTTTGGTGATTAAAAGATGAAGATTTTTTTTTTTGTTTTATATTTGAAAAGGAAAATTTTTATTTCATTTCACAACAGTAATGAATTCATTTCGATTACAAAAATGAAGTGTTATTTAGTTGAACTTCTCTAAGTAAATGAAAGTGAATCCAAAGTAGATACCGAATCGAAGCGTTAAAACGTGTCCGAAAATTATCCGTTTCATTGAAGTGCTTCTTTGTAAACCACATTTTTTGTTTTTTGGTCTAACGTTAACACAAATAAAGCGGATGGTTTCCCAACTCGTGAACACGCTAAATATAGCTGCCCTTGTCAAAAACAATGACTTTCTAAGTTTATCCCGCTAATACTAAATGGTTTTAAGCGTTGAAACTACAAACACAATACCGGTTTGTCACATGAAATTAACTGAGCAGAGAACAATGAGAAGCTGTCAAACAATGTATTATGCACCGGCGCCATCTACTTAAAATATTGATTTGTATAACATGTTATGTAAGATGGCGCTGTATGTGGAAAAAGATTTTCCCGATTTTCTGCTGAAACTTTTTGTTATAAACCTCACGGAGTCCGAGGCCTTTCCAATGAATACAGACGTGGAAATTGGTTCGTTCGTTCTGAAGTTATAGCGTCAGGATGGAAAACCGGACTTATTTTTATATAGTAATCAGAAGATCTCTTACAAATATCTAATTTTCATCATTACGTCATTACGTATCTGTCATTATACGTCAATTGCATAGCTGTCAATTGTGTTTCGTTATTCCACTTTTTATAGTGACTGACGTTTTATGTCAAGTCCCACCGGAATGCTGTCGAACGGGATAAAAAAAGTATACTATTGCAATTTCCTGGTTCTAAACTACCTCCCTGCCAATTTTCAGCTAAATCGGTTCAGCCGTTCTTGAGTTATAAGTGGAGTAACTAACACGACTTTGTTTTATATATATAGATATAAATATACCTTTGTTTCTACTGTAGAATATCTCTTGAATCCTTTCCTAGCACCTTCTAGATGGTAATCTGAGTTCGCCTTCCCCGCAGCGCTCTGTGGCACTTCTATTTGATAACGTTTCTTATCAGTTCCAACATACGTTAACTGAAATTAAAATAAAGTAGATACTAGATTAAAAACTATATATTGCAAGAAAATCTTTAATAATTAATCAATAATTGATATATTTCTGATGTTTTGTAATATACATTAGAATAAAATTTTATAAAACAACTATAGCTAAAGACATGCCAACTAGTATTATATATACTAAATTCAATAATTTTATATACGAATGTGTTTATTATTTAAGTAGGCAGACAACCTTACCGATTTTGATAATATTTTATGTTTATAAAGCAGTAGAGATATCTGGATTACATGTAGTCGATTTTATTACAGCTTAAGACACAGTTATACTTTTGACACAGTCTTATGATTTATTTTTAAAAGAAAGGTAAGAATGTGATTTCAACATTATAATACTATAGTCACTATAGGCAAGTCTAGTGGGTATATGAGCCAAAGAATGTGCTTGATAATTATAAGCCAAATATCCTGAGATGGATCTAACTACAAACGCTACATACAACACGTCATTTACAGTACCCTAACAATTTTTAGAACAGCGATAGAACAATATGGAATATACAGATAAATAGATCACTATCAAGTTATTAGTGTTTTTTACTCTTCCCTCAAATAAAATAGAGAATGTAGCACCAGTCTGTTAACTACAATGTCACGTATACACACCCGACACTTGAAGTATCTCTCCTGCTCACTCAAATACTCCTTCAATTCATCCTGTATGTTCTGTATCAGTTGTATAGTGTTGTCGTAGTCGGCGTCAACACCGCTACCAGGTAATATACGACCTTCTTTCTCCGCCTCTTGTTGGTTGAAACCCTCCTGGAACATTATAAAACAATATTGTAGTTGATTGGGAATGATACCTCTATAATAATTTTATTTGAGTTCTGAGTTTAGTTTTGGAGTTAGATTGATTAATATTTTATTTGATTTTGTTCAATATTACTGAATTTTCTGTAGCCTTAGTAGTTAATTAATGATTATGAGTGTTTTCTATTAATGAAAGTAAAGGAAGCAAATGCTGTAAGTAAAATTCACCTTGAAAAATTTCAAAGTATCTCTATAGTCAGGGAATCTTCCTTCTGGAGCGAATTGTGTTAATTTCTTCAATAAATCTGAATCCACATCAGAGAATAAATCTACCAGCTTCAATATAGACGTAAACCCATTCAACAATAGAATGAAATCTAATACTTTTCTCTTGGAATAAGTTTTTTCTTCATAAAATATAGCTCTGGAGTCCGGATGACATTTTGCTCTTGTTGAGTTACCAAGGATGTGTATTCTTAAACAAAACAACATAAATAAATATAAGTTAAAATAAAACTTACAAAATATTCATTTATTCAAGATTTTTTTCCAAAACTTTGGCTTAGGTAATTTTATAAGTTTAATATTAAAATTGATATATTTGTAAACACATAATATACATTAAAGATAATCAAGATATTAACAAATAATAGTAATTACTTAGCCAATAATCTCTCTAGGTCGGGTAAACTGGTCAATATAGTTTTCACATCTTGACAAAGTTCTTGATTTTCATACAATATCTTCACAGCTTCTTGTCTTTGCTTTATAACTGATATATTGCAACTCGGTGAACATAGCCATTGATGTAATAACCTTAAATATAGCATTATAAATTAATTATAACAGCAATTAGGCATTTTAACAGTAAAAATGCGCTATGAATGTGTTTTTAGTACTTAATTTAGATTTAGATACATATACAGTTGACTCTCGTTAATTCCAACCTGCGATAATGCGAACCTCTCTATAATTCAAAGTTATCACGCGTTCCCTACAAAATCTATTTATATTTCGAACTAAATCAATACATTTTTATGCATTTGAAATTCTAAAAAAAAAAAACATTGCTATATAGTAAAACTACGCGTTAATTCGAACTCATCGGCGTCCAACACTCGACAATTCAAAGTTGCAGACAGAAATAGGTGGAATGATTGTAATGTAAGTAAATTTGACGACGAGTTCCAACATGAACAAACTTTTTAACAGATGTGTCAGTCAAGGAAGCACCATCCTCATTAAATATCTTACAACGCTTGTGTCTACAAAACGAAGTTAATGAAAAAACATTTCAGGCACTTTTTCTCTTAAAAAAAGTTATTGAGCAGTCTATGCAGCAGCAATGTGTTTCGAAGCAAACCAGTATAACAGAGTTGTTTCGAACTATTAATTAATTATTCATATTAATTTAAATAGTTTAATGTACGAATGTTCGTGTATGTATAGCATATATAAAATGGTAGTTAATAAATAATTATTCATCAATACTTAGTAATTCGAAGTTTATTTTTTTTCTCTCACAAACTTCGAACCATTTGATATTTCAAACATTCCATAATTCCAAATGTTTTAAGAGTCCCTTGAGTTTCGAATTAACGAGAGTCGACTGTATCAGTATATTTAGTTTAGACATAATAAGAATATTTAGATTTATGTAATTGTAGTTAAAATATGCTTTAAACTACCTTTTTCCCATAGCTGTAGAACAAAAGTTCAATCTGTCATACAAACAGCCCTCATCTTGTACTATACGTAGATTTTTCAATGTGATCGCATCTAACACCATAGTACTACCGCCTTGCCAGTCATTTTGATCGTTATTCACTTCTGTTAAGGTGCTATTTAGCATATCAGGCGGTACATATCTATTATACTGAGCCATACCCAGTACTTGAATGTCTAACAAACATTGTGTTAAATACAATACACAACCTCCTAAAGCTTGAACGGCCAAGGAACAGTTGGCTGCCGGTGTGAGACCCAACACATCACCTGGAAAGCATAAATCAGTACTTACAACACAAATTAAATAGGTCTTTAAGACCGTAGAACTTATATACTTCTACTACTATTGTGTAAATTATTCTATTAGATGTATGTGTGCTTGTGAGTGTGTGTGTGCGGGTGAGTGTGTTATGTTATCTTTCATAGTGTGTAATACCATATACCCATCATACGAGTACGCAATGTTGTAAAAAAAATCAGAAATGCTCATTTTACTATTTAAAAAGGTTAATGTTTTCATATTTAAAGGTATTTAATATTATATAAAATCAAAAATATATAAATTTGTGCTAAGTATCAAGACTAAGTGACAAAACACAATATATATAAACACAATAAAGTGATCTACCTATTTTTATATTTTTTATTATTTTTTTTATTTTAGGGAAACAAACAATAAGATAAAGTTATGGGATATGAATATACAAAATTACATATATCAGCTAAGTACCACTGGTAATTAGACACATATTATTAAAATTAAAAAAAGACTAACATACATAAAATCAAACATTAAAAACGTATACTGACGAACTTCTTCGACAGTTATGAATAAAATCTAACATAAATATAATTAAACGAAACAAAAATTTTAAAAAAAGTAACAAAACACATTAAACAAAATTGAAGGCATTAATGGCTACATCGGTTAGTTAAATTAAAGGCAAAACATTTATACACGTCAAAACAAACTATGAATTGATACATAAATTAATCTTATTAAGGGGCCGTCCATTTATTACGTCATTCTAAATTAGGGAGGGGGGGTTCGGTCTTCGGATGACGGTAAATGATAGATATGGGGGGGTTTCGAAATTGACGTCATTCTTATTTATTTATAGTTTATTGTTCACGTACAAAAAGATTATTTCTAAAACGAAATTTCTTCCAGCACACTTAGTAATTGAGACTGCAAATGTGAGAGGCGGCTAAGGCGAGTACAATACTAAAATAACTCATAATAAACATACATAATGCAACATAGATGTACGCAAATACAGTAATAACTACAGATAAAATACTCTAACAATAATATTACATATAATACTAGCTGCCCGCCCCGGCTTTGCCCGTGGTACTTACATGTATTATACATATAAACCTTCCTTAAGAATCACTCTATCTATTAAAAAAACCGCATCAAAATCCGTTGCGTAGTTAAAGTTTAAAAGAATGGGTGAAAACCTAGTGGGAGCTATCCAAAGAAATATTATATATTATTATCATTCCCTATCTTTTACTTTTATATTATGTTATATCAATGATTATTGCCAAACTAAAAATAATAGAAGGTGATTCTATAACCAAGTGTTTTAATCATATAAAACCCTATTTTTCTCAAGTCTACAATGTTTTCATTTTGTCAAACTGGTAATGACGTCAATTCTGGGAGAAGGAGTGGGTGTCATTAAGAAATGACGGTAGGATGATTGTAGGAGGGGGGGTCTAAAATCTGAAAAAATCAATGACGTAATTTATGGACGGCCCCTAACTTTATTTTTAAAAGAATACATTGTTTCGAATAATATATCAATACTTTAGTATGTATAATTTTGGCCGCTACGATATAAGAAGATATTATTAGTACTTTTCGTTTTCAATCGGCACATTAAATAATATTTTATATCTATAATTTATTCTTGGACAACTAAATTCAATATTAGACAATAGGAAAGGTGATTCTACGAAACTATTAATTATTTTATATAAGAAAAGTTGGTCTCTAGCTTGTCTACGTAAAGTAAGAGGAGACAAGAGTTGTATTTTAGCAGAATATACAGCTCTGTAACACATGTGTAAAAATAAAAAAAAAACTATTTACATACCCTCATGTAAAAAAGGTGTAATCCCGCTAGGCCATTTCCGTCGCCATCAGTTTTATAATATTTCTCAGCTAAAGTCTTCAAAGTCTTTTCTGAAGACCATAGTGTAGTAGGTTCACGTCTCGCGTTGTGACAATGTGTTGCCAACAATCTACTTGTACGAGCACTTGTTGTTTTACGATCGAATACTATCTGAAATTATATTTAACAGTAGAATAATAATCAAATTATATTTTACTGTGATGAAAATTGAAAACAAAATAAATATACGAATTTCAACATTGAAAGAATTTTCCAAGGAAAAACTACATAAAAATTAATGAATTATAATCAAGAATAAAAATTTAAATAGAAAATATTTCAGCTCTCGATAGCCCAATTGTGATAGCAAACGGAATGCTATATTTCATAGACTCTAATTTCAAGTACTATGTTGAGTTCATGAATTTGTTATTCCATATCTATTATTTGCATTGCAGTTACATTAATAGTCAAATCTGCGTAGATCCAAGAAATATAACCATGCTATAGAAATATATCTATAAAATTGAGAATTTTGAAAATCTAATGATAGAGAAAAGTAATTACTAAGGCTGGTGGATAATGTGCAACGGTGGTGAGGAGACGTGATGAATGTTTGTCATCTTCAAACTGACCGATGTAGAACTGTCCCGTCGTTGTATCTACAAAACACACGCCGTACTTGCTAACGCCATTGTATTCCTGGAATTAGTTTAAAAAAATGTATACTGAGCCTAATTATAAATATAATAGTATAAAATATAAGAGACTAGAAAGAAACAAAATTTGAGGTACAAATATAAATGGAATTCATTTGATAATTTATTAAGTCACTTATTATTAAAATGTACATATAATTATTTCTAACATTACTATAATGATGGACACGTATGAAAAGCAATATAAAATCCCCGAGGATATTTGTGCGTCGGCCTCCAGACCGGATATATTTTTGTTTTCGCGAATTTTAAAGCGCGTAGTGATGATAGAGCTTACGGTCCCTTGGGAAACCAACATCCCCAAAGACCATACCATCAAGGTCAACAAATATTACGAGCTCACAAACGAACTCACTCGAAATAGGTTCGTAGTAGATTTGTACGCGGTAGAGGTGGGAGCGAGAGGTATAACAGCGAAATCTGTCTACAACCTACTAAAGGACTTGGGCTTGTCCAGAACTCACATTAATGCATTCTTGGAACGTATATCGAAGGCAGCCCTAATAGGTTCTTTTCAAATTTGGTTAGGTAGGGAGAGGAGCTTGGACAGTGGATTTGAGCGTATAACGCGCGTTAGTTAAGGGGCCCCTTAAACCTACACTTGGGTCGCAAGTCCCAGGCACTGTTGAAGCTCTTCTCCCTGCAACGCGATGGACCCGGCACCCGCACGGTGAATCCATGGAATGCTTAGTAGTTTCGTCTCTGTCTTATGTTATGAAACCCATTATATTATAAAATTGCAAGTTAATGTCGATATATGTATGTTTGTTGATATTCCACTTAAAAAACTACTGCAAATTTTGATAATATTCACAAATAATTTTACTAAGACAACAGCATAGAATATTTCACACATAATTATAATGTATTTTTAGTGAAGATACTTAACACAGATCATAGAAGGCGCTATTATAAATCACCATATACATTTTTATGCACACAAACACTAACTATTTATCTCTAAGCCCAATTTCAAAATCCACAAAGAAGTCGCGATATAAAATTATATTTAATAATATAAGACTCTATAAATCACTACTTAGTATAATGAGATCTAATATTTTCGCGAGTCTTATTCATTTAAATGAAACTAATATTTTTCATATGTACTACGCAATTTTCCGCCGACATCACAAGCGTATCCTGCCGACATCCAGAGCGGTACACCAGAAAATAAAAAAAAATCGATGGAAGTAGGTGATAAAATAACAAGACCAACTGACAGACACTCACATCTCTTCTGCCCGTGATCACGGTTGCTGAAAAGTATAAACCGAAACATCGAGAGTATGTAGTTTTATATCAAAAATAAAATCGCGTAGTACATCCGAAAAATATTAGTTTCATTTAAATCAATACTTAGTGTTTAAACAGCATAGTACCTCTTCAGCAATACCAAACAAGTATTCAGCTCTGGCCGTGCTCGGTAATGGTTCAGCCAACCCTCCAGTCTGCACTCCTCGAACACCAATCTGACACACCTCCCTACTCACTACCTTATCAAATTTACTGTTTGTACCATCTGAAATGTAAGCATTAATAAATTAATTAGAAATACACAGTATTTAATCTTTGTATTATAATGAAAATTCTCTTCCTTATCAATAGGTAATTCTATATGAAATGATAGTTAAAATTATTAATCGAAAATATATTAGAGTGAAACAAAAATCTTCATTTAATTCATGAAGAGGAAATATAATACAAATTCCCTATAAGGGAATTCAATGAAGCCACATGTACATATTAATATTATTATATATTACATAGCGCTAACGACCAATGCTCGACCTTAATTAATTATTTCAAATTCAATCGTAAAATAGACATATTATTAGGGACAGTACATACTCGTATGTGCATCTATGTGTGTTAAAGTCGCGATAGCGTGTGTAATGTTTATTTAATGTATTTTGTATTTATAATACATTACATATAAAAAAATTGCCTTGGGCTCATTTTCTCCATATAAACCTTGCATCTGTTAAATATCACATTTATCTCTGGCAGATCCTCTTATGCATAGACATAGTTTTGGATTAAAATATTAAAATAATGAATAATATTAATCTATGTGTTGTAACTCACTTCTTTTACATCTCTCCTGCATCATGTCAGGTGTTTCAGTTTGTTCAATTCTGGCTACTTTATATCCTTTAGATATTAATGTTGATGCCATACGAGAGTAAGCACTTTCGGGAAAACCAGAATGAGCGAAATCCCCCTGAAATGATGAAATGATTTTTTTTTACAACAGCTTGATGATTGATTTAACATTACAGTTTCATGATTTTCACCACCATATAAGTAAATAGAAGTACATTTTTTCATGTAACTTACATATTTTATATTTCACATGGTTTTCAATCATTTTAAGGCAAAAAATGCAGTAATTAATTATTTTGTGAATTATAATTTTTTTTTTATATTTTATATTTATTATTTACTAGTTTTTGCCCGCGACTTCGTCCTCGTCGATTTCGGAATCAGTAATATATTAAAAGAAAGCCCACAAATGGCAATACCGAACAACTACAAAACAACACAAATGTTATAAAAAATAAGAATTACGTTAACATGAATAGTTTGGCAGTATTTAACAAATTAACTACAGAAAGAAACTTGTCTATAGATATTGTCTATGTCGGCGACGCAGCTGATGTTTAGTTAATAATAGATTTAAGAGATAAGAAATGTAAGAAATAAGGAATTAGGTTAATATTTGTATTGTATAATTAATAAAAGGAAAGCGACTCTTGCAGGTGCGCAACACGTGTAAATAAAAATCCCTAATGAGCGTCTCTTGCAAAAGCGCAGTATACTATTGTCAAACTTAAGATAAACCTATTGACCAATAAACGAACGGCGGTAGGGTCACTTGGCGGGGGCGGGGCATCCGCGCTGGCTCACAGCGGTACTAGGTGCGCGCGCGCAACGTATATAAAACACGGCCGCTGTGAGTCGAATAGTTAGTAGTCATCAGTAGTCATCAGTCAGTTGTCATCAGTCAGTCGTCATCACCAGTCGTCAGTAGTCAGTCAGTCGTCATCACCAGTCGTCAGTAGTCAGTCAGTCGTCATCAGTCGTCAGTTGTCATCATCAGTCGTCATCACCAGTCATCAGTTATCAGTAGTCATCATCAGTAGTCACCAGCCAGATCTCGTGAAGACATCTCATACGCTTTGAAGAACAGTGAACAGTGAACAGGGAAGAACCCGAACAAAGAAGAACCGCGCTTTCAAGATAGTGACTAGGGACCACGTGGTCAAACAAACCAAGTGGTACTGCCGCCATTACCTAACAAGTTGTGGTTTCATTCTAAAACGACGATACGACCCGCCACGAACACGGATCCCGAGGATCGGATCACCGGCCGCCTGCTATTGGAGGAATTATCATCCGATCCGATCCACCCCTCAAGCGGCGAACGATTCCGAACTCGATATTCGGACATCCCAACCGCAACAGTCTATCATAACTCTTTTTTATTTTTTTTTAACAAAAGGAATGCTTTTTGGCTGTCGATCATGCCTACATAGAATGGTAAAAGGTACATAGCGATTAGCGACAATGTAATTTTGGCTAGGAGTTGAGTTCTCAAGTAAGTAAATATGGTTTTTCGCTTATGAGGAAAAGTCAAACATTCTCCGGGATGTAAAGCAGCCTATGTGTTATTCCTGGACGTCAGCTTCCTGTATACAAAATTTTATTAAAATCGGTTCAGCCGTTTGAGCGTGAAGAAGTAACAAACATACACACACACTAAACTTTCGCAATTATAATATTAATAGGATATGCATAGCATTGTATTGCCTTTTAAACACTAGATGTTTCTTTAATAACATATTATATCCTTAATCCGAAACATGGATATACTAACTAGGTTTTAATCACTTACTTCCTTTCAAACAATCCTATTTTTATATTATAATAAATATATGATTTTATTATTTGTATAGATTACCTTCATGTAAGAGAATCCAAGTTCATTGACCCCAACAGCAGCATCCATGTGATACAGCTCATAGAATTTTCCCACTTTGAAGAACAAAAAAACACAATCATAGTACTTGGACTTCATTTCCCACCATTGCCTGTGAGCCTTGAAAAAAAAAAAATTTTTGGAATTTAATATGATATTACTATAATATGATTATAATGTTTTTGATACATAGTTGAATATCTAATATTATTGTTATTAAATATAATATTACTATGTATATGTTTAAAAATGTTCTTGATACATAGTTCAATATCTTATACAAAATTGTAACACTATGTAACAATTTATTTTAAAACTTTACAAGCATAATATTGAACTGAATAAATCTAACGAATGATAATTCCGATTATGTTGAACAATTTTACGCATCAGTAATTTGTAGGAACATGATCTAATTGGTAACGGCATATGTTAAAATTCAATTGCATTGTAACTATATTGCCTATGAAATAAAAATTTCAATGAATGATGACCAATGAAGGTCTTTAATATCCCATTTTGTAGCTTTATAATATAAATACATATTTCTTTTTATATATTTACTGACTGGTGTTTGACTCTTCATAAATTCCGGTGGAACATATAAAGTGCTGGGATCATAGTCGGGATGATCTGGTTTCCTTTTCATAGCGTCTCTGATTTTCTCGGGTTTCAGCCAATCCAGTTTACAATGAACCCAGTTACCATCATCTGTGTATTGGCTGCTTGGTTCTTCTTTGATGGTGGGCCTATAACAATTTGTTTTATAAGTTTAATGTTTCTTATTGTTTAAATAAAATTTAATTACCATTTTTTTAAATAATATTCTTGATTTAGTTCTGTGTAACTTATAAACCATTTTAACAGGTCTTTCACCATTTTTACTGGCAGATAGTTAATGTAATAAGAAGTCTTCTTCTACCTGGCAATTTCCCGGCTATAGCCAGGGTCTGCCTTACATGTTGTGAATAGTTTTGGCTAATTGCTTTTACGACCGGCCACCTGCCTGACATCAACCCTCTTTTGGGAATCAGCATTAATCAGTGATGTCTAAATATTCTTAGAAAGTACATATGACTCGGATAAATCATATTGGTTGGCCCGGGCCAGGATCGAACCCGCACCCTCGGCAATGAGAGGCTGGCCCTCTAACCATTAGGCCACCACTGACTTAGTTAATATAATAAGAAGTAATCTTAAGCTAATTGGATATTAATCATATTATTAATATTTATTACACTTACTAATTTAACCACCATTATTAAATAAAACAACTCGGAATAAACTAAATTTTAAGCAAAGTTTGTAGATAAAATTAACTCACGGAGCTTCATTTGAAATTGTTTTAGTTTTGGAGACTTTAGGTGATGCACTCTTAGGAGATCCAAAAGAGAAATTATCCTGTAACTTCTTTGTGGATAAAGAAACCTTATCCTCTGGTGAATCAAGCTTATTATCTACTGAAAAATATTAAGCCTTTAATAATACTTTAATTAGAAATGTTATAATGTAAATAGAAATATTTTTAAATTCATTCAGAAAACTTTGTAGTTCTGAAACAATTGTGTTAATAGCTAAAGCCACAAACCTTTGTTTTCAATGTCAGAGTCATCGGAGTCAACTGGGTTAAGTCTAATTCTTTTCCTCTTTTTAACAACAACTGGAACGTCGTCTTCACTATCACTCTTTCTTGGCTCGGGTGAAGGTGTCGCTTGCCTCTCCCGCTTCTTGCCTTCAAAGATGATAAAATATTATTATACTATATGAACGAATGTCTTACAAACTTCTAGTAGGTACATATTCTATTTACTTACTTTCAGTTTTATTCCCTTTTTTACTGCTCACTGGAGAATTTAAACGATTATCGGTCTCAGAATCATCAGTAGGTTTTAGTTTTTTATTGCAAGGTGGAGTTTTAGTAAAATAATTGAAGAGTGTATTAGCACCAGGATTCGAATTACGCTTTGACATCGTTAATATTTCTTTGTTATTTCATGGATTTATGTTTTAATTGAAACAAATAGCTTCTATACAATCAACCGATTTAGTATTTTGGCGCAACTTTTGTCTTATGTCTAATGTCAATTGCGAACTGTCACATACAACGCAGATAAAAATGATCTACTACAACAATTTTGTGAAGTTAACAGACACATTGCGAAGTAGAAAATGGCAATAGAATTTTGGCCAAAAAAATGTAGTTTTTTTCAGCTTTAAATTCTCTAACTGAACACAATTTAATGAATACATTCTAGATACTATTACACAGTGACATGTCGATCGCCAAAAATCTGGTAATATCAGCAAACAAATAATTGCATACCGCTCATCGGTATTGAGTAAATAAATAATAACTCAAAATAAATACTATCTTCGGTAGTTTATGCTCAAATGAAAGCCACTTTATTTAAATATTATTCAAAATGAAATACTTTGCTTTAGTATAAATTAAGTAAGGGTGAGTGTAACTCTTTCTAGTTATTCTGGAAGTAATTTTGCGACTTTGGCTACAAATAAGTCTCATAATTTCATACAAAATAAGGAAATAAGTAAAATTCTAAATCTTTTATTTATCTGTAAAATTAAGAATATTACAATAGCTCCAATTGATGTAACTTAAAACTAAATATAGTTACAATTTTGGTGTAAAATGGCAGTAACAGTACCATGTATAATGTTTATTTTAAGCGAAATTAATATGCCATGTTTGTGGAATGTTTATAATATTTAAGGAGCAACCAAAAATTAAAATCGAAATATAAATATGTATTACTAAATCTAATCAAAATTTTAAACTGTTTTTATAACAAAATGTAATAAAATATATAATTTTAAATAAAATCTATTTCCCGAAAAAATATAAACATAAATAATATAAAGAAATCTATATGAATAATACACATTTAATGTTGTATTTTTAAAAATAATTAAAATTAAAAATATCAGTAACCACATTATACACTTGTGCGATCTGATCCGATTAAAAAATATATAATAAATGTATTTCAATTGTGACACTACAAGATTGAAATTATTCTAGCCAGCCTTCTGTAGATAGTTTTCTTAGATTATCAGTATTTATACCAAAATATTCTTAGCTCAAGTTTATTTTTAAGTAGCAATTGCTAACAATGCTTTATTGAACCTTAATTATTAAAAGACTAACTCCTTATTATAAAACACCCATTATAAAATTAAAATAAATCTAAATTAATACTCGAATTGGCTTGAAAACGTATTGTACATTACAATATAGGTTGTTATTTGATTTAACATAGAAATATGGGTGTTATTACAATAAATTGTAATGATCATTTAATAACTATTATTTTTTGAAACATTTTTCAAAACTTCATCACAGTAATAGTAGAATGTAAAAGTTAGGCTTTATAGTCGTTCAAAAATTTCAATATATCTTGTAAAACAAGACAGTGTCAGAACCGTTATTACCAATACAACTTGCAAAAAGTTTTTACATGTTATGCTAAAACTTTTTTTAACTGGCTGTGGAAAAAAGTATACTACATTATAATCTGTGGTTCAGGCACAGATAAAGCTATGGACTTATGCGGCAGGACTTGTCCCCCGTTGACGTAAAGTTCGTCTTTGACTATGACGTCTTCTCCTAGGACTGTAGTGTTCTCCATCCGTACCCATCTGCCAACAACTGATCGCCAGCCAACTATACAACCTTCGAGCCATGCATGTTGTCGTACGATCGCGCCGCGTAGGATTGTGCTACGTTTTATACATGCCCCTGGGAAAATTATTGACGTTATACAACCTAATAGTAATAATAGTAGCTTAAAGTTATTATGCATGTAAAAAAGTTGTTGAAAATAGAAGAATTCCTGTTAAGATATGTTTTACAAATAAGCTAAGACTAAATTTGATTTCAACTCTGAGCATATTTTGTATAATTAAGCATATTACAATATCACATATCTATAAAATATAGATGGATATTTATAAAAGGCACAAAATACATTCTAAAATTGATTTATACACAGCTAATGTTAATTCGTGACGTAAGGAAATAATTATGCAACATGAACATATCAAAAGTATGATACAATTCTGAGAGAAAACATATTTGCTAACTTTACATGAATCATGTTCCTTACTGATAAGCACTTTATCTATCTGATCTTTTCTACACATTCTACACAACACACTTTTTATTTCCGTTCCATTATAAAATGATTACAAATCTGGATATGGAAATTGAAGTCATATAAATTTAAATACCTTTAAAAAGACTAAAATTTAGCTTGGGTTAGATAGAACTATAAATAATAGAAAAATAAAAAGAATTGAAAGAATATTATCTACTTCCATAGTTACAGGATTTTTTGATAAAAAAAATTAAGGTTCATATGCAAGAAGTTTACATGTGAATATATAAAAAAATATTATGTGAATATTTGTGAAATTTTAAATAGTCATTAAAAACATTTCCTTACCATCTTCAATAACAACATGTGGTCCAATAGTAACATTTGGTCCGATCCTACAGCCCTTGCCGATAGTTGCAGTGGGATCTATAAGGACATTGCCGACAACTCCAGAACCTTCATATAGCATTGATGGATTCTTCTGACGGAGACTGTTCAAGTATAAACACATACCTGCAATTATATAACAAAACATTATCAATTATATGTTTTATACAGATAGACAGTATTTAAAACATTTCAAAGTGAAAAAAGGTTCATAAACAACAATTTAAAAACTATAATTATATAAATTTGTAAATGGTGTAATGACATGTTTTATTATTGTGTGCATAAATGGCAGTCATATCTGAACAGAAAAAATTTTGTTTCCAAATTCATCTATGAATATGAATGAACATTTTTTTAAATCTTTGTTTAATACTGAAACAACATGTTTCAATATTGTACAACATTATGATTTAAGCTTTCTTATATAATATATCATATATACATGTAATATTTTATACTTGAAATATAATTTTAATTTATAAGAATAAATATTAAATTTTACAACAGTGTTATACATTAAAAAAACAATTATTTAAAGCAAGATAGTGTATGATAAGGTTAAATTATATTTACCTGTAAGAAAATCTTTAGGTTGTCCGACATCCATCCAAAAGCCCTGTAGATCCATAGCATATAACTGTCCCTCTTTAGCCATGTATGGGAAGACTTCTTTCTCTATTGAAGTTGGTCGTAATTCTATCCTACTTAGTACTGAAGGGTTAAGTATGTACATTCCTGCATTCAAGATGTATCTCATTAGTGAAATGTATGACTACTGTATGGTATATGTTAATAAGTTCTATTCGCTTTGATTACCATTACAATAGCTATAGATGTGTTTTATATATATATATATATAAATTATGCATTTATTTGTGATAAATAGGTGGAATATTTGTCATTGTTACCTTAATTGCATTTAATATTTTATTTTTTTTATTCTAGCCTAGTTTGCTTCCACTAATTTCTGTATGGTTTATATGTAGCTATAATAATATATCTCTATTGATATCAAATTATGTATATATTACTTATTTATTTGAATACATATGAGATAAAGTTGACATTACATTATGTAAATAAACTTAACTAAACCATGTATAGAACTGACAATAATTTTATTGAAACTTCTATCTGATTAATAGACATAATATGATTTTATTTATTATAAAATGTATATAATAAAACATTAAGTTCTAAATCAAAAGAATATGACTCCCATTATTATAAGTGTATTAAAAATGTTATGAAAACTCAGATATCTACCTGCATTTATTTTATTTGAAATAAATTCTGTTGGTTTTTCAACAAAACTTTCAATTTCCCCGCCATCTTTGTACACAACTACTCCATATTTTGATGGTTCTTCAACTTTAGTGACTACTATTGTGCCTTCCTAGAAAACAAAATATTCATTTCAACATATAATATATTTAAAAAATATGTAAATAAAGAATATATAGCAAACCTTTCCATGACTCCTATGAAATTTAGCTAATTCCTTAAATGGAAAATCGCATATAACATCAGAATTTAGGACAAAAAATGGTTCAGTACTGGTTGTAAGCAGATCCCTTGCTAAAGCCAGTGGCCCAGCGGTACCAAGTGGTTCAGACTCATGGGAGAATGTAAGTGACACTCCAAGTTTAGAAACTTGCTCAGTTAACTCTTTTTCCATATCATCAGCCCTGTAAGAAACTGCTAGGATGACCTGAAAAATAATATTTATTATCTATAACATATATTTGGAGCACAAGTAAGGAGTTTTTAATATTTACATGAGTAAATATTTTTTTACATGTTATAATTAATTATATGTTATTAAATAAACTACAGAGTAACTTTATCTTTAATTTTAATCAGCAGTAAAAGCGCTTGATAAATATCTACTAAGAGGTATTTGCAATAAAATTTCATCAATTAGAAATAAACATTGTTACTATATACACTTGTTATTGTTGCAATTGTAAGTTTTATATGCAACAAAGTTTTTATGCCAGGATAAGAATGTAGTAGAGATATAAACTAACTTGCGTCACTCCTGCCTCAACCAATGCCTCTATTTGATGCATCAATATCGGCTTGTTTGCAAATTCCACTAAGGGCTTAGGTCTGCTTAAAGTTAAGGGTCTAAGCCTCGTCCCATATCCACCGACGAGTATGAGTGCACGTATTTCACCTAACTTTTTATCAGCACCAGACATTTTTATTGTTTACAATGACGCTTTTTTTTAAAACTGAACCTTCTTCAAGCCGGATGAATGGTTGACTATGTATTATCTTTATTATTATCACATACGTGGCGTTCGTTTATTATTATCGTAGTAAATAAGATATATTGAAATATGAAGCTTATTGACATAACTGACAATCAAACTGATATGAACTTTGTGTTAGTAATATAGACCTAAACGCCATTCCAGTTTTGCCTACGTGTAGTAATGAACATGTTAATTTGCATATTTTAATTAAGATATTTTATAATTATAAAATTAAACAATTTTTGATAATAATATTTTTTATAAGTTATATATGTGTCATATAAACTAAAAAAATATAGACTGCTTCTATTGAGAAAGAAAAGTTGTCAGCTCTTTTTTGTCAGTGTCAAAGTATGTCATACTCATTATGTAATGGTTGGTTCTATCAGTTTGTCAGTGTCATAAAATTCTTTGCAAAAGATTTTTAACTCGTTATACAATGGCTTTACCGGTACGGATTTTGTCTCGCTGCAAAGGTGAGCTATAATTATAGATATTCAAATCAGGTTTTGTTATTGAGAACCAAACATATACATCCGTTTACTGTGAATAGTTCACAATCTTATTTAACCATGACACTGAGTTGATTAACCTTCGTGCTTAATTTATATTGATTTATCACTTAAAATTATAAAGTCACTGCAAATCGATCAGACAATTCTTTTTTATCCAATAAGCTCATTAATATATTTTCGTGAGATAATCAATGTCATTCTCAAAAGAATTAACCTTCATCTAAAAATATCATCTGTTACAGTATATAAAGTAGGAAAGTAAAAAATTGAATTATAAAATATGTATAGATTTTTTTTCTTATTTTTTCTTTGTGGCTCAAACATGCCATTTATCCATACATAATTTAAATTCTAATAGTTGCCTTTGTTCATAAAGATACATATTAATTCTCTTTGTTATCAGTTTTTTTACAGATGAAATATGTTATATTGTTTAAGTAGGTAGTACATTTATAAGTTCTTAGTTAAATTTTTTCGATTTTCATAAAATGGGTGTGGTTATAATTCAAAATATCTAAATGTGTTTTATCAAATTAGTTACTTTTTAATAAGATATATCAATTTTTTATATATCATACTTTTTATACAGAAATCACTATTGTACTATAGTTGCAATAAGTTATTAAAAAATCAATACTTTACAAAAAAAAAATATTCCATTTTTATGAATGTAACTTAATTTTAAAACTTTTAGATGGCTTAAAGCTTGGCAGCATCAGATACGCAAGTTCGACACCCTATGCTGAGACAAGGAAAAACTTAGTTCTCACAAGCGAGACTAAAGTCATCGTACAAGGTTTCACTGGCAAACAGGGTACCTTCCACAGCCAGCAAGCTCTTGATTATGGCACCAATATCGTGGGAGGTGTGTCACCAAAGAAAGCTGGTAGCGAACATCTCGGAAAGCCTGTATTTGGTTCCGTCAAGGATGCTAAGGAAAAGACAGGTGCCGAAGCTACCGTTATCTATGTCCCACCTCCCGGGGCAGCGGCAGCTATCCTAGAAGCCATTGAAGCTGAAATGCCCCTGATTGTGTGCATCACAGAGGGAGTACCGCAACATGTAATTAACCTTTATGGTCATTTAAACATTGTCTCAATTACTTCCTAATAAACATAACAAGTATGCATTAATGAATGGTAAATGGTTATAGTAATATGTATTATAAAGCAATTACATAATCAACATATACATTTATATATTATGTTGTTAAATTTACTACTATATTATTACTTATGTATATTAACTATACAAGTTTTTATAATCTTGCTGGTCTAAGCCTCATATGCAACCAATCTCACTGACTTAGTATATTAAGCCAAATATTGATTAATATACATAATATATAAAACCTTTTTATCCTATTTTTTATCTGTAGGACATGGTACGCGTTAAACATGCCCTGCTCCGTCAGAACAAGTCTCGCCTGGTAGGTCCAAACTGCCCCGGTATTATCGCTCCTGAGAAGTGCAAGATCGGTATTATGCCAGCCGCGGTGCACAAAAAAGGTTGCATTGGTGTTGTGTCACGTTCAGGCACATTGACCTATGAAGCCTGCCATCAGACCACTGTTGTGAGTAGAAGAAATATAATAATATAGGAGATTTAGTTATTATTACTATTTTTATATATATGTACTTCATAATAAGTGATATCTTATAAATTTAATTTACATTTGTGCAATGCATATTAATGTTTACTTTTCATATAAAAAATGAAAAACAAAATATATTTTATCTGTTTTTTTTTTGCGATACGTCCGCATGATATTGAACTTACTCTTGCGTAATGAATTACGTAGTTTGGTACTACTGACGAATTATGTAAAGTCGCTTAATACGAAAAACTAGACATGACGAATGCTAATCTTGTATTATTTACGTATGTTATGTTAAAAAAAGCTGTTTGTTATATTCATGAATATGAATAATATTTTGTTTAAAGATAAATATAATTTATTTCAGACTGGCCTAGGTCAAACGCTTTGTGTCGGTATCGGCGGTGACCCCTTCAACGGAACCGATTTCATTGATTGCCTTGAAGTGTTTTCTGAAGGACCCAGAGACTAAAGGCATAATACTCATCGGTGAAATCGGAGGCAACGCCGAGGAATTGGCTTCTGACTATTTGACACAACACAACACTGTAAGGCTTTAACACAGATTTTTTATATACATATTTGTTTCTTTGATATATTTAACGAAAGTTGTTAATTTTTTATTCTTATTCTATTTATTTTAAATGAATTGAAACGAAATTAATATCAATAAAAATTATCGCAGGTGTTAAAATATTTATAGATCGAATGTAAGACTTATATTTTATTTTTCTATTAACAGCCCAAGGTATAGACGTCTAAATCGTCGATTGTAAGGTTTTCTTTGATAAAATTGTTTTAATCAATAGACGAGTGTAAAATGCTTTGAAAAATCTATAGTTGTGTGATAGCATACACGATACCTTACATAATTTCAAACATTCATTTTGACATCTACCAAATATCGTCACTAGCAGTAGTATATAGAATAAAAGTACATTGAATTTGTTTTGAGATCTACATTAAACATGATTAGATTAATTTATACTAAATACATCACTCATCGTACATTGATTTTCTTATTTTAACACTGAGAATATCCTATAGGATAGGATTGATGACTATTTTGAGATTGATATTAGTTCACTTTGTATAGTTGATTGTATTTTAATCATCTGTTTGAACAGACATCGTTAATTGTTGAAAACGCATTCAATTCTTATTTTTTTAAACTCCAGGGTCAAAAAGCCAAGCCTGTGGTTTCCTTCATTGCTGGTCTGACAGCTCCGCCAGGTAGAAGAATGGGTCATGCTGGAGCTATTATTTCTGGCGGAAAAGGTGGCGCCATGGACAAAATAAAAGCTTTAGAGAAAGCAAACGTAATTGTCACCCGTTCTCCCGCCAAAATGGGTGTCGAACTTCTCAAGGAAATGAAAAGATTAGAAATTGTTTAATATTTGATGAATATTTCCTCCATACATATTGTATAGATTTTTAGTTATTATACATAAATTATATATTTATCACTGTTTCGATTTTTTTAAAACGATAATTATTTCTTTACTGTAGATACCTAATTTGCTATAATTATAAATCTGATTTATGCACTTTGTACTAAGTTCGATGGTTAGTAGTAAGTGTGTCCATGTTAAGTGTTATAACCTGAACGAATATTTACTCTTAAGATAAAACTTATTCAAATATTGGGTAAATTCTTCGCCAGATGCTTTAAGTGTTGTATTTTTAAATAAAATGTTACCTATACTCAAATCATGAATATTACCTATTAAGTCCTATCTGAATTTTATTAATACATAATAAAGGAAAACAGACATCTCAGGCTTTTATTAGTAATAAAAATTACAAATAAGGTGAACCACCTTTTATCACAATTAAATAATAGAGACAGTTTGAAACTTTGAACTTAAAATACAAAATATAATGTTAAGATGGAAAAAAAATTATCACCAGCTGTTAAGGATTCTTAAACATAGTAAAAAACCCTACCAAATAAATTCAACTTGTTTGGATTTTATGGAATAACAAAAATACTGAACTTAACTATCAAATACTTTGTTACTTATAACAATTTATCTGAAGACTTGCTAACATCAAAATATAAATGCAGTATAAATAAAATAATTTCAATAAGAGGATCACAATCACTTAACATTAAAAGCAGATCTTAAACATGACAAAGTCTTTTAGTTTACAAAGGGGATATAATTAGACACTGATGTAAATATAAAAATTTTATAGGTAATGGGAATTTTGGGATATTTAATATCTACCCCTCCCTCCTACCCCTTCCACCGCGGCCCCGTCTATCCCCACCCTCTTGTTCCCTACGAATTTTCATAGCCTCAAATCTGTTAGCCATAGACAATAACTCATCTGGAATTTCTTGATTAGCTTCTTCTAAGATTTTGATCAAATCCTGAGCATGAGCCCAGTCCTGTCTTGTTATAAAAGACAGTGAAATACCAGTCTTCCCAGCTCTGCCAGTTCTACCAACTCTGTGGACGTACTCTTCAATGTGACGAGGGAAATCCAGGTTGATAACATGTGTTAAGTCTTTTATATCAATGCCCCTGGAAGCTACATCAGTTGCTACTAGGATATTGACTGTGCCATCAACCATTTCTTCTAAAGCAGCTTCACGATCAACTTGTTCCCTATCTCCATGAAGAGATTGACACTCGATGCCCTTTAAGCAGAGTTCAGTAGAAATATGTCTGGCTGTAGCTTTCTTCCCGCAGAATATAATGACTTTATCATTTTTATCCATGTTTTGAATGAATTCAAAAAGAGCTGCCTCCTTTTCATCTTCCTCTAGGAACACAATTTTCTGAGTTACAGTGTGTACAGCTGCAAGGTCTAGAGATCCTACATTCACTTGTATTGGATCTTTCATATATGACTCGGCTAGACGACGTACACCTGCAGGCCAAGTGGCAGATGTCATAACAGTTTGGCGGTCAGGCCTAACATCAAATAAGGACTTTCTGATTTGTGGTTCGAAACCCATATCCAACATTCTGTCTGCTTCATCAAGAACAATATATGAGAAGTTAATAATATTCAGATGTCTGGCCAAGACGAGATCATTCAATCTTCCTGGTGTAGCAATCACAATATCTACACCCCCTTTACACATTTTTATTTGTTCCTTTCTATCTCCACCGCCATATAGGCAGACAGAAGTTATTCCCTTGTATTGGTATTTTAATGTTTCTTTCTCAATCTGCAAGGCAAGTTCCCGAGTTGGTGCTAATATTAGTACAGTTGGACCTTCTCTCTCTTCCCTAGGAATGGTTTGTCCATCAATATGTATTAAAGCAGGCAACAGAAAAGCTAATGTCTTCCCAGTTCCAGTTTGTGCTATACCAATCATGTCATCACCCCTGAGCAAAATTGGCCAAGCTTGACTCTGAATTGGAGACGGTTGCTTAAAACCTTGCTTATAAATTTCTTCCAAAATTTCTGGATATTGATGAAATGCTTGTTCAAATGTTAAAACAGGGTTGGGTATGGGACGGAGCCCTGGTTTGTCATCAAAAGTTCTTTTTACTTGAATGTCATGGTTGGCCAATCTCCAGCGAGTTACATCAGCTGGTGTCATGCCAGCCACAGTGGGATCTTCCTTATAGAAATCTTTAATGATCGGAGGTAGGTTATCCCATCTTTTTTGTTGTTCTTCATCATGGGCAGCATTTAATTTATCCCAATCAATGATTTCGACACCGTCGTGACTTTTTTTCATAAAATCGTTAGAACCACCGCCGGTGTTACTGTTGTCAAAATGTTCCCTCGATGGAGGTTTACGGTCCTCGATCAGTTTATTGATCATATCTTCGACTTTACTGGTTGCATCAGTGGAACCGAACAGTGTTATGGTGGTCAAACTGCCGCTGGAGTCCCCAATCTTTATCTTAGCTTCGGATTCATATTCAAGATCACGAATTTTACTTCCACCTTTCCCAATAATGCGACCAACTTTATCTGACGACACCGTTATAATTTTTTTATTACTGGGATCGTTGTTGAAGTTTCGCCGGTTATCCCTGTTGTCTTGGCCACGATATCTCTGATTGGAATCGTCACTAGGAGCCCTCCATCCTCCTCTTCCTCTTCCCCTTCCAGTTGGATGGAACACACGTGAATTTTGGACGTAGGTAGTTGGTGCCGGTACCACAACAGGTTCACTCTCTTCCCAATCGTCCGCCATTTTATTTACTTCAATAATGTTTTATTTTCTTGTAAGAAATAAGTATTTGAAAATATTTATTTTTCAAGATGCAATTAAATCATTCGATGGCAAAGAACGACTCTTATTTTTCAAATTTTTATTTTATACCGGCAATAATGATTAGCTATTAAATATTTGACAGTAATGACAGTATTAATGATTTTAACCCCACTACTACATTTTAAATTGCTTGGGCAGCAGACAAAAAAGCAGTAGAACTATGAATTAATATTGTATAATCAGTTTTTATAGTACAAATAATTCATTCGTCAATGTCTATCTATTCGTCTTTAAAAAGTAATAACAAGTAATACTACACGTAATTTTATGGAATATAACTATTGCTGACTTTAGATGTTGAACAAAATATTTTAAAATAGTGAGAAGAAAGCTATAGACGCAATAGGAAGTTATTAGTTAGGATGAAATAGAATAGAAAAACGGTTCATTTATGTTGACCTAAATTCTAAAATTTAAACCAAAATAGCATTTACCATTACTTAAAATTTATGTCTTTTCTAAATAATATTAGTTTTGAGGTGATAAAAGAAGAAAAACTTGTTTATATTCATTAAAATGTAAGAATATAGATGATATTCAGTAAAAGCAATGTTTATGTCAACTTCTATTTTCAACATAGTCATAATTTTATATACAAAATTTATTGAAAAAATTTGACTAGAGAATAAAGTATGTACATTGAACAGATTATAATTTTCAAAGATAAATAATGTTTCAGATAGAATGCGCTAGTATCGCGCATCACTACTCGTTTTCCTGACAGTCCGAACTCGGAATCCCTCCCAAACAAAAGTGAAGTGCAGCGATGAAAAGTGAGGGATAATTTCATATTAAAACTCGATGAGATAATTGTATAAAACATTTTCAACGCATTTCGAGACTAAATAATTTCGTTTTTTCTTTGTGGTTTCGTTTATATCGATTTTTTATTACACGATTTTCTATTCGTACGTTTCTTTTACTACATTTTATTTTATGAAAATGGAGGTGGTGTTAAAACAAAGTGGAAAAGACTATCTGTTTAAAAATTAGTGAATATAACAATTGTGGATTACGAATGCAATGATAAAATTAGTTCGCGAAATGTTTGCTCGTTAAGATTAATTTTGGGCGATCGAATAAAAGAGAAACAAAATGAGCAACTGGGCGAGGCGAATGCACCGGCGAGCTGCAACATTAAGCAATGTGGTTACATCTTGTGGTCATCCGAACTCCTTGCCGTATCCTCGGAGACTTGAGAAGGTTAAATTCGGTGTTCCTCTGAGTGAAGTGTGCAAGGACGATATACCAGGACCGTTGTTGGTGAGTAACAATAATAAACATAATTCCAAGATAAAATATTTGATACCTTCTTTACAATGTCATCTCTGACACGAAGGTGCTGATTTTGAAATTGAACAAGGAAGCACCTTTACGCCGCGACGTTTTTTCGAGCGCCAGGACACCAAGGTGCTATGAAGAAACTCATTCACTTCTTGCAAACAGGTCGCCTGGTTAACGTCGACAATTACTCTGTTTACACTATAGCTAGTGTTCTCAAGAAGTTTCTTAGGTAAATGCTATTTTAATTTTTTCGTTTATCTAAGCAGTTGTTTTGAATTTTAAGCTTTGAAGGGAATGAAAAACGTTAGAAATTGTTGATGCAAAACACTATAGAAAAAGAAGATTTCTTGCCGATTTTAATATTGCTGACATGAAATTCGAATTTAGAAAAGATCTGCTCATGAAAAAAATTGTGAAATGGCTTTAAAACAAATGTAAATCAATAAGTGAAACATTAAGACTGTATTACATGTTCTTGTTGCATTTTAGGAAAATACCAGGGGTGTGTTTGGGAGGGATGGTGAGATGCACTTGTTTGCAGCGGTGGAGCTCCCGGGGGAACAGCAGACTGATGCTATAAGGAGGTTAGTAACAGTTAAGGCGTTGGATAAATTATATGTTGCTATACTTAAAAAAGTATTATCCAGTAAAAGGAGGTTAAATATAGCACTTAAGGTGTTGAAGAATTGCTATACTTAAAAAAGTATTATCTAGCCATGCTAAATTCTAAGTATTTTTTTACGAAACATATGATTTTTTATATATTTTTTTCTATAACAAGAGTTTATAAAAAGATATGTATCATTAATGTTTATTCATTCATCTTGATTTTAAATAAAAAACTTAATATGTATCATTAATAATAAATTCTTAAGATTCTATACAATTATTGTGATATAAGAGGTCTTAAACCTTTTCACCTGTGTTTTTCAGGCCTCAGTTTTAAGGATACCATAGGTTTAATAAAAGGGTATTCTTGATAATAAAAGGTACTGAAAAAATCATATTATAAATTTAATCTCCGAAAAAAGCTTAGTAAATTTGAAAGATTTGTTACTATTTGTATTCATAATTTTGTTGTAAATTTTATAGCAATACTTATATTTGATAGTTTTAAATCACTTGAAAACTTATGAACCTTCTTAATATAAATCTCTTTTGTTCATTTTGAACATTAATTTGAACTGAAAGAACAAAAATGAAGGATAAGTGAAATTCGTGGGAATTTAATGTTCTTTGTAGGTAATAAAGAAATGTGGAAGCATCAACATACAATATATACAATTATTTATACAATGTTTGTCTCATAATGTCGATTTGATATAGATATAAAATAATATATAAAAAGAAAAATTAATTATAATTGTTTAGAAACTCTCGGTTTACTTGTTTCTAAAAAAACATTATTGAGTTAATTTTTTTTTTTAATTTTGTGTGTATTATAAAAATTTTGTTGGTATTTTAATTAAACCAATGTTAAATAATTATGTAAATAATCCTTGAAATACTATATTATATTATTTTTTTTATTAATTATCCTATTTCTTGATTTAGGAACTTTTTCATTGTCTATACTTTTAGTGTTGGGAATATAACTACATATATCAATAAAAATAAAAATAATATATATTTTGAATAAAGTTTTTTTAAATATGTTATAATATACAGGGTGACTGGTGAATTACTATCAATATTTAAGGAGCATACTCGGTACATGATTCTCATTCGAATTATGTAAAAAAAATAGGTACTTAATTTTTGATCAAATTTCCGTATAAATAAATAAAGTGTGTACACGTTCCAACGTGCTGATACAACACTACGCCGCCGCATCGTCTGTGTGAGTGTGTGTGTATACCTAATCTGTAGGGTGTTCATACGATGCGTAATTAATTACATAACTTTTGGTTAACTTTACTTAGAAGTTTATTAATATTTATGTTATATTAATTTTTATTTTGTCATATATGATCGTTAAATATCACGTCCTCAAATATCGATAGTAATTTACCAGTCACCCTGTATAACGAGTAATTTTTTTTGTATATGTTTGTTTATAAGCCATATATGTCAAAGTAAAAGTATGTTATTACCGTATATTTGTTACAAAAAAAAAAAAAAACAACACGGATGCTACCGATTAAAATCACGCAACTGAAATTCATATGCGAATAATCGCATGTAAACAATGAAAAAAGTAAAAGTGAACTTAATGAAATATTACCGTATTACAGAACGGCTAAATTCCTGATTCAGATGAAAATTTGCTAACTTTAATAAAATTACCGAAATGTTGAGAAATATTTCAAATTGTGAAGTCGGTTGAAAGTTAACTGATTAATTAAGTTAAATTACTCAATTCTTATCTTATTAATGCTTAGTTACTGACGTCTCGGGTCATTGAACTTTTGTTTCGTGGGAGTTTTTATTTTTGCTGTACCAAATTAGGTCATTATGTTGTCATTAATCGTTATTTTTGAAGTAAGATCTTAATTATTTACTCCTATACAATATTACAATATTCCGATTTCAATTAATTAGAAGTCCACGCATGTGTTACAGATTTACGAAAAATATAATCATACTAGCTTTTCGCCGTGGAGTTCGGTTATATCGCGTTTCCAAGAGAACTTTTTAAAAGTCTGGGATAAAAACTATACTGTTTTTTTCTCTCAAGGTCAACTCCATCTCTGTACCAAATTTCATTAAAATCGGTTTAGGTGTGAAAGCGTAACAGACAGACATAGTTACTTTCGCATTTATAATATTAGTAGGGATTAATAGAATTTCTGTTTAAAAGTAATTTGTATATAATAATTTTTTAAACATATTTATATACGTAATTAAAGGGTAAGATACATCGTAACTCGTAATATAGATTTTCTAAAGCTGGCTGGTCTAGATTTAAATTAAGAACAAAATCTAAGAATATATTTTTTTAATTCAAAAAACGTCAATAAACAAAAGAAGTATGTATATAATTTTTTTTAAGATTTTTATATCTAATACCGTTCGTGTCCAGAACGATCAATGAAAAGTATCATGTAATCTAGTAGAGATTTAAGATTCATTTTATTAATAATTTGTAATCATTGTTAATGTTTTTGTTTTAATATTCTCAGACAGATATTGTCGCTGCCCGTATGTACTCAGAGATTGCTGGTTCTACTTTTCGGCACATTCCGTGTGATGGCTTCAAACGCTGATAAAGCTGGTGAGTTATTTAAGTTAAATTTACGTAAAAAAATGCTGGTGAAACGTAATTATAATTACGTATACATAATCCATTTGAAATGAATTAATGTTTTTTTAATTCGCCAATTTAATTCATAAAGTGTTTTTTTAAGTTTTTTTTTCCTTTTTTTTCGGTGTTTGAACGCATTATACAAGATTTTAAAACGATATAAATTTTACACCGACTCTTCCGTAACGTAAAATTTTAATATTGTTTTCGCAACAGTATTCTGCTTACGTCCATAATAATGTGAGATCGTAAATAGTTATGGTACAACTATTCACAGAAATCTTCATATTTGCTATGTATTTTATGTGAGAATATATAAAAATGTCTTTACCAGAATAATAACACACTGAATACTGTGAGTTCGTTGGAACTTTTAATTAATCTAACTCGTATATAGTTGTTGGAGTTAAGCGGAGTTGCAATTATTTAATCTCCAGCCGCCATCACAGTTGACCTACTTAGAATTAGCGCTTTTGTTATGAAGTTGATTTTTTTTTATTAGGCACAGACTAAAAATTTGCTGATTTTAGTATTGTATAGATAGTTTTTTTTATAAGAGCTAGATTAAATTGAAATTGTTCAGTATTATAATGCCAAAGTACCTAAGTAATATAGATTTTTTTTCTATTAGAACTAGAATCAGTTGAAAAACGTACACCGTAATGCCGATGTACATAATTAATATCCAAGTACGTTTATAGACCGTTAAATAATTCCAGACAAGCGACAAAAACCGGATGTCGGAACATTTTTATGGTTGGACCACTTGACTCGACGCGGCGGCCAAATCAAATATTTTAATTAGCTCATCTATTGCGATTGTTATTTCATATTTTTTTTCACATTTGGTATAGCATGATACAATACAGTATTCATATTACATACGCCATTGTCTCGTCAGGTCACGAACGTTCCATGTTAACTTATAAGTTATACGTTTACGTCAATACTATGAAAGAAAATCGGTACAGATTATAACTATACAGTAACTCGTACAGAGGAAATAAACCATTTGTATGACGAACAAAAGCCAATCTGTTATGCCATTGAATAGTAGCAATTGGTGCACAGCGAATAAATAACAACATAATGTTTTTAAATTACATCCAATATATGGGGAATGATTTTAACTTTTAACATCGTAAATGTCTATACGATTACTATGAGTTTTCATCGTTAATACTATGAGTTTCATAGGCTAGTATAGAAAGTTTGAAGATTTATGAAATTATAACTTAGAACAGTCTAGCTGCTTTTTTAAGGGTATAGTTGTTTTTATATATTTTTGTGTCACGGTCGCTTCCTGTTGAATTTAGATCAATTCTATACAGTTTGTTTTTGTTTTTTAATATTTATATATTATTTTGCGAACGAAAATATTCTAATTAATCGGTCAAGGTGATACGATTGGACGTATTGAGTTATTTCTTAGTTTTTCTATATATTCATGGTGTTACACCGTCGCTCCAACCTTTATATTTCGCTCCACTAACCGCGTCATTCGATCCCCATTAACCAGTCGGCTGGCATTTTGTTAAATGTCACTCACGGTTACACAGACTATTACCTGGTCGATCGAATTGTATAACTATGTATTACCCGCTCGATAGATTTACTGTCACACTATTACCTGGCCGTTCAAACTGTATCTCTGTAATTTTATCTATGCAATATTATTTGTAACTAATAAAATATCATATTTTGTTGAATGTTGAAGTTGAATTAACTTAATTATATATCAACTTGATTTCTCACAATTTTTTTTTTAAGTGATTAAGATCTTTATGTATAATTTATATCTCGCTTTCGTTAACTTATAATATTTTTAACAATTTAAAACACTTCATTTATTCATTCATTGAATTTACATTCCTAATAAAATTACTATAGTAAATAAGATTTTGCTATTGTTAGATAATATAAGAAGTAAGTAAATATACTTATAACATTAATGTCTTTACATTGTACAGTATTAAGTAACAAATGATCGTAATAGTTCCACATGACTAGCTCTATACCGTGACTCCGTCTGTTCACAGGAACTGGCATGACATCAGAAGCCCTGGGCGTGTCTGTCGCACCATCCTTCTTCCACTCATGCGTATCAGATGGGAAGACAGCCACCATGGAAGACGTACAACGCTTCAAGGTAACTATTACATAACACCTATACTCTAAACTATCAGTGTGGACGTATTCTATATCAACTCGTACTAGTGTTCCTGTATAAGATCGCCAATCTATATTCAATATTAAAACGTTATCGGAAGCTTCGTTTGGTTATCAAATGTTATTTGTATGTGATAAGACAATCATGATATATAAATGCATATGAATTATGCAAGGTTAATAATAATAACATACATACATATATAGATATTTATGTATATAGAAAAGTACATATAATATATTGTATATTATATAAATATGTAAATAGCTTTGATATAGATGTTCACGATAATTTTTTTTAAATTTCGCTGCTCAAGGCCGAAGTATCCGTAAGTATTAACAAAAGTATGGAACAGGCTTTTTTTTATAATATTTTTTTTACCCTGCAATCACTATTGTTTATTTTTTTTATTGCTAAAGTAGTTATGTCTGTAAAATATTTGTAGTATGACTCCTTACTGTTTGATCCCGTGTAACATGTAAGATAAGAATTATCTGAAACATCTCATTTCTGATATAATTTTGATTCGTAATCAGTGTTAGTTGCTCATATCCTGTTACTCATCAATCACTCACTAACTTAAAACTACAAGCATGTTTCCATATGTAACATACTTTTATGTTATAAGCTTTTAAGCCTACGATTTATATACAGGGTGACTGGTGAATTACTATCAATATTTAAGGAGCATACTCGGTACATGATTCTCATTCAAATTATGTAAAAAAAATAGGTAATTAATTTTTGACCAAATTTCCGTATAAATAAATAAAGTGTGTACACGTTCCAAGTGTTCCAAGTTGTGGACGCGTGCGGCGGCGTGCTGATACAACACCACGCTCCGCTCGCGTATGTGTGAGTGTGTGTGTATACCTAATCTGTAGGGTGTTCATACGATGCGTAATTAATTACATAACTTTTGGTTAACTTTACTTAGAAGTTTAATAATATTTATGATATATTAATTTTTATTTTGTCATATATGATCGTCAAATATCACGTCCTCAAATATCGATAGTAATTCACCAGTCACCCTGTATTTTAATTTCCTTATAATATATTAAAAATTATAACCACTCGTTCACAGTTATTGTCGTGTATAAACCAACTAACTGTATACGTTATTGAGTTTACAATAAGTGTCGAGTAAGTCATAACGCTTAATCCAATAGCTTTATTTACTTTCATGTACATAATATATTATAAATAGAATTTTTTCTCTTAAAACTCTATGTAACTAGTATAATTATTTTTTTTCGTTTATATTATTATAGAAGGTCCATAATATTATACATATTATTTTATAATACCAGGTCGCAACTCGTGTGATGCGTCAGCTGATAGAACAGTTCAGTGCTGGCGATCTGTTCGGTAGAGAGAACTATGAGTACTACGCGAGGGTGACTGGCAGGGTGTTGAGGGTGAGGGATGAGTGGATCTGTTCCTTCAGGGACCCGCCGCCGCCTAGACACCATAGAGACCAGGAGGCGTATGCTAGTATGTGGCTTTTGATACACACACACACACACACACAGACAAATGTGTATTACTACCCATGTGCTTTAATATGTACATGCCCACATATACAAGGCATGTAGTTATACGAATTTTATATTATATCGACTATAGAGTATACCTGTACATAGATATACGTTATCCATATTATAGATATTTTTACATTGACAAAATTTATACGGACACGATTTTGATATTATGTTTATACAAGTACAATCTTAACCGTCGCGTCGGTCGTATCAGATTCCGTGATCGCATTTTCACGGAAATGTTTTGGGAGACGCGACATGAACGTCTTGTATGTAAACAATAACTTTACAGTCAGGAATCGAACCAAATATCAATTATCTCAATGGACACTCGCTTTGATTCATATTCCATATAACTACTACAAATACAATGATAAATATATATATATTATATACATAATATTTACATATAAATATTTATATTTCCAGGGCAATTATCTTTGGAGGCTGAGAAGACTTGGCTTCAGTGTGAATGTGATCGCTGGGGCAACAAGTTTAAGTTAGAAGGTAAGGAAACCTTACAAAATATAGCACTCTACAATAATGTTACTTTTTCATATATGAAATATTCATAAAGTTATATCGTAATACAATTTTTCGGCAGGTCGAGAAGATACTCTACGTTTAAATTGAAAATATCCCAAAGTTATCTATTTTTAATTTAATTTTCTTACGAATTTAATTTTTACGTTCGGTAAGTTTAAACTACCTCCAAAAAATAACGTCACTATGTATTGTATGTTGTTGCCACTTAGTTATTAATGAGGTACCGGGTATCATAGCACATGTTCGGTAGAAATCACTTTATAACAAGGGAAATGTTGCTTACATATATTAAATTTTCTAATTTAAATTTTAGTCACATATAAAATGGTTATTTTTTATTAAAAATACTAGTAGGTACTGAAGGGTAATTTTTCTATATAGCAATTCATTCATCAGACGTAATATATATTTATGTTGGTATTAGTACATAATATGTGGTGGGAAACGTTAAAGATATTGTTTAGAAACCTTAGCACGAGTTTTTATTGTCATACAAATGAATAAATGTAAGCAAAATTATGAAAAAACTCCTAACTTTCTGTGTTTAGTTTGACAAAACTAAATCGTGGTTAGGGTACAGTTAGTGTTCGGTATTGAATTCAAAAATAACCTTGAAGTTGTTATCAAATCCTTATCTTTATTTATTGATAACGCCAATGACAGTTGAGGTTTGCAAGTTAAGACATTCGTGTGTTCATTGTTTACACAAAAAAAACTAATATTTTTTCATATTTTGTGACGAAATTTTCAGTTTTTTCAGTTATTAAACATAATTCTATCTTGATTTTATTCACGTTGCAAACAAGTGTACTTATCAATTTTACAATAAAAGGCTTGTAAGTGATTCTCAAAGTAAACTATCACCTTATAAATTGAGGTCTAATAATTATTATGGACTTAATCAATGAGTGATTCCAAAAGTAATGTGTTGTGTAGGCAGTCATCTTCTAAGAAATAAATCTTACTATTATGAATTAATTCTATATTTATAAAATCAATGATTCTCAAAGTATTTTCAATTCAGATCTATCAAGAACCCAGTACTATTATCATTTAATCCTATAGTGTTATAATATCAGTGATTCTCAAAGTATTTTTTACTTCAGGTCTCCAAATAATCTGAGTACTGTTATCCTATTGTTATATATCAGTGATTCTCAAAGTATTTTCACTTCAGGTCTATCAAAATCCGAGGAGTGTCAATCAATGCCGGCCCTGATGGGTGCTGTGGGTGGTACAGGCGCTTCCACTGGTCTTGGTATAATACCAGAACACAGCCTGCTCGACTCATGCACCAGACTATCTATATCGCTGGAGGAGAGCATCTTTAAGGTTATAAAAATATATTATAATTATTATTGAAGTGATACTTTCTATGCCACTTTTAACAAGGTTGCGTTAAATATTTAACACTGAATGAGAAAGTAAGATGCACAAATGTAGAAAGTAGAAGAAAGATAGTGAGTGAGTAGATTCTTGTTCTACAGCAAAGTAAAACAGTGTGAACATTATTAAATTATCTAAAATAGGTATTTTTTATTCTATATTACTTTATTTATAATTTCATTATTTTTTAGTTTGATTTGATACACATATAATTTAATAGGGCCGTATTTTAGTTTTTAAATAACAGTGATAAAAAACAAACTAATCTACAAAACAGTGATAACAAAACTGCATACAAAGTAATGTCTTATTGCTATCAAGTGATCTCTAACTGATAAACTGAAATTATTATATATTATTGGTTGCATACAGTTTATATTCAAGTCTTTAATATATATTTACGCATATCATTGTATACAAAACTTGTTTTATATTCAACTATCTAGGTTGTAATGAGATCTAAGATTTTCGCGAGTACACATTTAAATGAAACTAATATTTTCGGATTTTACTTCGCGTTTTATTTTAGAAACTACATACTCCCGGCGTTTCGGCTACTTTTCAGCAACCGTGATCACGGGCAGACGAGATGTGAGTGTCTGTCAGTTGGTCTGGTCATTTTACCTCCTACCGCCATCGATTTCTTAATTGTCTTGCGTACCGCTCTGGATGCCGGCAAAATGCGCTCACGGTGTCTCGAGGTCCTGCGGTGTGGTCACGGACATGGGATTTTATATTTTTAAGAAGAGGATCCCAGGTGTTTGATAGGTTCCAGCCATCTTCTCTATTGAAATTTGGGTGTTTTTTAATTTCAATAGCCTCGCGGATTAACCTTGGTATATATCTGTCTTCACGAGCGAGGATCTGTGGTTTATCAAATCTAATGTAATGGCCTGGTTTGTCCAATGCATGTTCGCACACTGCTGACTTCGACGCGCACCTATTCCTGACGTCTGAAATGTGTTCCTTAACCCTTGTACCGATGCTTCTCTTTGTCTGTCCGATGTATGACAAGCCACAGTCACAATCAAGTTTATATACACCCGCTTGTTGTAAAGGAATGTTACTCTTGATTGGTCTCAAGAATTGGCTCACTTTCTTATGTGGTTTATAAATAGTCTTGATTGAAACCTTCTTCAAGATGTTGCCTATTCTGTCAGTAAGTCCCTTTACATATGGTAGAATTGCAGGTTGTCCCTCAACTGTAGGTGGCTTCATCTGGTTCTTGCGATGCTGGCGTGGCACGGGCTGGCTGTTGTTGGTCAGAGCATGTCTTACATGCTGCAGCTCGGCCTCTAGGTGGTCAGCATCACAAAGGTGTTGTGCTCTCTGTAACAAAGATTTACCAACGGTAGCTAACTGTACAGGGTAGTGGTGTGATTGTGACAATACTTTGGGACATACTGTTTATAGGAAACCCACACATACGGATAGGTATCTCAATGGTAAATCACACCACCACCCTGTACAGTTAGCTACCGTTGGTAAATCTTTGTTACAGAGAGCACAACACCTTTGTGATGCTGACCACCTAGAGGCCGAGCTGCAGCATGTAAGACATGCTCTGACCAACAACAGCCTGCCCGTGCCTCGCCAGCATCGCAAGAACCAGATGAAGCCACCTACAGTTGAGCGACAACCTGCAATTCTACCATATGTAAAGGGAGTTACTGACAGAATAGGCAACATCTTGAAGAAGGTTTCAATCAAGACTATTTATAAACCACATAAGAAAGTGAGCCAATTCTTGAGACCAATCAAGAGTAACATTCCTTTACAACAAGCGGGTGTATATAAACTTGATTGTGACTGTGGCTTGTCATACATCGGACAGACAAAGAGAAGCATCGGTACAAGGGTTAAGGAACACATTTCAGACGTCAGGAATAGGCGCGCGTCGAAGTCAGCAGTGTGCGAACATGCATTGGACAAACCAGGCCATTACATTAGATTTGATAAACCACAGATCCTCGCTCGTGAAGACAGATATATACCAAGGTTAATCCGCGAGGCTATTGAAATTAAAAAAACACCCAAATTTCAATAGAGAAGATGGCTGGAACCTATCAAACACCTGGGATCCTCTTCTTAAAAATATAAAATCCCATGTCCGTGACCACACCGCAGGACCTCGAGACACCGTGAGCGCATTTTGCCGGCATCCAGAGCGGTACGCAAGACAATTAAGAAATCGATGGCGGTAGGAGGTAAAATGACCAGACCAACTGACAGACACTCACATCTCGTCTGCCCGTGATCACGGTTGCTGAAAAGTAGCCGAAACGTCGGGAGTATGTAGTTTCTAAAATAAAACGCGAAGTAAAATCCGAAAATATTAGTTTCATTTATCTAGGTTGTGTTTTTGATTAACTTTTGTTAATAATTTTTCATACTATATTGTATTTGATATTTATTATGTACTGAAAATACTAAAAGATGTTAATATTTTTTGATGTCAAAGTTTTGATAATCTTGATTAATAAATAATATAAAAAATGTAACTCATTTTTCGAACCACCTAATGGATGTTAAACTTATAATAATCCTGTCTATAAGATAATTTATTTTTAATATTTTTTAGTAATATATTCTTAGAAAGATCGGAATTGACTTTATAAATAGTATTTGATACAACTCAATTATTAAGTTATTAAGTGGATACAAAACAAAATTAAATTAATAATTTTCCACTACATATTTAAACTTATCGTGATATCATATCTGAATACAACCCAAAAAGATGAAAACACTCCGAAAATCTAAGTTCGATTAACTTTTCACACCATCGCCTGAGAAGTGTCCTGATCTTCTCTGACAACAGCTTATATATCGTCATCCCCTCTCCTACCTTTCCATATTCCTACAATATGTTTTATTATTATTTATTATTACAGGTGTCTGTGAGTTCTTCTTCCCAGTCATCTCGCAGTAACTCCAGCCCTCACATGACCTTGGAGGAACTCCGCGCCATCAATAAGTACGCTGAGAGTACAAAGAGCCTCTCATACCTGCCTCAGGTATGTATATCATAGGAAACACACAACCATACATACCCTACAACAACCAACATATATATGTATGTTGGTTGGTATCATAATCTAGGGCCTTTTTCAATTTAACTGTATCATAAATTTCTATATATATAATGTATTGGTTAGGTTTGATATAGGGGCTATTCAAATTGGTCGCATTATTATGTGGGCATTTTAATTTAGGCGCATTATCTGGACCTCTATATAGTGGCTGGTTAAGTGATTGCTGGGATAATAGGAAATTGTTTTTCTAGGGCCTTTGATTAATTATCGTTGAGTTTTAAAGTATTTATATACAAATGAGTCAAAGTAGAAGCTATGTATATAGTTTCACGTTTGTGTGCCTTCACATAATGAACCACATAGCAAAAATCAATGTCTTGGAGTTAAATAAGTTATATATAGCGAAGCCTGTAGTTAGTGCTAGTATTGCCATATAATTAACATGGTACTGAACAGGACTATTGCTAGGGATTTTCCAAATTCGCTGCACTCAATAGGCCTGTATATATTGGTTAGGTAATTATCCAAACCTCTGTATTTTGGCTTAGGTATAATCTAGAGACCTTATAATTCATTCGCATTCTCTTTAGATTAGTGGTTATGTAGAATTATTATCATAATCAATTTAGGAGCCTTTCTTCTATTTAGTTTGAATATTTAAGTATACCAAATTGCCAGGAGTGTTGATCCCACATTCTTAGTTAATGAGATCTGAATCTTTCTAGTAGACTCTTAACTCTTCGATTTGTTCATAGCATAGAATTTGATCCCAATACTATATAACGCCTATCGTGTACTATATAGCGTATTTCATTATGATATAAAAAATTGTATGTTTGAATTCTAGCGCACACTAAAGGATTGGTTGTTGTTTAAATAAATGGTGACGAGATTTAATCTGTAGACCCGTAGAATACCAACATGAAAAAAAAAAATCCTTTCGAGTTCTTGTTATTTCTGTCTGGTGGTATGAATTGCTGGCAATAAAACAGCATAGATAAAAAATATTTTATTTTTATTTTTAAAGAGCCAAAGAGTTTTACTATTTTTTGTATATGGCCAGTATTTTTCTATAAATTAATTAATTGTTTATTCAAATAACAGTGATTCATACCATCCATTGCATGTCAAATATCTGTGCCCAAAAAGGTATATGTTTTTTTTTTTCCGCCTCTTACACCTAGCTACAAACAAAATCATATCATAACATTTTACAAAAAAAAAAATGCTAGAAAGTATTTTAAAAATATGTAAATATTTACATAAGGTATAATGAGTACTATTTTTGGATTAGCAAAAATAAAATTTGACTAAATTTTGCTATAAATTAATGAAATGCAAAATAGCTGGGTGTGAAGGGGCTCTTACATTATGATTATCACCTCACCAGTGTGATATGAAAACGCTTTATAGATGCAACATCCCATTTATTTGTGTCCATATATTATTTTGTAATACGACCTTTTTTGAATATCAGGAATGTACGGCGTCAATTTGAGGTTGTGTTGTTTTTCTAAATTAAAAAATATATTTATACGTAGTTTACTAATTGTATGGTAAAAGGATTATTTCGCTGTAGGCAATTTGTATAACATGAGTGACTAACATTTAAGTATGTAGAAAATTGTAACTAATCATATGGCTTATAAACGATGGGTAGTTGTATATCTATCATGGTCCTAAGAAAAGCGTATATACAGACACTTGGATGGATAGAATCTCAATCATTACGATTGAGAGAAATTTATTTTCACTTAAATAATTTTCCAATGAAATATAAAATAGAATTATATGTATATAAAAATGGTTTAACATAACATTCACTAAATGTAAATAAGGCGATCTCTGTGTAAAGTTTTGCAGTGTGTATATTATTATAAATATCAATAATCATTTAATAACCTTACTGTTAAATGGAGGGTTATGTCTTTGTATATCATAATATACACACTGTAATAGTTAACACGGTTATGCCGCGGTCGCGGAAACATAGTATCGTGTCGGGTAAAAGTGGGGCGGTGTAGGTGCACGAGCGGCAGCGGGGCGCGGATGAGGACGCGCTCCGAGTGGTTCCTGCAGCCCGCTGTTTCTCTGGACGCCCGCCCGCGCGCAAGTACGCCCCCGCCCGCACTAGCGACCCACCCCAACCCGCTCCCCCGCCGCCGACATCGCGCCACGGCCGCCGACAGGGCTATCTACGTGCTTGTAGCATGTTTAGAGTTCTTTGTTCTAGCTATCGGTATTGTTATGTTATGATACATACACTTACACGGTGGAGGCTGGCATTGACAGTTCGGAATATATATACAGCGCTTTTATTTTATATATATTTATATAAAGTATTCCTAATTTAATGGATTTTAGCTTCTTTTTTCTTTGTTGATATGATGACAACAAACGGTCGTACGTTTTTTATTGTTAGTGTTGTTTGTTTATACGTTTTGAGATCTTTGTCTGTAAGTTTTTGTTTTGTTTCGAACTGTCCTAGTCCTCTATCTCCGTAACTCGTGGCCGGGGCTGGGGTGGCCGTCCTTCGCTTTGGCATGCACTGTTCAATTCAATTGGATTATAAAATTCGCACTTCTATCAAAATATACGCTTTATTATGTTGTATGTGTTTGTGCTTTTTTTTTGTAATATTAATGTATGTATGTATATACACTAACACTACGTAGTCTTTGTATAAACATATATATGTATGACTACATTGAAATGGTTTTAACTTTATATATTTATGGTAACATTAGTACTGGTTTCTCATCATCACAATAAGTACTGACTACATACGAATATCTATTAACGAAGAAACTGTAAGTATTTGCTTAAACGATGTGAACTTGTATAAGGTTAGATTTTTATTGAACTAATGTAACACCGTAGAATCTTCAATTTTCTTGTGTTTTTTTTGTTTTAGTTCATTTAGGTTTTATTTAAAGAAAAGATACAGCAATTCACAATAAATTTGTGCTCATTTTTATTATATTTGAGTTTTTTTTTTTCATTAAAAATATTAAATTTATTAAAGTACTCGGCATGCTTTCGTATATTAATTTTTTTTGGTTTTCAATTTGCACGTTTTTTTTCTTGATTTATTTTTACTGATATAATTTAAAATGTAATAACCTTCTGATTAGGCTCAAATACCTTTACCAATAGTTTCGTTTTAAAAAATTATTCCAACGTGATTTTTTATGTCAGTAAAGATCCGTTTACACACGACACTAGTTAATGTAAACTTTACACTTATCACCAGTTTGTATAGCGAAATTCTACCAAGAATGTCCAATCATGTAACTTCTCACATTATAGTATTCGTGAATCGTGTCAATATACTAATGAAAATCTTGTAACTGTCTTGTGTTAAATTTACGTTTTCTAACTGGTGGTAAGGATATGGTGACAAATACATAATTATTTTTGTTTGAAGTGTAAAAAGAATGCATGATTGTTTTTAATAAAACAAAGTATTAATGTTTTACATGTTATCAGATTATAAATTAAGGTTGCGTTTCAGTTAATCCCAATCAGCGATTATATGGATATAAGACGTGTTTGATAATTGTGTTGCATACAATATCTATACATATAATCGCAGTGTACTGTTCTAATGTAAACGCATCCTTATATTATTAAGGATTTTTATATGTACGGTGTGTATGGTGCAGGCGGGTCGCGTCGTCGATCGAGGCGCGCGCGCATGTGTGCCGCGCCCACACGCATTCAGACACTGAGGTGCCGCTCGCTATCCAGCCTCGTCAAGTGACGGCCAGGTAATTGCGGTAATCAGCCGAGCGGTAATCGACCGGGATGGTAATCAACCGTGTAACACAAATTACGATGATTTACCGTCTTGACGTTATGAAATATATGTCACAATTGATTTTATTTAACTGCACATAATTGTAAGATCATTGTATACGTCGTCCTTACTGTTTGGTTTTGAAGTTATTTCACTTTAAATTATTTTTATCGTCGTAGATGTTTCTATTATGGAATATGAAACACCAAATATTAGAATGTCTTAACATCACATCCTAATTGATTGTTCCTCGATTATTTATATATTATTATTATTATTAGATAAATATATGTTATTATTTTTCGTTTGGTGCGAATTTTTGGACCTACCGATAGTATGGTAGTTGTGAGCACATTTTTATATCAACGAATGTTGTATTTAGAACACGCTCCTTATATTTTAAGATAGTTGTATATAATGTGCTCTCTGTAACGAAAGTGTTAGGAACTTGACATGTATTGAACGAGAATTTCTTGAATTTTTTTTTCAGTATATAAAATTTTGGAACAAATACTTTGTAATATAATCTGTGCCTTTACACATTAAGTATAAAAGATTGAATTTAAATTTATTAATTCCAGACATTCCTACACGTGGGTTAATTTTTATATTAAAATATATTTGATAATTCAAATTTATTTGAGTTTAAATACTTTTTGCATTTCTCTCTACCTCAAATGTGGATTAATGTTTCTTTGCTCATCTCATAGATAATGTCGATTTTACTACATCAACTTCAAAATTATATAAATACAAAATTTTCAACTAAAATTAAGAGTATTTTATGAAACTTATATAGAAATATTTTAAAATTTCACTATCGGACTTTTATAAATTCGCTTTTTTTTTTTTATATGGTAAGTATTTCGTTTTTTATAATTTTTGGTATTTTTCTAACTTACAAGACTGAAGATTGTTTAATATTCGAATTTCTTATGAAGCAATTTTATTAAATATATATAGTTCAATATTAATCCAGGGATTTTGATTGGTTATTTGTCGAATGTATGAGAAAAAATGGCATTATTGGATACTGGAAGTTTTATAGATGTATAATTTATTAATTAATAGGTGCTAGATGATTGTGAACTCTATAGTAGTACGAATAATGTCACTTTTATTATTGACGACGCTTTTCAAAAGTTGTATGTATTTTTTTTTAATTATATATACATATATATGTATATATTTTATTAAAAAAAATACTTCATTCTGTAATAGATTTAGGTATTTGTAATTAATATCGAGGTTAGTGTTGATAGGTTGATTCACAAGTAATATTTTTTTTTTAATATTGTAAATGTATTGAAGTATAGTTATTTAAATGTATAGAAATAGTTGTTTCAATGCAAGATATGTTGTTTGTAAAACGTACAAAATGTGCTTTAGATAAATTTCATATATTATATAGACAGCTCAATGTATTGAATTGTTAGACATTTAATTCGGATATTTTAAGGCATCTAGTGGCCATATGTAATTAATTCTAGAGGCGATTATTATATATATATTTTTTGGTAATAGTATTGATAGTTGCTTCAGAATTAAAATTTATTATACTGTGAAAGTTCTCTGACGTCTAAACTTGTGTTCATTTATAGTATTAGGGATTATATATATGTATGTTTATGTATACATAAATATTTGTTTGTTTGTCCCAGGGTTAATGGGTTCTTGTATGTCGGAGGAAAAATATTTTTGTTATTAGATAGTCACTTTATCTGTGTATTACTATTATAGTAGGTACAAGTAAGTTTTTTTTTGTAAAGTTATTTTTTTGTTTGTTTTCTTTATAAGACTGTTTTGATATGAATTTAAAATTAGTGAACTCGAATATGTATACACAATCATTCCACCGATTCTAGTATTGAAACAAAACACATTTGTTTTTTCTTATAATTACTGTTTAAAATGCGTTTATTAGAAGATTTTTTTTTTTGTGAACATTCTTTTTTGTTTTGCGATAATCCATATATTATGGTTATGTATTAAGAAATCGCATACATATGTGTATTTCAAATGTTTTTTTTTTTCTTAATGTAATTTTGTGACATTGTCATTGTAAAGCGACACTCGCCTGTCGCTACATTTCAATCTAGCTGTTAGTTATAATTTATTATAAAGAGTATTAATTATTATATGGTATTTGCTTTTTGTGGAATACATATATATTTTTTTTATAGATTGTCACATATTTGCACATTTTTTTTCTATACGAATTATAAAGAATTACACTGAAATAAAATAATTAAATATGTAATCGTATTTTTATTTATCATTCACTGGTCAACATAATGTATTTCATACATTCAAATATTTTGTGTAAATATAAAATATATATCACAATATATAAACAGTAATAAAAGTACAGTGTAAACTCCATATAACGACACTCGATTTAACGACAAACTCTCTAAAGCGTCGAAATCATTTGACTTTGGTTGGTTTAGCTTGTCTACCATACAGTGACACACTCTAAATAGCGTCACAGCCACTCTCAATAACGACAAAATTAAGTATAAAAAGTACCCTTTTAGTTGCTAAAATGAGTAAAAAATGCGCAGCTGTGTACGGTTTTTTTTTTGTCGCTTTGTTATCCTAGCCCGCAATAAACTCCACTGTCGTAATCATGCATACCAAACTTTCTAAGAAATTCGTTCTTCACCAATATGCCTCAATATCGCAAGATATGAATAAAAATACGTAAAAAATACAACAACATTACTGGTGCAGCAAAACACGTCAAACAAAAACAACAGACTTTATAACATTCTTTTTTATGTACATAAGTACTAACACTAGTCTGAAACAAACTTTGTCTTTTTCTAATTCTGATTTTTCCTCCCTCTATTTAACGGCAACTCTCTATAACGCACTAAAATGCACGGTCCCTTCAGTGTCGTTATATAGAGTTTACACTGTATATAAAATGGTATATTTATATATTAAAATTTCTTAATAGTTTCTCCGTTTACGTAGACCTGCCTTATGTTTCTATCGTCACCCAAATAAACGAATCTTTGTACTAACTCCACCAATTGGTCTTCTCCACTATTGTAGTCATATTTATCTATTGGCCCACCCATCGCGTAAACATCTATTAGTAAAGCATCGAATTGTTTTCCAATATCGAAACTGCCAATCTTATCTTCCAATCGTAAAGCTAGAAATAAAAATGTGTCGATATTTATAAATATATTCCTTATAATGTAATTTTCAATATACGAGTATTAATCATACCTCTAGCGCCGCCTAGCGTGGCCAGATAGAAAGCTTCCTTCCAGTCCAAAGTGGTGTGAGGTTGGCCCATCATGGCCAAATGCAGTGACACATCCATGGCCCGTCGCATGGCGTCTAACATGCTAGCGTTATCACCACCAGATATATCTGAAATATTAGTAACAAATAAAAATTAAATTTTCTCTCTTAATGGCTTTCAATGAAGTATATAATTAAGGTATATTCTAGAATAATGTAAAATAAAACCTTAATTTACGATAAAACAATGTTTAATAACTTATTTCTATTGGGTCAATAACTAATCTTTGAAGAGATATCAACAATCAAACTGTACACCTTTCTTGTCTGGGAATAAAGCTGAATAATATTTATAATCAAGATTTCCTTTAACAACATTGTTTAAACAGAGACATAAAATTAAATAATTAAACTTAAAATCTTAATATCAGTACAAAACTTTTTGTTTGGTTTTATATACAAGCTTTTCTCCGAAACTTTACCTGAACAATGTATGTATGTATGATCTGTATGTGATCCAGACAAAATACAGTTCAATAAATATAATGTAATTACCCACTGACAGCGCCATCTATCGTGAGTCGCGACTTTTTATACATTATAAATTATATGTGTATATTGAATATATTTTTTCAGTATATTTTAATTAAAGAATTTATAAACATTATCGTTATTAATATATAATTATTAATATAATACAGAATCAATTGTAAATATTCTCTCTACTTAAGTAAGAAGCAAAAAAATTAAATTTTGTCACGAATTCCAGTTGAAAAAGATTAATTATAATACATAACTATCAATAATTCTTTTCAATAATAAGGTTTTTTACGTGATCTTACAACTCACCGGTACCAAGCCCCACTCTGATGCCTCTATCAAGGAGCTTCCTAACGGGGCAAAGCCCTGAGTTGAGTCTAGTGTTAGAGGCGGGACAATGAGCCACCGACACTTGGCGAACATTAAACTCACTCATTTCGTCCTCAGTGAGATGAACGGCGTGTGCCATTATACACTGAAATGTTTAAAAACTAATCATTATTCATGATTATGATAGAAATAGTTTTTGTTAATTTTATAAAAACTTTAGTATTTATTTCCGAATAGTATTTAAAAGTCCATTATTAAGGAATTTACGAACTTATAACGATTACTTAATGTTCAATCTAGAATATATCACTTAATAGTAAGTATATTATGATTGAAATGTAGTATTTTAGAGTATGATAGATAACTCACTAGTAGAAAGCCAGTACAATGACAATATGTAATATATGTTTGTAAATTACTCACTGGACTATTAAATATGCCGCATCGTTGATAAACCTCAGTATATGATGCACATTCTGGATTCGTCTCTAACACATATTCAATTTCTTTTTTTTGTTTTCCGATATGTGACTCTGAAATATATATTCATATTGAAATATTAAAATTTTCCGCATGTAAAAGGTACAAATATGCACATACACACGCGCAAGCATACACATGTCCCACAATCCCGGGCGCACACATACAAAACTATATAAAATAAGTAATATAAAATGTGCTAAAACGAAATGCTTACGAGAAACCTCAAGCCATAGGAAATAAAATCAGTTATTTACAAATAATATTTTTGTATCATGCACTTATGCTACTTATTAAAAGCGTAATTCTAAACCACGAATTCACAAAATATTTATCTCACAAGTGTCTTGGAGAAAACATGTATCATTTGAAAAAAGTCTTTTTTCAATCTAATTTTCCAGTTCCCACCACTTTCCCAGATTATTCAGACAAAACAGAAAGATATAAAAAATATAAATTCTAAATTTGTTTTGTATCATATTAATAATTTCTTGACAACATATCATATGTATACTCTAATTATATATATTTACATATTTATATATATTATACATATTTATATTCATAAATATTTAATATAACTGGTTTATTTGTAATGCTTCAAGGAAAAAATCATGTCTTAACAGCAATCTTTAACTGAGACATTATCAATAACGTTTTTTACCTTTTTAATTATAAAGACTTGTAGAATATACCTATAATTGTTAGAAACTGAGTTTTTTTATAATTTTGTATATTAATTATTCTTAGACAAGTTATTTGACATTTGCCAGATCAAAATGATACGAATATATACTAAACAGTATAAGAAACGTATATAATATTAAATTTTCCATATAATATTTAATTTTAACGTAAGAAAAAAATTTGATGCTTTAAATTTTAATGAATGAATGAATTTCTTGAATGTAAATAATAGTAAAGCAATCTAGACATAATACAACATTGAGTAAATTGTATAATGCTTCTTCATATAATAATATTATTAACTTTAATATCTATAACTATTGTATGGTTAAGTATTTTACTGTAAACAAACAAAGAGAATTGTCAGTTTGTTACATCTCATAAGTCCTTGTGATTATTTATAAGATATAAATGTAATTGTATTATATTAACATCAGAATGTATAAAATTAATAAAATATGTATATAACTTTATATACTTATAAGTAAAGTGAGTACTTAAGAAAGACCTTATGACTTATAGATAATATAGAATGATAAAATGTGAAGGTTACTGAGAATTGTTTATAAAGCTTTTGCAATTATTAACTGACTTTGAATAAGCAGCTTTTGTTCTCAACCACTATATGTGTATGTTTAATGTTTATACAATCACAAGCTCACAAAAAAAACATGCAATTCTTTTGTACCTTACTTTGTTTATATTCATACAGCTTAGTGTAGAATTTTATTCTAAAGAAGATTTACAGATTACTTTACATACAGTTAAGTACATACATATACATATGTTTTATTAGATTTTTTTTGTATATAAATATTACTGTTTTATTCATATATTTTGCAATTTACCTGAATGCCACATTTGTATCTCGACCGCTAGTTTTTGATAAACCACACATCAATTCATTGCTGCAACTGACCGCAAATCTTGGAGTTATTATGGGTTGAACCAATTCATTCTGAAATTTAAATTGATATTAACATTTATCTCTGATTTTAATAACATAATATACATAATTCTTATGTATATGAGTAATTGATTGGATTTTTTTAAAATAAATATATTAACAAAAAATATTTTTTTACAGACCTTATAGCTTAGAACTCTTTTGATGAATTGTTCAACCTCTTGCAGTTCCTTGTCTGTCTTGTTGTAGTAACCAACATCATTTTCTACATTCATACTGACTTTTCCCACCAATGCTCTTTGTTTGTGCTCGACAACATATTTCACAAGCTTCATTGTACCTTCTAAGTGTAAGGATCCAAAATAACAGGCTGTAGTGGGTACCATTGTTAATTAATCTTCTCTAAAATTTGTCATTATATCTGTATATTTTAATAGCAATTATTATGAAGCAAGAATAATTGTATAAGCTGTATAAATACATTTTGTAGTACCAAGATTTGCTTACCACAACCATATCATAAACTTTAGCAGCAAATTCTGCATCACTGTAGTGACGTTCCAGTGGAAAAGTATATTTATTGAGCCATTCAAGCAATGGGAGTTCCAATCCTAGACCAATGTTGGGATATTGAGGGGCATGTGTATGACAATCAACAAAACCCGGCATTAAAAACTCATTCTCTCCAAGTGTAATTACCTTTGAATCACTAAAATTATCAATCTGTTTTTGAAACTCTTCCATGTTACCAATTTTTGTTATCTGCAACAGATTGAATTAAATATGTATAACATTGTTGCACTTTAATAATGTTTTATTTTGTAAGAAAAATAAAACTATAATCTTGAATTTTATTTTTCTTTTGGATAACTTACCAGTCCATTAACGACTTCCATATATCCACGAAAACACTTTAACTTCATAGAAACATCTGAAGTTACTAAGTTTCCAGCAAAAACAAACTTTCCCGTCATTTTCAAAAGTAATTTAAATCTTTTAATATATTTTAGCTTTAAACTTTAATTTAATCACAAGGCGATGAAAAATTATTGTCATTAAAAATAGTGAGTAATTAAATACACTGGGTATTTAAGTATTATTTATAATTTAACCGGCTTCGTATGTCACAGTACTCACTCACGCAACTACGCTCCCACGTTCTACTTTGAAGTTTGATGTTTACATGTGATCAAAGAATAGATAGGTAGGTATATTATGCTATCTAGGTGCTGAATAGTTCAATTTGAATTGGAAATGTCATTTGTCAATAATGTCAGTAATCAGTATTCAGAACCCAGTCTTATAAGAACGTACACATTTTTATTATGAATATGGGTATTTTTTTTATAAATATTTACTTATATGTAAAAATATTTGAACTAGGTTTAGTATTTCAAATAAAGAAAATATATTTTTTCCCAATGGAATATCTGTTGTATGCAAATGTATAAATACACATTGATAATAATTTTTTTCAATAAAAACTTTGCAATCAAATAAAAGATATCTTTTCATTATCTATTTCGTACTCAATTATATCTATTTAGGTTAAAAATTATTTAAAAATGTAGATAACAAGATTATTTTCAATTATCAAACGAATTATAATATTTAATCTGATTGGCTTCTCCGTTATTAATCGCAATGATTAATTTATCATAATGTATGCATGAAACAAAATTTTATGTATAATATTTTACTTTTATTTATAATCACACGAATTGACTTGGTTCCAAAGTTATGTAAATTTTCAGAATATCTATTTAAACAAGGTGGGCGAGTACTTGTTATTCACGATGAGTAGTCGTCTTATAAAGAAGTTGGTGCCACGATTTCTTAGCAGTCTCCGCTCCGACGTACCAGGGCAAAAAGTGTCCAGTAAGTGCACACTGCATCCAATGCTTGGAATTTGAGGTTGCGGCTAGGCTAAGAGCTTCTTCCAGATGATTGTGTATTTTACGCGCCTCTATCGCCGTCTAAATGTCAAACACATAGGATGAAATCCTTAATGGTTGCAGAAATTAACAATAATATGACATTAGCACGGAAAATTTCTCGTATAGTCATTATATTATTTTTTGTTCATTTGTGCTGGTAAAGGAAAGTATAGGTTATTTCAACTTTCAAATAAAGTAGCTATAAACTTTTCGCTTGTGTCTGATTAATATTAGTAAAGATATTTAACATGGACTGTAAGTAACAAAATCAAAACCTTTTCAAGACGCATATCGATCAAATTAAAGGTTTTTTTTACTCACTTGGTTAAATAATGTGTTTGCAGCAGTATGTCGTCCAGATACATGCATGGAATAAGCTTTAATTAACATCCATCTTGGATAAATTGTTCGCAAGAGTCGAGTATCTTTTTCCAGCCGACTTAGTTCATGATCAGCCAACGAGTGTAGTTCCATTAAGTCAACAACCTACATTTTTTCATAATAATATCCTGATGTTAATATAGTTTACTAGTCATGATTTTGTAAATAGATATTTTGTTCGTAACTTACCTTACGTAAATCATCCACTTTCTTTGCTAAGCTTTCCAACATCCCTTCAGCAAGTCTCAAGGAGCTTATAAGCGTTCTCAATGTACAATCGTCATCGGTCGGTGACAACCAATTCAAGGCTTCATCCTCAAACTGTCTAGCACGTCTCTCAAAATTAGCCCGAAGCCAATAAGTCCATACACCAACGATAAGACGACGGCGACTTTCACCAGCAGATTTTCCCTTACAAATAGAAAATTCAGCGAAGCGACTAATTTCAATAGGTGACTCCAGTTGAAAACCACAATCTAAAATCATGTCCATACAAAGTGCGTAGTACCAAGTTTCACATTCTAGTGTTGTCTGATTTTCATCTAATTGTAAAAGCAATTTTATAACGTCCACTGCTTCTCGAATTCTACATCTGGATAATAATAAGTAGAAAACGTCTGGTATAATGTCAACTGAAATTTTAATTGCATAGAGAAAACGACTTATAACAAGAGCTCTAAATCCTGATCTTATAGCAGCCGTGATTTGTCCTCGTGCTGACCGCGCTTGAAATATAATCATAAATAATTTTCCTAGTGAAAATAATTCGCCTGCTTCAATTGGTCGATTAAATTTTTTTAAGGACATACTTGCAATTCTTTCTATATTAGCTGTGACTTCTGGATTTCCACGATCAAGTTCAATTTGTATTGCGTTGGTCAAAGCGTCGCATAAATCAATGAAGCTACAGTCAACCCGTTGTATTAAATGTAAAGAACGAAGTGCAGCTACCCTGGCGCAAATTTGATCTTCTAATGTGGAATAAAGTACTGCAGCAACATTCAAGAAAAATATTGAATCTTGTTTCATTATAATGCTCTGACGTCGATATTTTTCACTTCTTAGTTTAACAGCAGATATAACATTTGGGAAATGAAATAGATTTGTTATATTTTTTAGGTTTATTTTATATATTTTACACGCTTTTTCGGCATTTATTTTAGCGGCCAAGAACCTGCCACTCAACAAAAATGTAGCTGCCTTCAAAGAATACGTTCTGCCAAGAAATCTTTTCCTTTCAAAGCTAGTAAGGGGGGTTTTCTTATCAAGGCAAATATTTTCAGCTTCATCAAGTTTAGGTATTGCCATTTCGAAACTATGTGCCAGTATATTTAAATAACTATATTGTAAAATGAACTCTACCATTTTATCTGTGAGTTCAGCTTCTTTTGTGTGTTGAATTAGTTGTTTATATATCGTGATATGAAGGTCAGCACATGAACATTTTTTAAAATTAATTTGTGATACACCTTTTTCTATTTTTATGTGGAAAGTTTTTTCATTAGCCTCGGTATTCACATCATCTTGACTATCTATAATTCCGAGATCATGCCAGTCTTTTGTTTCGTAAACTTCTAGAACAGATCTAAACATATCAAATATAGTAGGATTCTTTAGTTCATCGGAGCTCACATTCTTATTGAGTATATTAGACATCGTCACCCTCTTAGTGGACCTCCTTCGTATATCGATATCATCATCCATGTGAGATTTTCTTTTTAATATAGGAGCACATTGAGACACGTTGGTGTTATTTAGTTCACTGAGTCGTGAAGAACTTGTTGAGTTTATAAAATTAAGCTTTGTCTTATTATCTTCCAATGCTTCGGATTGTGATTTTTTTACTTTCATAGTATCTTTATTTACTTCAGATTGGACCATATCCACAGTATCAAGTTCACATTCCTCGTTTGAAACGCTTAAGTCGTCATCTGCTAAGAGCCTTGAGTTATTATTATATCCATAATTAGTTATTTGCGATTGTATGCTTATTGCTGATTGTACTACCATAACGGTTCCACCACAGTCAGGACACTTTTGCTTGTTATTCTGCAGGTAGCTTACAATCCTAGAATGGAACTCTTTTTTTTGGTTAAGTGGTAGCAGGTCGTAAAAGGTTTGCCTAGAATTTTTTATTCCTAAATTTCATTACTTTACAAAACGCATATTTTGGAAGATTGTCATTAGTGCTAGAATCGTACTCAAAACCACATTCACATGACAAATTTAAACTGCCATGACAATATGACGCAATGCTGGAAGGAACACTTCTATTGCTTTTAATGTTTGCACAGGTCAGTATCCGCATTGCAAATAGTCTTTTGACAGCCTTTGCAGTTGTTAAAGGATCGTTTTCATACATAATATTTTCTAAGAGGTCTCTTGAGAGTATGTTGCCAATAACTGAAGCAATTTTTAATAGAAGTTGTTGGTAGGGTGTTAGTGAATCTATCTGAATCATGATAAGTGCATCAATATTTTGAATATTTATATCTGTGTTAAGCTCTTCTTTTTTAATAACAACACAAACAGAAACTTCATCTGTTGAATTTTCTTCCATTAAATTGTCTAAATTTGGTTGGTCTTTAATATTCAATGCAACTGGTAGAACTAACTTTGGATCAGGAAATTGTAAATCTTCATGAATCTCTGTCATTAAATCGGCTTTAGAAATTTTCTTAAACTCTAAAGCTCCACTAGAAAACAAGTGGACGATGAAACTTTCAACCAGACCTGGCTTGCCATTGCACTTAGCTTTGAGAGAATTGCACAAATCATTTGGTACAGCGTCAACATCAAGTATTTGGCAAGCTAGTGGCGCTATCAAGTTAGAATCTAAAGAACCTAAGACGATTTTTCTTATATTACTTTTAATAAATACCTCGTAGAGCCAGCTGTGCACGGAACTGAATTTACCCCGTGTAACAGTAAATATAGTAAAAATATTCATAGATTCAAACATTATTGTCAAAAATTCCCAAGAAGATTCATCCAAATTGTGTAAATCATCTAAAAATATAACGCATGCTTTTTTGGAAAAGACATGATTAGTTTCTTAAAATGTTTTTAGCCTTTTCATTTCTTGTTTGTTCATTCTGCTTATAAACACCTTCGCAGTAAGCAAAACGAACCTTAATAATATCATTTAAATAACATAAATCTTCATTGTAATGTGTTAATAAATCTACAATTTTTTCTTCCTTTTCAAATCCCGTATGTGTTGGTTCAAAATCAATAATTTGATCGATGATTTGGCTTAATGCTAAATATGGAGTGGCAGAATGTATCGATGTCAAACTCAAATGACATACCTTGAATTCTTTATTCTTAGTTAGCCGGATCATCCATTCTAATAGTCTAGTTTTTCCTAATCTCGGTTCACCGATAAGCAATAAAGCATCAAAATCTCTAAATGTTAATTGATGGTCATCGAGCCAACTCTCAAAATATTCCATTTCGTCAATACGATTCAATAATGGGGATATTAAAGGAATGTTATATAGCTCTTTTACTCTTATTTCTTCCGTATATTCATATATTCTACCAGGTTTGTTAATTCCTTTAAGTTGTGTTGGTGGTTGTAAAGTAAAAGCGTCTGTAAACATTTTGCTTTTAATAAAAGTTGCTTCATCACAAGTAATTTTATTTCGAAAACTACACATAAATCTTGCTGCCTTATTTACGATAGCTCCTATAACTGTAAATTCCCTTCTTAGTGGATGACCCACTACTCCACAATAGACCTGCCCAGTTGTTACACCGATAGAAACTTCAAGCACGCCATCAAGTGCTGATAATGATTTTTTTTATACTATAGGCGCATTTAAGCGCCGCTTGAGCTTCGGACTCATGTTTAAAACCTCTTAGTCCGAAAATGACTAAAATCATAATATCTTTGTCAAATAATATAATTTTGTTGACACAACCCATAGATTTACATACAATTTCACAGGTTATCTTGTAAGAATTATCTACCAAAGTTATCAGTTGAGAAGATGGACATTCTTTAGGTTTAAGTGTAACAAATAAAACAGACACTTGTCTCATTTCTGTAAGGTATTCTAAAGGTTGGTGTGCATCGATTTGAGTTAGAACCGGTCTTATCATAAACTTCCTGATATCTGCGCCGATGTTTTTCTCTTCGGCTAATAGAATTGTATTGCGAAGACTTAATATTTCGCTCTCTTTTGTCATGCTAGAATCAAGTTGCGATGCATCTGAGGCGAAATCAGGAAGATTTTCTAATGTAACAAATGGTTTGTTACTGACTTGACGAATCATAGCGGCAAAGCCTACGAAGGGTTTGCTTACATCTTTTTCGCGTGGATCGTATAGTATTGCTTTTATAGACACATGACCGTCGTCCGAAATTACGTGATCATAGTTGCGTGAATAACAATGACCCCACGCTGTGGGTGTGACTTTAACTTCTCCCGAAGAGCAAAGACTTTCTGCAATTTTCGCTTCAATAACAGGCAAACCAATTATTATATAATTCATATCGATTCCAGAGCCGATTGGAGAAAATATGAGGTTGCCTGCTGATATGGCTAGCTTAACTTTAAGATTTACCTTGACATCAGTTTCATATGATCCATAGGAATGTTGTATTATTAAGGCACATGCTATTGCTGTGTGAATTGTATGACATAAAAAAGTTCGTTTTTATCGGTTTTCCATAGCGCTAAAAACGCATCACCAGCGAATTTGATAATATCGCCTCCGTGGCTGTAAATAATTTCGCAAAGAGAACCCAGGTAGGTGTTCAGTGTTACAGTTAATCTGTATGTACCTCCCTTTCCGCTATTGTTATATTTCTCGGACAAAGCCGTATACCCGGACACATCAGCCATCATGAGAACTCCAACAAAACGTTTAGGATTCACTGAACTGAAGCTATAACACAATTTAATAATGTTAGTAAAGTTAATACAACATTACGTAAATTATATTACCACAAATCATAATACACGCTAAAGTAACTGAATTACTTTTCCATAAGAAGTATTTCATCTGGTACTAGAGTTGATAAAATAAGTGTTTGTTTTTTGGTTAGTTTCACTTCAATATCTTGGTCACATTGCTCAGATCCCAAAGATTTTTGTATGAAAAATTCTTCAACCCAGTCTTCGAGCCCTGTTTCTGGTAGACATTCTTCTTGATCGTCTGTTAACTGGTCACTATCACGTCGTGACATTTTTCGACCATAAGTCCGCCATTTTTCGGCGCTTACCATTACATTCATAGAATTTTTACGAGACCGAGCTCTTACTCTTCGGAAATTCATTTTTTTCTATTAAACAAGAATTTTGATTGAAATCTAAATATTTTATTGACACTTTAAACTTAAATGATTACTTAATCTATAAGGCTAAAACAAAACTATCCAATTCAGGAATAAAATAAACATGTCAAATTCTTGTTTTGTCAAGTTTCAAATATATTAAAACATTTTTTTAGGGAGCGGAATGCTTTTTTGACATGTAACTTTTTTCAGTCCCTTTATTTATTGACCTATAGTTTTACATGCGGTTTTAAATTTAATGTCGATACACTCCACTTTAGAGATTGATCGAACGAAAGAGTTTTCAACACATTATTTTGGATGTATAATAATTCCATCAATATAAAAAATACAAAAACAAATATAATTGTAAGTAATATTGAAAGATTTCCAATCGGTGTTGTAGTTTTCTTTTCAGAATAGGATGGGAAGTTTGGTATGGATTCCTTATTTTAATTTTTATTTTAAATTAAATTTTATTCTAAGGTCTAAGTGTCTTACAATGACAGTAGTTTTCATAAAAACTATGAAATTATATTAATAGCGTCGCCTGCGAGAATACAACAGGAAAATGATTCTATGTCTTTAAAGTGTCAAGAATATGTATTTGCTAATCATTTAATTGACGGCTCCCAAACTAGTAACAGCAAAAATTTTAATTTGCTATTGGAATTTTTTCCATTAGACAAACTCGTTTTAACTCCGTAAAGCATTCAAAATAATAATATAATTCGTTCCATTAATTAAAACCATAAGCCATAGATTAAATAAATTTGTTGTGAATAAACCAAAATCCTTAAAATACTTAAAGTAATACCTATAGAAGAAACCTATAGAATATAATAATAATAATACCTATAGAAGAAACTATTCCAACTATGAAAATATACTTTTATCGCAAAGCGAGATATTATGATAATATCAAAACATATGTTAAATTAAATATTCGTGCCAAGACGATCTATTTAACAATACTAGCAGTACATACAAATTGTATTACAATATTTTCATCTCAGTTGTTATTTTATTATATCTATATGGTTAACTGCCAATTTAGGAGGATTTTTTTTTTTGTTATCCTTCTTACTACTGATGGAGATTCGCAATCGCAAATAATATGCTGTTTATCGTCTGATATTTTTTGACCTTCCTTACCATATTTCAATTCTGATATTTATAATATTCTAGAGGAAACAAAAGGTTATGAATTTGCATTCTTAATTACATTCAATTGATTTCGATCATTAAAATATTTTATCACAATATTATGATTAAAACTGAAGGTCTATTTGATGTCAGCAATATTATAAAATTAATATACCCTGTCATATTGTTTTAACCTGTTTATCCTTTATGCACGACATTGCATCCTATTGGTATATGTATGGACATACAAACGAAGATACAAATCTAATTATTCAAATATTTTTTTGCCTTTAAAAAATGGAATTGATTGTTAATGAACAATATATCAATTATATAAAAAGTCCCCATTGAGGAGGATAATATGGAGAAACATATACAATATACATATCAAAAATATACTGTTTATGTATATAATAACTAAAGAATTAGTTTAACCAAAAACATTATAATATATAGGTACACATTTATCTTTTCATGCTTACTAAATGTTATTTTTTCCACTGATACCTAAGTAAGGTATGAAAGAAAAATGTCAACAAATCGTGAATACACAAATAAGGTTACGACCACAAATCAGACTGCAACATATGTATACCAGGTTTGTAAAGATGTGAATAATGACTATAAATATTTATGGAACGCGTTAATGGTATTAATGAACTGTTATGGGCCATCCACGTAACGTGACAGTTGCTCGCGCTCTTTCGTCCATACAACACATGCATTTTAAACGAAATCACACGAATTGTTGAATGTGTGATGGATACTAAGGGTCATTCGTTTCTGGACAGAGTTTTTGACATTTTGAAGGATGAAACAGCTGATGAACTTCCTCTCATTCAATTCAAACACCCAAAGGAGTTGGAAGTAAGTACAGTGAATTTTTACTTATATCATTTATTAAACCTTATTCATACTCGGAAGATATTCATGTTAAATTAATGATTGTATTAATTTAACATTAAATTTTATAGATCGTATTATAAGTGGTAATGATTAAATTATTTTATGTTTCCTCTGAATAAAAAAGTAAATAATATAATTAAATTTATATAATCATAAGGTATATTTTTTTGGTAGACTCAAATAGTTTTTAAACTATTTATTTTTTCATTTTTTCGCAATTGCACAAATAAATAAGCTAATTTATTTTAAAGTTTTAAGATTTAGTTACAATAATATTCCTACTCGTTCTTCAAGATGACTGGGAGACCTTAAACCTCGCAAAAGATTTTTCTTTCTTCTTTCAAGGCTTTAATACTGAATAAAACTGAAATATTATACAAAGTTATTACTTCCATAATTTTTTTTTCCAATACAGTATTAGATTACCTTAACAATACCTAATAAGAATATAGGTACTTTTTGTCCTGCATGATTTCTTCAGAGTTAAATATTGAAAATAATAAGTAGATTATTTTTTTGCAAAACAGATGTTCATAAGATTATTAATACTACTGTGTGAGTCTAAACATTTCCAGTTGTTATTATAATAAGAATATATTGTTGATTAGGTAGTCTTTAAATATAAAAGTATACGTAAGTATTGTATTATAAACAGGCGATTTCATTTCGGTCGATTTATCATTCCCGGGATTTCGGGGCTACCTAAAGTTAATCCCGGGATAGTCCCAGGATTGAATTAGTAATAGAAGTTGTGAAAAAAGAAAATACATAAAACATATAAATCTTATATTTTAAAACTTTATTTAACTCTCCATAACGAAATAAAAATATATTTTTTTCTTATAAGATAAACAAATTAGGTATTTCTGTAAATAATTTATGAAATAGTTTCATGAACCATATTAATATTATTTTACAATAAGTTAAAAAACCTGAACTTCTGAAGTTTGTTTATTAAACAAAGAAAAGCCGTTGTTCTTAAAAATACTAGGTATATGCAAAAGAAATTAATGTTTATAGGACTCATTCTTTAAATTAAATAGACCAGAAACTATAAATTACTTATTTAAGTCACTAAAATAAAATCTATTGAATAACAATGTATCCAACTTCACGTTCGAAAGCATTTTGAATTTTTTGCACAAATATGAAGAAACGCGTTCAGGCTCGATTGATGTTAGAAGAAACGTCTGTGAATTTTTCTCCAAGTTATAACCCAGTGTGGACCTAGCCTTATAAAAATTAATTTCTTGTTTAATGATCTTTTCGAAATTATAGTTTTTATGTTATTTTATACTTTGTTTCGACGCTTTCTTTCGTTAAATCAGTTTAACTAGTTGTATAGGTACGTACATTTTTATTGACTTATACATGAATAAAAATACACTTCTTTGAGGTCTATGACATACGCTTGTTTACACTGCGTTAGTGGAGTCATAAATCTGTATAATGGATAATTAATTGACCACAATTATCACGGGTCATATAAGTTCCTTATTTTATCTCTTAATATATTACAAATTATAAGTCTTGTTGACTTCGTACAAGCATTAATTAAAAACTGCTATCAAGAGTACCTACTATATCAATAATCACCTAAATTTTAGTAAGAAGAGACTGAAATTTAATAAACATACCTATTCATAAGTTTTCGATCATGTCTTTTGATTCTAATTCCCGCCAACAAATTTACACAAACAAAGCACAAGTTCAAACAGAATAACTTTTTATATTGACATATGTTGAAGTCAATAAAAATAAATAGCTATTAATTGTTTACAGGAAATACTCAGCAATGACCTCGACATATCTATAAACGTGGATGACAAAGAGTTGGAAAACTCCGTTAGAAAAATTCTGCAGTACAGTGTTAAAACAAACAAAGTAACCTTTAGGAACCAGTTGTATGGACCCATGGATCCATATGGACTGGCTGGCACGTGGATAGCTGAGGCTTTCAACACTAGCCAGTTGGTGACATATTTGTTCAATACATATTATGTACAATATAACACAATATAAAATAAAATGTTGAAATGGGATAGATCCTAGAATTGAAATAAGTTGGTTACTTTTTTATATTAACCTACATAAAACATAGAATTCAGAAAAAACGAGAGGTTTTGAGAAAATTAAAATAAATAAATTGATTAATTAAAAAAAATTGTGAATGTTGCAATTTTCATAACATTTTTTTTAGAAATAAATTATTACGTTGTCTTTGTTAGTTGAATATTTTGTTACATTTAAAAAAAAGTAAGACATTCAAATATAATTATTATTATTAGAGAACGTATTACATACTTCGTATTACTATCAAAGTAACTATGTATAAGCGTTAAAGAAAACAGTATCTAGGAGTATCTTAACGAATTCAAGAAAAGTTTATGTATGTACATAAATGCAAATTATTTTAAGAAAATTATATCCTATACTTAGACTATATAGAAGTACGATTGTTATCAATATCATCTTACATTGTATTTAATATTAAAAGCGAACTTTCTAATATATCTACAGGTACACATTTGAAGTCGCCCCAGTATTTACGTTGATAGAACTCAAAATGATAGAGCACATATTAAAATTATTTGGTATACCTGGAGGTGATGGTATCTTCAGTCCAGGAGGGAGCATCTCCATGTTGTATGCTTTGGTAGCTGCGAGGTTTAAAACATTCCCTGAAGTCAAGAGCAAGGGAATGAAAAAACTGCCTGAAATGGTCATATTCACTTCCGAAGATGTAAGTTTCGGATATAATGTAATTTAAATTATAGTAACTACATTCTTTTTAGATCTTTAAAAATATAAAACTAATATTTGGATGTAAATATCATTTTCATCTCGTGTGCCCGTGATCACGGTTGTTGCAAAGGAACCGAAAAATAGAGAGTTTGTAGCTCTAAATCCGATAATGTTAGTTTTATTTCATATTTTGTTTATTAAAATTTTTTACCCTATTAAATTACTAGTTAAGATTTATATAAAACTATGAATATCAAAGAATGTATCCTAGCTTTTTTTGTTAATAAATACGTAAATAAACCCTAGGATTGAAAATGTACTCGTCATTTTATTGAAAAAGTTAAGCTTGTATTAATATGGAATCTTCAACTATTTCAGAGTCACTACTCCATTATTAAAGCCGCTCATTGGCTTGGTTTTTGGCACAGAAAGTGTTATATCTATTAAAACTAATAGTTCTGGTCAGATGATTGTAGACGAACTAAATAAAGCGATAGAATTTCAATTGAGTCTGGGAAAGTATCCTGTGTTTGTAAATGCTACTGCTGGTACAACGGTTTTAGGAGCTATTGACGACTTAGAAGCTGTTGCATCTATTTGTAAAAAATACAATATTTGGATGCATGTTGACGTAAGTTTATTTATTTTACTGTCAATATTAAAAACGCTCCAATTCGTTGGTATATATTTGATTTAAACGTCCACAACCAAATAACCGTTTTTGGATGAGAATCAAATTATCCAATCTCGATTGTATTTTTCTCCAAAGAAATCATGTTATCGAGGACAAATAATTGTATTATGATAAGTTAATAAAAAATATTATTAGTATATTTTCTTCTAAAAGATCCTTATGTATTTTTTTGTAGGCCTGTTGGGGTGGAAAGCTTAATACTTTCTGACAAATTAAGGAATAGATTGCAAGGAATTCAATTGTAAGTTGAAAATATAGATATATGTTATTTGGATACTATCGAAAATTAATTGATGAGTTAAATAAAATAAAACCCTAAATAATTAAGGCTATTTCTAAATGTAGTATTTCATAGTAAAATGAAATTACAGTGCAGATTCCATTTCCTGGAATCCACATAAGATGATCGGCGCTCCGTTACAATGTTCCATATTTCTGCTGAAAGAAAAGGGTTTGCTGCACGAAGCTAACGCTGCAGCAGCGCAGTACCTGTTCCAGCAAGATAAATTTTATGACGTTCGATATGATACAGGAGATAAAAGTGTTCAGTGCGGGAGAAAGGTGACAAAAAACCTTATTTTGCCTAAAATTTAAACCTTTAGCCCTAATATATTTTCCTTATTTGACATTTATTTCAATGAAAGATTTCTATTTCACTTAAGTAAACAGTGAAAACACATTCCTATGGACAAAATCCATAGGAATTGGCTGTTGATAAAATTAAAAATTTTCGATGTTCAGATTCATTTATATAAATATCATTTAGACACACTTATTTTTTTTAAAATATACAGTTTTTTTCGATTTATTTTTATTTTATTTTAAGAATTTTTATATTTTCGACTGCTTGTTAATGTAACAATAAGATTTTTCGTTTTCAAATATACACCATTTAATTTAGATTTTTTTTTCTCGTTTTCAGATAGATTCTTTTAAATTGTGGATGATGTGGAAGGCGCGAGGAGATATCGGCCTTTGTAAGCTGATGGATCATGTCATGAGTATATCAGAGTTCTGTTTGCGATCTATCGCTGAAAGAGAAGGTTTCAGACTAGTTTCAGACACTTTGCAATGTCCTAACATTTGTTTCTGGTACATTCCAGTTTTTATGAGAAAACAGGAGGAAAATGATGCGTGGTGGGCACTCATTCATAAGGTAGGAAATTGACAGTCTTATAAAAATTATGTGATTAATTCTTAATTATTTTAATCTAACATTATCCCAATTATACTTTCAAGATTTTACGGTTAAAGGTGAATTTATTTTCTATCTTTAAAAAATTACTTAACGGTTTTATGTACAGTTTATAATGACACACGAAGTAGGATTAAATAGATATTTTTTTATTATCAATGTACGGGACACACATTGTGTTGAAAATGATGGCTATACGATCTAACCCCTACACTGTCACCACAATTTGAACTTTACGTTAGATAAGCCGAAATAGATGGATGATTACGTCTATTTCTGCAACTTATTTTGATCCTGGGAGTACTATCTCTCTTTAATTTATATCTCTTTTTTTTTTTTCATACATAATCTCTCATTACACGGCAACAAAAAATCACAAACTCAAACTTCTGCTGTGTCTTCGAATTACTTTTGAAGAAACGAACACTCAATATTCGTAGTGTTGATTCATTTAATATAAGTATTTCCCAAACAATCCAATCTGGAAAACGATGAAGAAACTTATAATGTCAATGTATCAATGTAATCTAATGTAATTTTTCATATAACTTTTATGCGTAGTATCCTGTTTTATTGTGGTGGCTTCTAACTAAAGGTTTTGAATTGGCTTTCGATTCTGAGGTACTTCATCATACTCTTGAAGTTGACAGAAAAGATTAACAGCTTTATATTATTCATTAATATGTGGTATTTTTTACAAAGCTGTGTCTTATCAATGAACAGTGTATCCATTTTAATTTCCAAGTTCCTATTTTGATTTTTTATTTTTAACGTGATGCAATTAACAAGCGACAGTGGTGTGTACGTAAATTTGTGCGTCCGGGAAACTGCTAATTGATATATTCAGGATAACAATTAATTCTTTACTATTATGACAATAAATTCTATATTTAGAATTGTTAGAATATAAGTAATAATATAACTTATGATTATTATTATTCTTGTTAAAATGCTATAAGTAAAGTGTTTATATTTATTTCAGATTACACCAAAACTCAAAGAGCTGTTAACATTAAGTTCTCGTTTAATGATAGCTTATACGCCTTTACGACATCACAAGAACTTTTTCCGACTAGCGTTCACCTTCCATCCTGTTGTTGAAGAAAAGCACGTTCTGGAGATATTACAATCTATAGAAGAATGTGGAGAAATGATAAACATAGACATGGTCTAACATTATAAGAGGATTTAATAGTTTGTGACCTCCGGGAATACAATTAAACTGGCTCTTCAGCACTATGAAATATCAAATATATGATGTGATTTAAATGTAACGCTGTACGAATTGCTTGATTACTGGAATGATCAGTGCAAAATGTTTTTGAATGCGATGTTTTTAAATTGTACATTATGTATGTACATGTAAAAATTGCAGCTTGAATTTCAATTAATACTTTATGATATAATAAATGAATATCTTGTTTTATTTTTACTATTGGAGATTTTAAATGAAATTTATCAGAGTATGATCTCGGTTATAAGGTGGGATAGTCAGATGTCTAGTATCATAATGGAATGAAATAGACAAAAGGAATGTTAAATCTTAATGCTTTTAACTCATAATAATACATTCATATGCAACATTACAAACATTTTTTTAACTAGAAGACAGAATTCCTTAGTATCCACTCGAGGTATTTATCGACGCGGGCATAAAGGCCTGGGTGCTCAGCCTCGCCGCAACGTAATCCCCACGAAACCACTCCTACTACTGTCCAACGACCACTAGACATCTGGTACATTAGAGGACCACCGCTGTCACCCTGAACGAAAACAATTTAAATATTCAATAAGACAAAATTTTGTATCGGTGATAGACTTATATACGAAAACAGATATTTATGGAGCGATACAAGTTTAAAAAGTATTGTTAACGAATGAAAAATGAATAATTATATAGATAAAATATTGTTACTATTATCAATGTTTAGAGTTATGACTAGAAAACTTGAAATAAAGATGTCACGTTAATTGAATAATGAATCTCCTGTGTTATTATTATGTTATTTATTTGTAAATGTTAGGTAATTACCTGACAAGCATCCTTTCCTCCATTTGGACCGCCAGCACATAGTGTTTCGTTGAAGACTGAATCACTAAACGCTGGTGTGCATTTTTCTCTTGTCCATATCGGTACAGAAACTTCCATGAGGACGTGACTCGCTGGACCCCCGTACCATTGCGTACCCCAACCTTGTAATCAGAATGACTAAATTATAATAAGGATTATATTTTGTCTATTTTATTTCTATCAAAGATTCAGTATTGGTAGTATTATTTTATTTTTTAATGTATTTACCGATCACTGTAGCTATTTCATTGTCTAACTCAACCCACGGGGAGGTAGACATATTGGCCACACGTAAGTATTAACACTGCTGCTCTGTGTAATTTGAGTATAACAAGGTCGTGGTGGTAAGTGGCACTGTCGAACATTTCATGTTCTCTCTCTTTTCGATCACCCTAAAGTTATATGAACGGGAATCGTTGGTTCTCCTAAAGTCATATTCCCCGAGTCTCACGAACAATTCATTGGGGTTCGTACCTGCATATTAATAAATATTTTTATATTTCATTAAAACAATTTAGGAATTTTGAATTTAATAATGATTATATATAAAGTTTTACAATTTTTTTATGCTTATAGAAACGATTGAAATGAGTTACGATGTGTCAGATTTCCTGTTAGTGTGTACAGAATACATATGTATTATAACAAAGATATATTTTTCTGTTTGGACCCTTTTTTTTCAGATCGTCAAAATGTAAACCAACAATTTTTAATTACTCCACATATTTTGCATGTTGGACAATTTTGTTGTTTCTCTATGAATGCAAAAATTATGAAAGAACCTCTTTACCTTGGAAGAAAGAAAATCTACTGATATTATGGAAGTTATGTGGGCTTTCCAAAATTGATAGGATTAAATATCATAACCAAAATAAAATATAAAAGTCAATACAGATACACATCAATAGGGTAATATCAACGCTAAATAAAAAGACTATCGTTTCTGATACTGGTTGATAATCTTTAGCTTCAAGATATGTACCCATGAGTGCAATGAGCTGCACTGAGTACATGTCGATCTGTTATAAGTGAGCCTCCACACCACTGGTCTCTTCCCTCGGGAGTCACGGAAGCCATCCAAGGCCATTCCCGTGGATTAGCAGGACTGGCTCCCGTCACTCGAGCCTGCGCACGAGTGCTCAAACCCACACCCTGAAAATACTCTACGTATTTTGGAAAATGGCTCCCAAAGAACTATTGATATACTTAGATTGAAGTATTTAAGTCTCTGTTTTAAATGTCTCTTAATCGTGAATTCAGAATAAATTTATTATGAAACTATTTTTAATCCTTTTCCTACTACAATATGCTTTTATTAACTGAATATTTGCGTATTATTTATGTTATAACAAAAGTTGCGTTTTTTAAATTGTAAAAGTAAAATTTCACTAGTTAAGACAATAGCGGTTGTTAATGAGCGTTTCAAACAACAGTTAATCATTATTAATTAATGTTTCATTATTTGTTCTGCTCAGAACTGATTTAGGTCGACTAAATAAAACAAAGTCCTCTCATAGAATGTTTTAATATAAACATTACACACCTCTATTCTCAGCTCGATCTATCTTCAAAGAGACTTCGTTTTCTTCTCTAGGTGCTGTGGCTGGTAAATCTCCGGCCACCGCATCTATAGCGTCCGGAGTACGATCATCAGGACAACACACACCGATAGATCTATACGATAATTATATACATTTATAACTTCACAATCAAATATCTATATATATAAAAAGAAAGTCGTGTTAGTTACTCCACTTATAACTCTAGAACGGCTGTAGGGATATGGTTGAAAATTGGAGGGGAGATAGCTCAGAACCATGAAAAAGGACATAGGATATTTTTTTCTTTTCGACCGAATAAAAAACTTTAATAATTTCCAATATCTGGTTATTTACAGCCTCGAGGGCGGAGTACATTTTTTCGATCGGTCAGCGAGTCATATATTACTAATTCCATAATTAACGTAGACGAAGGAGTAAAAAAGTAGTACTTCATAATTTTAAAAGATGTGACTCTCATACACAGAAACACAAATAAAATAACAATGAAACGTTAATAAAAATTGGTCGTGTTTTTCATATTTTACATTTATGTTTTCATAGTATTTTATTACTAATGTTGAAGAAAATGTTTTTGTCCTATAAAATAAGTCATTCAAAATGTAGTATAAATTTTCTGTGATTATATCAATATGAAGCTTACTTTCTCTCGTTATCTGTCTGTGGGTGTTAAATCTGTTGTTTAGTTTGTTTCACATATCTTTTTGTAAAATGTAGGTTTATCTTATTTACTGGTTCGGTAACAGATTTAACTGTAATACTACTTTATTTAATTTGTAATAATTCTTTTCCCAAAAACATGGGATTCTCATTGAAATACTTTACGAATGTTGTATAATACAAAGATAGTCCATGAATTTTCATGAAGTCCCTCTTGAAGTCTTCTTGGATACAGTAATGCAAATGTCGACAATGTCCCGCTTTGCCACTTGGTAGTAGGCATGCCTGATGCGGTATGTTTTTGGCTACAAAATAAACGATTGTAATGTAAGTATCTCAAATGATACTTCGCTCGAGTATCATTGTGGATGGGCACAAAACGTGGGCGCGACTCGCAGGCGCCCATCGCGAAGCTTCGTCTCGCACATAATTGAATTTGTTAAACTCTCTCCAATTCGAATGCGTCAATTATTCAAACAAATGTCGTCTGCACATTCAAAGCGTGATAAAGTCGTGGTTAAACTGATTGTATCTAATTAGTTAAATTTAGTTGATGCATCGCGGCTTGTTTGTTGTGGCTTTTATTTATACATATAAATAAATTTATTATCTCTGTCTGTGATTCCAAAAGTTTTTGATCTAATAATCATAGGTTAAAATTACTTTAACTATAAATATATGTCTTTTAATTACGTAATCTTAGGAAATTCTGAAACTGTTTGAATGATATATATTTATAGGAAAAATGATAAGCTAGTACTAAGGTTATAAATTTTTTCATGAAATAACAAACAATGTATATGAGAGATGGGTTTTGTGCTTACCTGATTTTTTCGTTAAGCTCTACAAATCTCTTAGTACGACCATGGCCTATATGCATTCCTCCAGCAGACACTACGTCCAAACCATTCTGGCTCAGTTAGTTCCGCTAAAAGGTTTTTATCATTAAAAAGATTTCGTAACGAATAATGCTTTAATAATTTATTTTAAACTATTGTAAGTGTAAGCATTAATAAAAACCCCTTTCTAGTTATGGTACTGGAGATATTTTTTGTGATAGCTAAAATTAAATATTGTTTGACATATTTTATATATGAAATTTATATAATCATTATGGGCTATATTAATGGCCCTATATTTGAATGTAATTATATTCTATGAAATCATTGAGTTTCTATTAATATTACGATTAATATTACGATATAAAAACATTATTAATTTACATTCTAGCCTTTAGTAATAAGTAATTATAATGTATTCACAACAAATTAAATGTTTTTGTATGATTGATTTTTTTTAAATATATTTAATGACATTTTAAATAGAATAACTACATTACAAACATGGAATTATATTTTTATGTTTTATAAACCTTTCAGTGCCCGATATTGCCTTTGAATTAGTTTTTTAGTAATTAAGAAAAAATATATATATATCTTACAGCTTAGAAGTCCCCATTGGAAAATGTCCACAAGGAACGTCAAAATAAGTAGACACAACATGGCGATCACTTTTGCGGACTAAACCATTTCTATAATTGAAATTAAATGTAGCAACAAAGGATGTGTTGATAAGCTCGATGTCTGTTGCAGCGAATAATCCACAGGATGTGAGTTTTGATAGTGGACGGAACGACCACGAAAAGTTACAGATTTAACTGAATTATTATTTTGATAATTGAAAATAGCACTAACATAAATGTGTTTGTATAATTGTATAAACGCTGTTCTGCTTCTTTTATATATTTTCATAAATCTATACGTATATAAATGTATTTCTATTGTAATATAGAATAAGACTTCAATTTTATGACTAAACTATGACATTTTTTTTAAGCATTAAGTTTTTTAGTCCTTCCCTTAGAATATTTGCAAAATCAAATCAAATCACGACAGAGAAGTATTCATTTTCCATTCCTAGAAGAATTAAGTATTTCAACCAATTAATAATATTTATTGTTTTTTATTATAGAAGATCTATGCTAAATATGATTGAATTTAAATTAGTTTTTTTTGAAATAATTATAAATTATTTTTCAAGAAAACGAATATAATATGTTGACATTTTCTTTTATAATAAGCAATTTATTCTATGCAAAGGACATAGATAAATAAATAAATAAAATTAAAAAAATTTATTATAAAATAACTTATAAACGATTGACAGAAAATTTTATTCAACAGTAAATTTTTTTTCCTCTTTTTTTTTTTTTTTTCTCTTTTTTTTCTAAAATGATACAGCTATCAAAAGGAATTTTACGTATTTAAATGTCGTTTTGTTTGGAACCTGTACCATAGATGAAATGCATCTACTTACAGACATGAGAAACAACTGGCGCCATAATTTTACCTTTTTTAACATCAATTAATAAATAAATATTTTATATACATATTTCTTCCACGAGAATATTTATTCCAGCGTCGAAAACCATTTCAAATACAAGTCTGTCAGTAAAAATTATTATTATTCCTAATTTATTGCACATCAAAAAGTAATGTTATTCATAAAGGGTGGATTCAACGCCAAAGCAGCAAATACTGTACCAGTCCAACCCAAGATGTATGAGAAAGTGCATGAGTAGGCGTGCAACTTAAAGCATACATACATTATTATTGTTGCTGTTTTCAGATATGCAAAGAGAAATAATTTTAATCAAGATATGTGAAATACATATATACCTACATATATTGTTTATATTGTAATAATCTCTACATTATAAGTTCATATAAATTGATATAAAGACGCATATAACGAGACTTTAAAATACCTAATAATACTAATAGTAATCGAAAAAATCGATTACTTAATTGTATTGAATGAAAATTTTACCTATGATTAGAGCAGAATATAAATCTAAATGTATTCATACACAAGCATGACTAGTGTTTTCGCTAAATAAACAAGAAATCATTCATTAAATTATATATGTATTGAGTATTTTTAATTATCTAATAAAACATAATATCATTTATTCATATATATTCAACATCACAAGAATTAAATGGTTTTTAGAAATGTACGCTATGTGAAAAATCTGGAAAACAAATTTTTATCATAACATTTTAATACTATCCAATATTAATACGTTTTATAAAAACCTATCTTATGTACCTTAGATTAAATCGTTTTTTTTATTTGAATGCTGTATTTCATTTATATAATTTACTAAAGTTTCCGTTTTATAATAACCGTCTTAAATAAACTAAGTTATGTTAAGGACGAACTAGATTCTATAAATAGAATTCAAGCTATAACACAGTTTACTAATCCTCGTCATATTATTTTATTATGTCAAAGCAAATGTTTACGACTTGCAAGATTCTTGTTTCCTTAAACCTAAGGTATGGATAATGTATATTATTTCCAAATAAAACTAAACCTACTAAGAAGTTTATTAAATATAATTATTAGCTTTTCCTCTTTTATCCATTGTATTAAAGATACTTTAAAGTGATTTAATAAGTAATACTTGTTTATTATCTTTTTCACGTACGCTGTAATATAAGAAGTGTAAAAATAGTTTATCAGTTTTTAACGTCTTTACGAATTTATTAAAGTTTATAAAATTTCTAATCCCATTGTGCTATGTAATGTTTTATTTTTTTAATCTTTCACAACAAAGCAACGGGTTAATGAAACTTAAATATCAAAGAAATTCAAAATATATTATACAAAATATAAAAGAAATTCAAAATATATTATATTGAATTAAATGTTAACGACACTTGGTTTGAGTTTGAGTTTTTTGTTTACTTGCCTTTGAAATAATTTAGAATCCAAGAAGTAAAAAGCGTTTGGCAAAATATTCCACGACTCCAGTGCGAATGAATCCGTAGCAAAAAAAGAATGTCTACGATCTTATATATCTTTTTTAAAGAAAAAATTAAGCAACCTCTTTCATAAGAAAGAAAGTTAACGGTCCCTGGACAAAACTTGTTGTTTAGACAGCGATATCTGTTAGCAAATAAAACTGAACGTAGTTTTCTTAACATTGTTCTACTTACAAGGATTTTTTCATATTTGGGTGATAATTATGATGTCTACTAACATATTTTGCTTCATTCGATGCATTTTATCCATAGTCATAAGAATGTTTGCATACATTAAGATTACTCATTTCATACCAACATGATGGATGGGACGGGTTTTCATAAAGTGATCATATATTAATACAAAATTGTTAATATTAAACCACTTGTGGTTTCTTCATTGAGGTCAGTCATAATGATTTTGAAAAGTAATCAATAAAATTCCATACATATACGTACAAGTAAATAAATATTTTGAATGAAAAAAAAAACATGCCGTAACAATTTCATATAAATTTATAAGTAGAAATAAAAAAAATAAAATTTAGTAAATTACAACAATGCTTTTCAATTGGTCAATTTTCTGTTCTTCTAATTGTTTTGACAACTTAAACAGCGAGACAAGATATAAATGAATAGTTTTTCGTTTTAATTCAATAATTCTTTTTTTGAAAACCTCATATAAAAATTTAATTTTAAATTCAACTAATTTATGCAAGCTAAGTCGTACACGCAAAAATCAAGTTGAATAATTTGCCAATCAAACACCAATATTTCATATAATTTCATATTTACAGGAATGTATCTAGTATTTTGAAATACAGATACATAAATTACCGTAATAATTTTAAGATTATAATGAGATTTTACAAAACAATATCGAATATGACCGGTATATATATTACATCACTTGATGTGGGTGTTTTTAATAATAAATGCCGGATAATGACAAATATTCTCATAACATCTAACACAGCACTGTGACATTCCTATTATGTCAATCTGACGTATTTTAAAAAAGCTATCAATAATATTTTAAACTAATTGTGTTCCGTTATGTAAAACAAATACTATAGGTTTATTGTAAACATACAAGATGGGAGCCTTATTTTACTATAATTAAATCGAATATTTAAGATGAAACGAGTGACTACCTAAAAATTTTCTGTCAATGTCAATGTCCAAAATACTAATTTTATGAATTGTAGGTATGTATTTTCTTTAACTCCTAATAGTTTTTTTTTTAAACTCACAATTAATGTTTTTATTTTCAAAATTAAGTTTACTACTGTATTTATTACAATTTACCATAAAATTTTGCTCGTAAACAAAAAATTGATGATTTTAAATAATGATAAAATTATTATTTTTTTGTGAACTTGTGACACATATTATCGTTTTTTATCTTAATAATAAGTTTTGCTACTATTTAGATTAACAGTTGATAATTAATAGTTTTTTAAAAGCAATTAAAATAAAAAAATGTGACATATTGATTTCTTAGCAATAAAAGGAAATCGGGTAGTGTTTTAAGTAAAAACTGAGCTAAGCAAAATTATGTAAATAGAGTCCAGATAGTGATTACAGAACCTCAGGCCTAATACATAATTAAAATACTTTACCACATTATTCTAGTTCAGGCGCCAGTGCAGGGCGTTGTCCCTGAACCCGCCGCGCTGGTGAATTCACTTTGTGGATACAATCAAATATGCAAATATGAACTTTTTAACTTTTACAATCTGTATAGTATCGTACTATGATTATAGACATCGAAGTTTTAAGCTTATCAAATAACATTATATACATTTAAAATCAAAATAGATATAGCGCAATATTCCATACGTGATTTTTGTATTTTTTTTTGTTAATAATTTCATATAAAAATGTTTGTTTTTTTCTATAAAATTTAGAATTTCTATCGGACGATTTACTTCTTAAAAAACCACACTTCTTGAATAAGGACGTCAGACTATAATGAATTTAATTAATTTATCAACTGTGAATCATAAATGATAAATTCTTTTTAATGTAAAACATTATGTATTTACCTTATAGTATGCAAGTGCGGTCT